TCCCTGGGATGGGGGAATGATCCCTGGGACAGGGGGAGTGATCTCTGGGATGGGGGAGAGATCCCTGGGATGGGGGAATGATCCCTGGGACAGGGGGAGTGATCTCTGGGATGGGGGAGAGATCCCTGGGATGGGGGAATGATCCCTGGGACAGGGGGAGTGATCTCTGGGATGGGGGAGAGATCCCTGGGATGGGGGAATGATCCCTGGGACAGGGGGAGTGATCTCTGGGATGGGGGAGAGATCCCTGGGATGGGGGAATGATCCCTGGGACAGGGGGAGTGATCTCTGGGATGGGGGAGAGATCCCTGGGATGGGGGAATGATCCCTGGGATGGGGGGAGTGATCTCTGGGATGGGGGAGAGATCCCTGGGATGGGGGAATGATCCCTGGGATGGGGAAGCAATCCCCAGGATGGGGAAGTAATCCTTGGGATGAGAGAGAGATCCCTGGGATGGGGGAGAGATCCCTGTGATGAGGGACTGGTCCCTGGGATGGGGGGGATGATCCCTGGGATAGGGGGTGTGATCCCTGGGATGGGGGAGAGATCCCTGCAATGAGGGAATGGTCCCTGGGATGGGGGGGAATGATCCCTGGGATGGGGAAGCGATCCCCAGGATGGGGGAGAGATCCCTGGGATGGGGGAGAAATCCCTGGGATAGGGGAAGTAATCTCAGGGATGGAGGAGAGATCCCTGCGATGGGGGAATGATCCCTGGGACTGATCCCTGGTGCTGGAGGCAGCGCAGTGCAAAGCAGCAAGCCCAAGGTGGGGCAGAGCAGGTTTTCTGGGTCCTCCCAGCAATCAGATCCGTCACCAACCTGCTTGGGCACATGATGCCTCTCTTACCTCAGTTTCCCCAGCCCTAAATGTGTCGTAAAGCCTTTGCTGGGATAGTGTTTCCCCAGTCTTGTGGCAGGGTTGTTGCAGGGGAGCAGGCTGGTGCTGTCGCCCGGCTCCCTGCCAGCAAGGTGAGAAAGAAACCCGCAGTCCCCGGGGATTTGCAGACGCGCAGAAAGATTTAGAGATGGGGCACGAGCCTGCGAGCTCCCCTGACTTGGCACCTTGTCTGGGGTGGGGCGGCTGCGATTTGGAAGGCAGGGAAGGAGGGGAACGCCTGTTTCTGCACTGGCCCCATCCCACCCCGTTGGTCCCTTTCCAGCGTGCGAAGCTCGGCGCTGCCGTGGTGCCGCAGAAACGGCTCGTGGTGACGAGGGGTCGGGTGAAACCAAAGGGTGTTTCCTAAAAGGCGTCTAGTGGGCTTTGGCTTTTCGGAGAGGGTTGGCACCTTCCTGTCAGCCTTGGCGGGGGGGGGGGGGGGGGGGGGGGGGGGGCACGTGCCCAAAGCTGCTCGCCTCCCGTGCGCTCCGACTCAGCTCTGGCCTCTCTCAGCTTTTCCAGAGGGATCTGCCAGGTTTCTGGGCTGGGATTTGGGGGGAAGCAATAGCAGATCCCCGGCGCCGCTCTGCGGGGCTGTCCCTGAACCTTCTGCTGGGACCGTCTGCCCCGAGGGTCTTCAGCCCTGACCCTTTTTTGAAGCTATCGTCTCAGTTTTGCAGGCTTCTTTCTGTGTCTGTGCTGAGTACAGTCAGAGCAGGTCCAACTTTCCATTAACATTTGGATTTTCTGGCAGCTCAGCTGCAATTTTCTTTTTTTTTTTTTTTTTTTTTTTTTTGTCCTCCTTCCTGCTTTTAAAAGCTAAAAATAAAACATCTTGAGGCCCCTTTTCCCTCCATCTTTTCTCTTGAGACATTTATTTCTTGAGGATTTGGTGCCTCCGCTGTGTTTTCTCCTCTTGGCTTCGATAAATGCTTGTTTTTACACCCAACTCTCCCAGCACAGGGGATCAAATCCTGCAGGATGCTGAGCCCATGTCCCCTGGCTGCAGGCACGCAGCCTTTCAGGGTGGATCTGTGCTTCCTTTAGGGCTGGCAGAAGATTTGGGATCTTTTAGGCTCTAGCAGGCAGGACAGGGAGACCAGTGAAACCCTCCAGGGAGGAGGAGGAAGGTCCCCGTTCGTCCCCTTGCCGAGGGAAGTGGGAGCAACGCAGCTGCCATGAGAGTTTTTATTTTTAGCCCAGCGCCAGCTGGAGCTGGGGAGGCTGCAGGGGAAATAAAAGCAGGACCCACCGGGAGGTGGGGGGAAAACCCAAACCGTGGCTGGGCTGGAACAGGCGTCACAGGGGTGACTGGTGGGCACAGGGGTCCCTGGCGTGGGAGGGGACTTGAGTGGGGGCTCAAATCTCATCTGGGGTTCGGGGTTAGGGCTGTTTTGAAGGCATGTGGGGGGATTCTCATGTCCCAGAGAGCTGTGTCACACAGACCTCCGGTCTAGCCAGAGGAGAGGACGGGATGGGATTCAAGTCTCCCCTCTCCTTCCTGCAAAACTGCTCCCGAATTCGGCCCCGCAGCCGCCGCCGCTGCAGCCCAGCCGGTGAGCACCGAGCTCCCGCCTCTGCCCTCCCCGGTGTCACCCGGAGCTCAGCACGGGAGGCTTTTAAGGAAAAGGGATTTGTCCTCAAGTCTTCCGGGATTTACCACGGAGCTTTCTAGGCATCGACATGTATTTGCCCTGAGCCTTGGATCTCTCAATCCCTGGAGCGGGTGGATCTGTCACCACTGCGGGGGCACAAGCGTAACCATCCAGCCTCAGCGTTTTCCCCTCCGTATTTCACTTATAAATGGTACTGGCGTCCCCTAATGAGCCAGAGGCTTCAGGATGTGCCTGACATTGCACACGCCACAAGCCCCATCCCAAAGAGCCCCAGCTGTACCCAAATCTCTGTGGCCGACACGGCGATCACAGAGCTACAGAAGCCAAGCGCCAAGGGCAGGCTCTTCTCGGAGCTAACGCGGTGGTTAATTCCATCAAGGACGGCAGGATTAAACCCTGCCGGCAGTGCCGGGGTGGCCACGCTGGCTGGAAGGGCGAGCCGCTGCCAGATGGGAAAACTCAGCCTCAAATGTTGCTTGCAATGAGCCGAGGAGGCTCCGGATCGGCTCCCAGATGGCATTTTTGTCCTATGAGTCACTGGCATGAAAGGAGGGGGTTGCGCGGGAAGGGACCGGCAAGCGGGACCCCGGTTCCCCGCAAAAAGATGGAGAATTGAGCGTGGAAGGGCCGCACGCGGTGCGAGTGTCTCGGAACAACTTCAGCGTGCTGGCTCAGGTCGGCAAGCAGACAGGAAAGCAGGAGAATCTGCTGTCGGCCAAGCCAGGAGCTTCCCACGTATGTGCAGGTCTGGGAACGCCTGCTCATTGCTGGGGGGGGGTGGGGTGTCCCTGTGGGCACCTCCTCAGCATCTCGCTGCTGCCGTTCCCCGTCCTGCCCCGGGGCCTGATCCTGCAGGCTGAGCACCGCCAGCCCCTCCCTGGTATTTTTTACTCAATGATCTCACGGCGCGGGGTGTGGGGGGGGGCAACGCTCCCCGCCCCAGGAATGCGCTCGCCTACGGCCGAGGGGCCACCACTGCGGCCGGCGCCTGGTCCCCAGGGCGCATCCCCCCTCCGCGAGTCCCACGCCCGATTTCGAGGGAGGTGGGGTGACAGTCTCTGTCGTGACCCGACAGTGCAAGCCCCCCGCCCCGGTGCTGACGGCCACCGAAAGTGCAAGTGGGTGTTTTCTTTTTATAGGGCCTACCGAAATAGCGTCAGGTTGCGTTTTGGTGGTTTGGTCGGATCAAATTCCCCAGGGACACAGCGATGGGTGTCGGGTCTGCTGCCTCCAAGAAATGGCCTCGACCTGCTGTTGGGGGGGTCTTAAAAAGCAAAAGGGGAGCGGGGGCACGGGATGGCGCGGGGGCTCTGAGGATGCACAGCGATGCTGGAGGCAGGGAGACCCGTCCCCAGGCCTGTGCTGGGGGGCTGAGCGCAGGCTGGGGCCATGGGGGGCCGGCGCCACTGCCCTGCACCCCCCCAAGTGACAGCGGGGCTCAGCTCGTGGGGCAGCCCCCGGCCCAGCTCAGCACCCGCGGCCCTTTATCTGCGCCAGGGACAGGCACCAGCTGCCCGGTGCTGGCAAAGGCATCGCAGGGTTCTGTGCCCGGCTGCAGGCTCCTTCAGGCAGCTCTGGCTATGGGGCAGCTCTGGTTATGGGGCAGCTCTGGCCATGGGGCAGCTTTGGTTAAGGGGCAGCTCTGGCTATGGGGCAGCTCTGGTTACAGCTCTGGTTATGGGGCAGCTCTGGCCATGGGGCAGCTTTGGTTAAGGGGCAGCTGTGGTTACAGCTCTGGTTATGGGGCAGCTCTGGCTATGGGGCAGCTCTGGTTAAGGGGCAGCTCTGGTTAAGGGGCAGCTCTGGCTATGGGGCAGCTCTGGCTAAGGGGCAGCTCTAGCTATGGGGCTTCTGCACCTTCCAGCACCCTCGCTGCTCCCCGGCTGCTGCCGCACCACGCAGCCCCGTGCCGCACCGTGCTGCGCTACGCAGCGCTGCTCTGCGCCGTGCCACGCCGTGCCACGCCGTGCCACACCGCACCGCGCTCCGCTGTGCGACACCACGCCGCACCATGTCACACCACGCTGTGCCGTGCCACGCTGCGTCACGCCACGCCATGCTGTGCCGTGCCACGCCACACCACGCCATGCCACACTTTTCCACACCGTGCTGTCACGCCACGCCGCACCGTGTCATGCCATGCCACGCCGTGTCATGCCATGCCACGCCGTGCCACCCCGGCACCGGGCTGGGCCACGCTGACCTGCAGCAGGCACAGCAGCCGTGGGTGCGCGTATCGCACACGGGCGTTACAACCCTGAGAAACCTCCTGCTCACCCAGTTCTTCCCAGCCCTTTCCAGTATCAAACCAGTGCTGGACACACCAGCTGGCCAGAGCTGCCGGTCCCCGCTGCCGGCTGGGTGTTGGGTACATATCCCACAGCTCTCTCGGGGCGATCAGCGGGGTGCAGACGGGGTGCTCTGTGTGCTTGGGGCGGGGTGGGGGGTGCGAGGCGCGGCGTCTCCCTGCCGTGCCGCTCATCCGTGCCACCCGGCACGTTGCAGGAATGCCAAGAAGGAAGGGGACCTGCTCACTGCCCAGGCGCGCCTCAAGGACGTGGAGGCTTTGCTCAACTCCAAGGAGGCTGCGCTCTCCACAGCCCTGGGCGAGAAGAGGAACCTGGAGACTGAAGTGCGGGACCTGAGGGCGCAGGTGGCCAAGGTGAGCGGTGGCAGCCCTGTCCCCAAATGCCCCAGGGACCCCCCCGCTGTGCCAGGGGACTGTGGGGCAGAGGCACGGCTGGGTGCTGGGTCCCTGGCCAGCGCTGGGTGCTGTGCCTGGAGCCCGCTGTGATGGCCTGTAATTCCCTGCAGCTGGAAAGTGCCTTGGGCGAAACCAAGAAGCAGCTGCAGGATGAGATGCTGCGTCGCGTGGACGCCGAGAACCGGCTGCAGACGCTGAAGGAAGAGCTCGAATTCCAGAAAAACATTTACAGTGAGGTACGCCGGGGTGCTGGGCTCACTTGGGATAACACCCTCCGCCTGTCGTGTCCCTCGTCCCCCAAAGCTGATCCCAAGGTGACACCGTGTCCCCTAACCTGTCCCCAGGAGCTGCGGGAGACCAAGCGCCGCCACGAGACCCGGCTGGTGGAGATCGACAACGGGCGGCAGCGGGAGTTTGAGAGCAAGCTCTCCGAAGCCTTGCAGGAGCTGCGGAGCCAGCACGAAGCCCAGATCAGGCTTTACAAGGAGGAACTGGAGAAGACCTACGGGGCGAAGGTGAGCAGCGCCCACCACACTCTGTCCCCCTCCCCTGCGGAGCGCCGGCGGGTGCTGGGGACGCTGACCCACCCGTCTTGTCCTCCAGCTGGAGAACGCCAAGCAGTCGGCCGAGAGGAACAGCAACATGGTGGGTGCTGCCCACGAGGAGCTGCAGCAAACCCGCATCCGCATCGACAACCTCTCCTCTGAGGTCAGCCAGCTGCAGAAGCAGGTGAGTCTCAGCACGAAGGGATCCCTCCGGATGTCCTCCCCTGGGGATGAGCCCCCGCCTGGTGATGGCCACAGGTAGAGCAGCCACCCTCACCTTCCCTCTCCACGCAGTTGGCTGCCAAGGAGGCGAAGCTGCACGATTTGGAGGATATTTTGGCCAGGGAACGGGAGACCAACCGGCGCCTGCTCTCCGACAAGGAGCGGGAGATGGCCGAGATGCGGGCGCGCATGCAGCAGCAGCTGGACGAGTACCAGGAGCTGCTGGACATCAAGCTGGCTCTGGACATGGAGATCAACGCCTACCGCAAGCTGCTGGAGGGCGAGGAGGAGCGGTGAGCACGGGGCGCTGCTCCCCGGGGGGCCGTGTGGGTCCCAGCCCTCCCGTCCTCACTGACTCCATCTCACCTTCTCCTCCTGCCCAGGCTGAGGCTGTCCCCCAGCCCTTCCTCCCACAAAGGTGCGTCCCGTAGCCACTTGTCCACCCCGGGCTCCTCCAAGAAGAGGAAGCTGGAGGACAGCGAGAGCCGGACCAGCTTCTCCCACCACGCCCGGACAAGCGGCCGCGTCGGCGTGGAGGAGGTGGATTTGGAGGGCAGATTCGTCCGTCTCAGGAACAAGTCCAACGAGGTGCGTTTGCCTTCGGGGAGGACCCCCGGGGGGTGTAGTTCAGCCCCACTTCACCCCACGGGCGGGAGGTGAACCGGGGCAAGCTGGGGAGGAACCTGGGGATCTCAGGGTTGCTGCTCTCTCGCTCGCAGGACCAGGCGATGGGGAACTGGCAGATCAAGCGGCAAAATGGAGACGATCCCCCCATCACCTACCGCTTCCCCCCGAAGTTCACCCTGAAGGCTGGCCAGGTGGTCACGGTGAGTCCCTGCCCAGGGAAGGATCCAGCCGAAATCCTAAACCCGGCCAGTGGCGTTGGTGACGTGGAGCGGCTGGAGCCAAGGCGCAGGCTCCTTGGGTGGGACAGACCCGTGTCCCCGGGGCTCTGGGTTTCGCAGACCCGAGACGTTGCTTTTCTCTGTGCTTTTCTCCCTAGATCTGGGCCTCGGGGGCTGGGGCGACCCACAGCCCCCCCAGCAATGTGGTGTGGAAAGCCCAGAGCAGCTGGGGCTCCGGGGACAGCCTGCGCACTGCCCTGATCAACTCCAACGGGGAGGTGAGAGCCTGACGGCAGCACCGGCTCGGGGCACGGGGTGGGGGGGGGTGGCAGCCATCAACCCCCCCCCCCCCCCAACTCTTTTCCTGTCCCCTGCAGGAGGTGGCCATGAGGAAACTGGTCCGCACCGTGATCATCAACGATGAAGATGACGATGAGGACGACGACGGAGTTAACATCCACCACCGCCATCACCACGTGAGTGCCGCGCTGGGGAAGGTGTGGGTCGCAGCGGGTCGGTCGCAGGGATGGTGGGGGAGCTGGAATCCAGTCCCGGTCAGGGTGGGAGGCAGCTCAGCATCACGCAGGATCAGGCCTTATGGGAGAAGGCAGTTGGGAGGCTGCTGTGGAAACAACTACACAGGAGAAGCCAACAGACCTCTGGAACCTAGAGAAGATTACTGCTTGCCCCAAAAGCTCTGGAGACCTTGCTGGAAGCCATCTCCAATCCCGAGAAACCTTGACCTGTCACGAAAGGGGCTGGAGGAAGCCAGGAGGGAGGCTGAGCTGGTACCTCGCATCGCTTGGAGGTGGAGGACGGGGTGGTGGGAAGGTGATGGACGACACTTCCCCGCGGCAGCTGCTCCATCCTCTTCGCTTCACAAGGGTGCAGGAACAAATCCAGGGGTGACCTTGTCCCTCAGCCCATCGCTCCCCTCACAGAGCTGAAATACACCCCTGGAAGAGCAGCAGGCAGTGTGCCAGGAGCAGAGCTGCAGCCGCTTCTCCCCGTATCGAGGCAAACATCCCTGGCTGCAGCCCAGGAACCTTCCCCAGCCCATCCCACAAGGAGACATCCCTCTTGCACATGAGATGCTCTCGGGAATCACGCACGGAGAGATGCTGTCACTGCGGCGCTGTGCCTCAACGCTGGCAAAAAATCCGCTGGGTGCCGCTCCCCGGGGGGCTCTGTGTGGCAGGAGCAGGATGGGGCTCAATCACCCACTTCCCTTTGAGTTCTCTGGATAAGAAGAGCCGCGCTGAGACGCATCGACTGTCCCCGGACGGAGGAGCCAAGCTCCCACGAGCCGGTGCTGCCCATTCGGCTGGGGGCTGAAGCCTTTCTAAGAGCGAATTTCCCGTTGGAAAGCTGTCAGCTCGTGCTCTCCCAGGCAGCGAGGAAGAGGATGCTCTTAGATAAGCACAAGAGAAGCACAAGAAGATAAGACGTCTCCTGTATGCCGAGAGCTCGGCGGGCAAGAACAGGGCAGCAGGGACAGTTCACCCATCTGCAGTGTGCCAGCCCCAGTAATTTGGGATTATAAACATAATAATAATATTCTATTATTTTTAACCCACCTGATGGAGAGGATGGGTGGAGCGCGGACCCTCTTTGATGACTGATTTGAGGAGCCCTCCTGGGTCACACCGGTGCTGCCGTGGTCCTCGGGGCAGGGTGCTCAAGACAGATGCTCGGGCGGGTGCTCAAGGTCGTTTTGTCTGTTCCCCCCCCCACCCCCATTTAGGGCAGCTGCGGTGCCTCTGGGGACCCCGGTGAATACAACCTCCGCTCACGCACGGTGGTCTGCGGCACGTGCGGTCAGCCGGCCGAGAAGTCGGGCAACCAGAACACCGGTGTCAACACCGTGTCCTCGGGCTCCTCCACTTCCAGCGTGACCGTCACCCGCAGCTACCGCAGCATCGCTGACTCTGGCAGCATCGGCCTTGGGGACAGCTTGGTGACCAGGACCTACCTCCTGGGGAACTCCAGCCCCCGTAGGCAGGTTAGTGCCATTTCCAGACCCCGGGTCCAGGCTGTCCCTGCGCTGCCGGGTCTCCACCCTGTCCCTGCATCATCTTTTTTCAACAAAGCAGCGCTGCGGGGGTCCCTTCCCCTCCTTCCTCTCCTCCCCTCTGCTTAAGTCCTCTCGCCCCGGGCACCTTTTGGGCTGGCACAAGCCTCTTTGTAAGGGGTTCGTGGAGTCTGAGCGGGATTGGAAAAAGATGTGGCTGGAGCATCTCCCCAGCCCATCCCATGCTCGGCCCCCGTGGCAGCCCCGCAGCATCCCTCATCCTCCGTGGCTCTCGTTCCACCACCACCGAGCATTACTCATGCTGGTAACTTGAATATTTCAGCACTTGAATATTAATACCCTCAAATTAGTCAATATTATTACCCTCATATATTACTGCTTGTTCTCAAATTCCTGACTTCAGTGCTATAAATACCCCAGCCAAGGGATATTTATTATACCCCAAGGGCCAGGGCGGATGAGAGCCAGGGGCGCACGCTCGGCACTGGGCATCCAGAGGGTCCCGCTTGGACACTGCTGGCTCCTTCGCAGCTAGAGAAAACGGATAGTAACACTGAATTATTTTAATTTTCTTCTTTTTCTTTCTTTCTCCCAGACTCAGGCTGTGCAAAACTGCAGCATCATGTAACTCCGTGGCACCATTCCTGTGTTTCCTGGCCATCTTGAGCTAGTTTCTTCCCAAAGCAACAGAAATTTTTTTCCTTTAAAAAAAACGATATAAAAAACCAACATTGGTTTTTTTGTTTTCTATAGCAGAAATTTTATATATATATATATTAAAAATGCTAAAAGATGCTTTGATTTTTTTTTTTTTGTAAAGAAAAAATCTATTTCTATAAAAAAAAAACAAACAAAAATAAGCTTTTCAGCTTCAGAATTTTTTTAAAACCAGCCAAAGACACCGAGGAATTGTGTTTACCAAACAGCCATGCAGGAAGAGATTGTAGTTTAATAGCTCTTTAGATTATAACTTTTTTGCCAAAGCTTTTTACATAGGACCGGGAGAAGTGAAGCCATCCCCATCAGAGCTGCGCGCTCCTGCGTGCGTCGGGCGTCGCGCAGGAGCGCACCCGCAGAGGTGCTGGTGGGCGTGTGCCAAGGAGGGTTGCTGCCTCAAGCACCTTTGCAACCCCAAGTTTTGGTTTTTTTTGTTTTTTTTTTTTTTGTGGATCTGAACCCCAAATTCCCTTTTCTTTGTTTGGCTTTTTTTTTTTTCTTGGTTTTTTTTTTTTTTTTTTGGATTATTTCACTGCAGCGCTGGCGTGGGGGGCTCCTGGCAGCTTGCGGGCAATGCCCCATGTCTCTCCGCGGCCGTGCGGGCATTACCCCCCTTCCCAGCCCCTTGCCCACGTGCAATCCCATTACTCCACGTACTGTATTTCCCATCCAAGGCACCTCTTGCCCTGTGGGTTTTCTCTTTTTTATTTTTTTAAGCAGCCGAGTTGTGCCTTAGCCGAGGCAGGGGCCTCTCCGGAGCAGGGCTGGGAGCCCCGCGGGACCCCGCACGGCGTTGAGGGTAGATGGAGTAGGGGAAGTGAAAACCCACCGGAGCTGCATCCCGGGACCAGATGGATTTGGTGGATGGGGTGATGGACCTCACTCCCGCAGGCTTGGATCCAGTGGGACCCCCTTGGACCCCCTTTTTGGGGGGCTGCTGCATCACCCCTGTTTTTCTCGGCTGCGGTTAGTTGGGCTCTTCTCCGGTGGCAGGAGCTCAGGAGCCCATTTCAGGGCAGGATGAGGCCAAGGATGCTTAGTCCAGGATAGGGCTGGTTTGCCAGGACGGCAGTGAGGAAGTCTTTTTGTTTGAGTGAGAGGGATTTTGGGGTCCGGCACGGCCAGCTCCCCTCTCTGCAAGGGTCCATCTAGCCGTTGATGAAGATTTCAGCTTTTTGCCTCGACTGGGGAATGCCCACAGCACCCTCTGCCTCAAGCGCAGCCTGGGGGCAGGATCAGGTCCCCAGCACGAGCCCCCCCGCTCCGGCGGGATCTGGCGAGACTGCGTATGTATCTGTGCTTGCAAAGCTTCTGTATTACTGCCTGTATTTCCTTCCAGAATCAATACAGCCAAACCCTTCCCACCCTGTGTGCTGTCATCATTGCTATCCTGGGGGGGGGGGGCGGGAATTGGAGGGGCACGCTGCTGCACCCCAGCCCGGCGCTCGCTTTTGTCCTGGGGAGGGGGGGATCCCTTTTAGCCCCGCAGCCAGAGCTGGAACTCAGCACCCTACCATGGATGGAGGAAAGTAGGGTGGCCCCACGCACCCTGATTCAGCCAGGGGGTCCTTGAAGAGCCAGGAGCCCCCCAACCCAGCGCTGATGCAGAGAGAAGCTGGCAGGGAGGGGGACTGAATTTGGCGGGGAGGGCTCAGAGGTTTCCTCCCCTTGGAGGGTTTTGGGGAGCAGACATACCCCTGGATGGGGTAAACTGGGGCGTGTTGCAGAACCTGAGTGATCCCCTGAGTGCAGGTTTGCTCCTACCGTGGGGATGACCCCAGCACCCCACTAATGGGACCCCCTTTTCCCCCCCCACCGCGGCTCCGGGGCCGTGCCAGGCACTGGAGCGAGGCAGGAGGAGATGCCGAGGAGAAGGAGAGAGCTGTAAAGCCGGCGCGTAATCGGCTTTACCTGGCACAGCACTGGGGAGCCGCGATGTGAGGGAGCGCGGGCGGGCGGCCGGGGCGCAGGCACAGCCAGGTAGGTGCCCGGGGTGCCCACCCCGGGGGTTATCCCCCCACTCCCACCGCCCGGTTGCCTGGGTCACCCCCCAGATGTGTGGGCTCACATCGCCCCGGACACGGGTGCAAGCAGGGCTGAGCCTTGCGAGGGCAGCGGGTGCCGAGGGGGCTCCGGGGCATCGCTGCCACCTTCCAGCTTTGGGCTGGTTTGTGGGGTCCCAGCGAGGTGCCCACATCCCCTTCCCGGGAGGGGAGGTGACAACAGGGGATCTCGGAGGAGGGCGCTCACAGGGTGGCAGGGGACACTCCGGCTCCAGTGCCACCCCCTCCCTGTGCCCCATTTGCACCCCCCCCCATCTCTCTGCCAGCTCAGGGATGCCCCGCAGAGCTGGCAATGCCGAGGAGCTGCAGCACGTCCCCTCCGCGCTGCGTCTGGCCCCGAGGAGGGAACCCAGCCTGACCCCCAGCCTCGCCCCGCCGGGCCCTGAAAGTCACGAGGTTGTGCCCAGAATAGCAGGTTATTGAATGGCAGGGGGGAAGCCAAACACGCTGCTGGGACCTCGTGCTCCTGCCCAGCCGTGCTGCCGCGAGAAATGAGGTCAGGAGGGAAGGGGAAATGCCACGGGTCCTCCCCACACCACCACCCCCCCGGCGTCCTGGCATGGCGGGGCCGTGTCACACTGGGAAGGGCTGAGCTGGTGGCATTGCTCCGTGTCCCTCGGCCGCCCGCGGTGCCCCACGGCTCGCATGACCTGTGGGGTCCCTGCAAAGGCCCCACGGGGACCTTGCAGAGCCCCATGGGTACCATACACATCCCACGTGGACCTTACACAGCCCCACAGGTACCATACACATCCCACGTGGACCTTACACAGCCCCACGTAGACCTTGAGTGGCCCCACGGGGACCTTGCAGACCCCTGTGGGGACCTTGCACAGTCCATGGGGACCTTGCATAGCCCATGGGGAGTGTGTATGACCCACAGGGACCTGGCACAGCCCATGGGGACCTGGCACAGCCCTATGGGGACCTGGCACACCCTTATGGGGACATGGCACAGCCCATGGGGAGCTGGCACAGCCCATGGGGACCGTGCACAAGAGTGCCTGTGACAGAACTCCAGCCCTGCTCCAGCCAAAGCACCGAAGCAGGGTTGGGTTTCTGCAGCTCCTCCTGCAGTCCCACAGGGCTGAGCCCAGCTCTGGGTTCCCCCCGGGAGGGGAATCCAAGAGAGAAATGGGAGCCCATCACTTGGTCTCACTCACTTGTGCACCGAGTGTCAGGGTCTCTGTGGAGGCACCCTGGGATGCACGGCTGGCTGGGAGCACCGGGGTTTGGGGGGGTGGGGTGGGGGTGGCACACACTGGGGACCATCAGGGTTGTGGGGGGAAAAAAAATCTAGCACAAGGGAGCCTTGAAGCAATCACTGGGATGGGGTACAGCCAGGACTGACCCCAATGTCTGGCAGCTACTGGGGTTTACTGGGCCAAGGCATGGCTAAGCGGGTCCTGGGGGCCCTGCGAGCCCCACATTGGCCCCCTCCAGGCCCCCGCGTGCCCAGGGGGATTAAGGTCAGGCCGCCCCGTTAATCCCAAGGGTGGTTTAAGATGCGAGCTTGTGCCCGCTGCCACCCCGCAAGGTTGCACCCCAAGGTGCTGCACGTCACAGGACGCCTGCAGGGCACCCCTGGGGGGACCGGGCAGGGGTTGGGGGGGGGTCTGTGACTCAACCCTTGGGGTGGGAGGGGGCCAGGGTAGTTCTGCCTCCCCGCAGCCGGCTTCAGCTAAGCCTCCGGTGCCGGTGGGCTGGCAGGCACGAGTCAAAAGCTCCTTATGACTCCCAGGCAAAGGCTCCCAACCTCCCGAGCCCCGTGGGAACTGGGGCGGCAGAAAGTGGGGAGCAGCCGAGGGGACACTTGGGTCCTCTCCCCAGCTCTGGGCAGGGCGAGTCCCCCCAGCGTGGGGTGGAAAGGGGCCCCTGGATGGGCTCTCGCTGCTTTTGGGGGGGATGTTGATACTGGCACCCCAGCTTGTGCAACGCGGCAGGGCTGGCGCCTTTCCCGGGGCGCCTCATGCATGGTTGTGCAATTGCAGGCTGGGGACAAAGTGACTTGCCTGAGGCCGTGCAGGGAAGGCGGTTGCGGAGGGAGGAATCAGCAATGGCAGAGGATCCTGTTTCGGGGCTCTGGGCACCCCGCTCCCACACGGCCGGGAAGGGGAAGGAAAACAAGTTCCAAAGGAGAAGTGAGATCTGCCGGCACCAGTTGGGCCAGGCTTCCCCCCAAGGGAAGTTTTGAGGGGTGAACCAAAATTGGGTGCTGTGGGTGCTGTGGCAGCGTGAGGATCCAGGTGGTCTGCCTGGTACCAGATCCTGGCAGCTGCTGGGCCCCGAACCCCCTCCTGGGACCCCCCAAAACCAGGTAGTGCAGGCAGCCAGAGCCAACGCGGCTCATCTGGGATGGGTGAGCGGCCGGGGGGGCTGAGAGAGGGATGCAGAGGTGGGGGTGCAGGGATGTGGTGTGGATATGGGGGTGCAGAGATGGGGTGAGGGGATGCAGTGTGGCTATGGGGGTGCAGGGATGGGGTGTGGGGACGCACTGTGGGTATGGGGGCGCGGGAATGTGGGTGCAGGGATGTGGTGTGGATATGGGGAAGCAGAGATGGGGTGCAGGGATGGGGTGGGGGGGATGCAGTGTGAATATGGGGGTGCAGGGACGCAATATAGATACAGGGATGCCAAGATGGGGGTGCAGGAATGCAGCGTGGCTCTGGGGGTGTAGGAATGGGGGTGCAGGGATGCAGTGTGTCTATGGGGGTGCAGGGATGGGGTGTGGGGATGCAGTGTGGCTATGGGGGTGTAGGAATGGGGGTGCAGGGATGCAGTGTGTCTATGGGGGTGCAGGGATGGGGTGCAGGGATGCAGTGTGGCTATGGGGGTGCAGGGATGCAATACAGATACAGGGATGCCAAGATGGGGGTGCAGGGACACGATGCAAATAAGGGGCAGCAGAGATGGGGTGAAGGGACGCGATGTAGTTATGGGGGGGCAGAGGAATGTGTCAGGAGAGGCGTGGGACAAACACGTGGGTGCACAGGGGTGTCTGACCACATCTGCGGGCGGGGGGGGGGGGGTTTTCTCTGTGTGTGTGTCTGTGTGTGTGTGCATGCGTGTGTGTGCACACCCCCGCGTGTGCAGGTCCGTGCGTGGCAGCGCCGGCACGTGCCTATGCAGCCGTGTGTCCGTCTGTCGAGCTTGTCTGTGTGTCCGTGCGTGGCTGCGGGAGGTGGGGGGGGTGAAGGAGGGGGCGGGGGGGGTGGGGGGAGGCCAACCGGAGCCGGCCGAGGTAAGCCGTAGCCATGGCGACCGGAGCAGGATCCGGTGGCCCCGCAGGGATGCTGGGCCCGCCAGGCCCCCCCGGCCGCCCGGGCGCGGGTGCTGCCACAGGTCGGTACCAGCGCACCGGGACTGGGACCGGGACCGGGACTGGGGCTGGGCCGGGGGGGCACCCCCCCGGGGGCGTGAGGCTGAGCCGGGGCTGGGGGCAGTCGCCATCGCGGAGACGGGCTTTGGGGACCCTCGGACAGCTCTGATGCTGCCGGGCAGTGACAAAGGGGCTGAGGTTGCCGCTGCATCCCCCCACCTTGCACCCTTGCCTTCCTCCATACCCCATTTTCTTCCTCCTATAGCTCCTTTGCATCCCTCCACACCTCTGCACCCCAAGTCCCTCCTGCGCATCCTCCTTCCCCTTCCCTGCACTACCCCACATCTGTCCCCACCCTTTGCATCCTGCCCTTCGCATTCCCCACATCTCAAATCCCTCCCCTATCTCCCTCTGCACCCCCCCCACATTCCTCCCCTTCATCCTCCCATACCCTTACTGCATCTCCCCCCACCTCCTCCCTTGCTTTCCAGCTCCCCCACACCCCCTCCTGCTCCAGGTCTGGGGAGAGGGGGATCAAAGGAGCCTCCCCCAGTCTGAGCCAGGCTGCCCCAGCCTCTGATTTCTGCCTGGGTGTCAGAAGCAGCCCTGCACTCCCCATGCCACATGGATGCTCATGGAGCTGGGGGGTGGGGTGGGGGGAACATGGGCAGGGGGTTGGCATCAAGCAACAGAAAAGGGTCACATTCTTCCCTGCTGCGGGGGGGACCCCAGTTCCCAGCCACTTGGGAAACTGAGGCACAGGGAAGGTCTCAGCAGCCAGATCAGCACATCTGCCCTGCACCCTCGTGCTTCCCCTTGCTGAGACGTGGGCTGGGGCTGGCTCTGTCCCGGGGCAGGTTAAACCGCTCTTTGCAAGGAGGATGTGTGTTTAGTGGCAGCATAATATTCCCCAGCTTGGAGGGAAACTGGAGAGTGGGTGGGACAGGGAACCAAGTCCCATGGAGCCACGGCTGTGGTGAACCCGAAAGCACCAGGGAAAACTAAACCACCCCAATGTTGAGAGGTTCTTGGTGACATTTGCTTCCATGTGCCAGATCCTGAGCAGGGAGGCTGTAATCCCCCCCACCCCCACGGGTCCCCAAACCGCTTTGGCCAGGGGACCCAGAACTGAGGAGGGACAAAACTTTCACGGAGCTTCAGCTGCCCGTGCTGCTGGAGCAGCCTTGAGGCTGCTCTCGCTTCACACCCTGTACCAGAGTGGGGGAAACACTCTGGGGGCTTTTCCCAGCCCTTCCATGGTCCCCCTGAGCCTTCAGCCTCTCCGAGGAGCCTCCGTTCCCTTTCCCATCCCTCCTCCCCCTCCGCCGGCCCCGGTGGCTCCAGCCCAGGGCAGAACAATGCGGCCGGTCCAAGCCTCCGTGCAGCCCCGTTTCTCAGCCAACCCTTCGCCAAGTGGGAAATCCGGGGCAGAGTAACCTACTTTCTGTGCTTACAAGGAGCTTTCTGTCCCGGCCAAGCAAGGTGGCAGGGACAGCGCTGCCCTCCCGGGGCTTGCTGTCCCGGTGGGTGGATGGTGGCACTGGGGGAGGCAGGTAAGGAGACCCCGAGAGGGCAGGATGCACCTTAGCCCTGTCTGGAGCGGGATATTGGGGTACCTCGGATATGGGTATGGTGTTGGGGGGACCCCAAGGTTTTGGCTTCATGGGGTTTCTCGCCCACAGCCACCCCAGAGCAGCCTGGGGTGAAGGATGGAGCCTGGCCATGGGCTGTTCGCGGGGGGTGACGCTCAGCTTCACGGGGCTGTTTGCGGGGGTGATGCTCAGCCCCATGGGGCTGTTTGTGGGGGTGATGATGGGTCCCAGGGAGCTGTTTGTGGGGGTGACGCTCAGCCCCCTTGGCACTGTTGTGGGGGGTGATGCTGGGCCCCAGGGGGCTGTTTGTGGGTGCGATGCTGAGCCCCGCTGTCCATCCTCACAGTCAGCAGGAGAAATGACGTTGAGTTGCTCTCACCCCAAAGATTTCCCCAAAGCCAGGAAGGGAACCCAGGCATCCAGACACCCCATTTCCCCCCCGCACCAGCCCTTGGGCACCCCAGTTGGAGGAGCAGAGCACCCCAGCTCCTATCCCAGCTCCCTCCACCAGGCTTCGCTGCCCTCCCCAAAAGGTGCAACGCAGGCGAGGCGGGAGCAGGCACCCGCTGCCCCAACCTGCTGGGGCTCGTCCTCTTCCAGCAGGACTTTCTGGTTCCCACAGGCCCCGGCGGGGCCACGCTGGGCTGGGCTGGGCCACAGCGAGCCCTGCCACGAGCCAGGCTGGGAGCCTGGCAGCGCGGCTGGACCTCGGCCGGGCGCTGGGCATGGGCCCGCAGGGGTCTTCTGGCCACAGACCCCTGGGGTCAGGCGCCTGCCGGGTGCCAATGCTCCAGGGGTGGAGGTGAGCCAGCTCTGCCCTCGCCCACCGGAGAGGTAATGCCACTCGCTGGGGACATGGTGGTCACCTATGAGGGGTCCCAGGGACCATACGGTTCTTGAGACATTGCTCTTTCCCTGTTGCTTCTGGCAAGAGCTGCAAAAAAAGCTGAGGGAAGGGGGAGGGGGTGCATCTCCCGTCCCCACCCTCATTTTGGGGACCCTCCAGATCCGTGATGGGGGACAGGGACTGTGGGACGACGCGAGGGCAAAGGCAGGAGCATCTGGACACCCCCTGTGCCAGCAGGGTCCTGGTGCGGGGAGCTCAGCGGGGTGTGGGGATGTCTCCTCCTGTGCCGCCGTGACAGGGGAAGCTCTTGCCCATATTCGGGGCCCACGCGTGGCTTGAAGTGCTGGGGCTCCCCCCCCCCCAACGCCTGGTGCTGGCTTCCCCCCTCTCATTTCCGCTCGGTGGCACGCAGCCACCCCGGCAGCGCTTGCCCTAACCCTCGCCCTTCCCACAGGGATGGTGCTGGGACCCTCGAGGGGCGCATCCCTGCCGCCCCCCGCCATGCCCGCCGCTGCCCTCCGCCTGCTCTGCGGTGTGGTGATGCCGGCTGCCCTGCTCTGCGCCGAGCCCCTGCCCCGCGTCGCCTTTCCCAGCGGTGAGTACGAGGAGCCAAAAGGGCTGGTGGGGCCGGGGGGAGATGGGGACAAGCTGGTCTGGGGTGGGGGGGCAACACGACACACAACATCAGCTTGGGAGAGCATCCCCCCGCCCAGGGTTGAGCATCCAGCATCAGGGACCCGTGGGCTGCTCTCCATCACAGCCTCCCCGCCTCGTTACCCCTCTCGTTAGCCCCACGCAGGGCTGGGGCAGTGGGAAAGTGGCCACGGGGCTGGGTGCCGCGGGGAGCAGGGCGCTGGAAAGGGCTGCGGGGACGCTGCGGGGGGGAGATGTAACAGGGCTGGGTGGCACCCGAACGCCTCTGGGAGTGGGAGCTGGGTGCACCCCAGGGTGCCAGCTCTAGCAGAGCGATTTTGCACACCGAGGTGGGGGGAGGTGTCTGCTTAGGGCCACCCTGGGTGGGGGAAAAAGCTGCCTCCTCGGTGGGACAGGGCACTGTGTCCTGCCTGCGTGTGGCAGGTTGCAAAGAAAGGGGTTTGGCGGTGTTGTGGGACGGTGGCATTTGGGCGGGCAGGAGAGTTTGGTGTCCCCATGGCAGAGCTGTGCCCTCCAGAGGCCCCTGCCCATGCTGTCACTTCCCCTTCCCCATGCAGCCATTCTGAGAATTGCAAAATCCCCATTTTTTTTTTTTTTTTTTTTTTTTTTTCACCCCTGTTGGGTGGCTGGCAGGGGCAAACAAGAAGCCTGCGGCCCCCAGCTGTGCTTGAGGGCACTGTGGGGGTTTGTAACCCACCCCCGGCTGGCACTTTGGGGTGATGCATGCCCCCAAAATGGAGCATTACCCTACGGCCGTGGCCCCAGAACATCACTGGCAGCGCTTGCAGCCCAGCAGGGAAAAATGCACGCCGTTTCTTGCAGGGCAGCAAAGCATCGGCGGGCAAGGGATGCGCAGGGTTTGCACCTTGGGGGTGTCCAGCTCTTGCAGCAGGACCCAGAGGGGACGGGGGGAGGGGGGAGGTGGGGACCTGAAGGGGGAAGTGAAGGTGGTGATGGGGGGGGAAGCAACGTACCCCATTTCCTACGTGAGAGGTGACACAAGCCGCAATGGCAGCTGCTGCTGCATCCGCCCGCGGTTGATGGTGGTGATGGTGGTGGGACACATGTGTGTGTGTGTCCCTTGGTCCCCATCACCCCCCCCCCCCCCCTTTGCTCCTGCCAGGGGACCCCCGACGGACCCTGACCCATTTCAGCCAGGACAACGTCTCCCACTATGACATCTTCCTCCTACACGAGAGCGAGGAGGAACTGTACGTGGGGGCACGAGACCGGGTGCTGGCCCTCACCGTCGGCACCCCGGGCAGCATCCATGCCAAAGCCTCGGTGAGCAGCAATCTCTTTGGCGAGGGGGGGTGTGGGGGGGTGACCTTCACTGTGCCTCAGTTTCCCCACTCAGGCTGGGCGGTTGTGGCCTGGCTCAGCGACTATGGACCTTCTCCCTTCCCTCTGCAGATAACGTGGGGACCCACAGCCGAGAAAACCTCCGAGTGTGCTTTTAAGAAGAAGAGCCAGGAGGTGAGTCAGGACTATGGGGGGGTCGGCGGGGGGTGGTCCTACAGAGCTACAGGGACGCTCAGCCCCCACCTCTGATCTTTCCCCCCACGCAGACTGAGTGTTTCAACTTCATCCGGGTCCTCGTGGCCCTGAACCAGACCCACCTCTACGTCTGCGGGACCTACGCCTTCAGCCCCGCGTGCACCTACATCGTGAGTGCCCCTCCCTAGCAAGGACGGGGACGCGGGGAGGGGGGGGGGGTGTCTCCGGATCCACAAAATACTGGCCCAGGAGCCCCAGCGGGATGGGGGATTTGAGCTGGTTGCAGTACGGGAAGCCCCCTGGGAATGTGGGGTGCTGGGTGCCCCCCACCACTGAGGTGAAGCTTTGCATTTCATGCGCTGAAGGAGCTGTTGGTGCTTTTAACCATGTCTGCCAAGCAGCTTTTCACCTGCCAGGTCAGGTGCAGGTGGTAAACCCCTGATTTTGGGTCCTGGTTCTCTCAGGTGATCCCAGGCAGCGTGCTCTGCCTCAGTTTCCCCGCTTGCCGAGCGTGTGGTGAGCACCCGGAGGGAGCCCGCAGCCATTTCTTGTGGATTTTGGGTTGGTTTTAACACCGTCAGCTGATTTTTCTCCCCTTTCCCGCAGCACCTGGAGAACTTCACGCTGATGTCCAGCGGCAGAGGACAACCTTTCCTGGACGGGAAGGGCCAGTGCCCCTTTGACCCCCAGCACACCTACACGGCCCTGCTGGTGGGTGAGTACGGGGCCAGTGGCCCCCATGGGTGGGCACCCATCGCTGGGATGGAGAGGAGGGTGACGGCAAGGGGGGGCTCCCCGCCACAGCTCACCCCGACCCCGTCCCCGAGCAGACGGCGAGCTCTATGCCGGCACCATGAACAACTTCCAGGGCAACGAGCCCATCATCTCCCGCTCGCTGGGCAGCCGGACCCTGCTCAAGACGGACGCCTTCCTCCGCTGGCTTTCGGGTGAGCAGGGAGAGGGTCCTTGGGAGGAACCCCCAGCCCCCCTCACCCTCCCCGTGCCGGGGGGTGCCTGCAGCAGCCCCCCCCCCCCCCCCACTCCAGCTCCTCACCCACCCGCCCTGGCTGTGCCCCACAGCCGACGCCGCCTTCGTGGCCTCCTTCAGCATCCCTGGAGATGACAAGGTCTACTTCTTCTTCGAGGAGACGGCTGATGAGTTTGATTTCTTCGAGCGGCTCCTGGTGCCGCGGGTGGCCCGTGTCTGCAAGGTGGGTGCGGAGACGATGACGGGGGACAATGACGGGGGTACCCAGCTCCTGTCGCCCCAGGGCTGAGCACCTTCCCGGCTCCCCCAGAGCGATGTCGGGGGGGACAAGGTGCTGCAGAAGAAGTGGACGACGTTCCTGAAGGCCCAGCTGGTGTGCTCGCAACCCGGCCGCTTCCCCTTCAACGTCATCCATCACGCCTTCGCCCTGCCCCGCCGCGACGGTGGCGCCGACTTCTACGCCGTCTTCACCTCGCAGTGGTGAGTCCCGGCACCCAGGGGTGCCCCGTGGGTGCGCTGGGGACCCCCCACCCTCCCCATGCTCACCTTGCTGTCCCTGCAGGCAGGCGGGCAGGGCGGGCAGCGCAGCCGTCTGTGCCTACAGCCAGGAGGCTCTGGAAGAGGTCTTCGAGGGCAAGTACAAGGAGCTGAACAAGGAGAGCTCCCGCTGGACGGTCTACGGTGGCCCCGACATGAGTCCCCGGCCCGGCAGCGTGAGTGCTGCTCACCCCCAGGAGACAAGACCCTCGTAGGGGGGGATGATACTGGGTTGCCTGTCCCAGTTTGCCCTGGGCTCTTGCACTGGGGTGAGATGGTGGTGGTGCTGCAAGTGGGATGGGGAAGGGGTGGGGGGGCTGCGTCCCTTTGCACCCAACCGGTGCTGGCACGGGACAGCCTGGTGGCACGTGTCCCCCCTTCCCTGTGCCTCAGTTTCCCCACGCCAGCACTGACTCCTCTCTCCCTGCAGTGCTACATGGGTCCCTCCTCTGACAAAGCCCTCACCTTCATGAAGGACCATTTCCTAATGGATGGGAAGGTGTTACCCACCCAGGGCCGGCCACTGATGGTGAAGACGGACGTCACCTACACGCGCATTGCGGTGGACGAGATTCGTGGCGTCTCGGGGGCCACCTACCGCGTCATGTTCCTGGCCACGGGTGGGTTTCCATGAGGGGTACAGGCAGAGCACCTGCTCAACCCCTTGGCCACCCCAAAACAACGGCGATGTCCCCTGTGCCCCTGCAGCGGAGGGTTTCCTGCACAAAGCGGTGGAGCTGCCGGGGGGTCCCCACATTGTGGAGAGCATCCAGCTCTTCGGGACACCAGAGCCGGTGAAGAACCTACTGCTGGCCCCGGGGAAGGTAGGGGATGACCCGACAGCCCACCCCAAGCCCAGCACGGGGGTACAGGGGGGAGGCTCAGCCCTGTGCCTCTCCCTCCCCAGGGCATCCTCTACGTGGGCTACTCCGGTGGTGTCCTCCAAGTCCCGTTGGCCAACTGCAGCCTGCACCGGAGCTGCGCCGAATGCGTGCTGGCGCGGGACCCGTACTGCGCTTGGCACAGCCCTGAGGGCTCCTGCCAGCCCGTCCGTGCCACCAACACCCAGGACACTGGGTGAGCTGGGGAGGCAACGGGATGAAGATGGGAAGGGGGATGCGGTGGGGGGGGGGGGGGGGGGGCGGCGGGATTGGGGTGCTGATGCTGCTCTCCCGGCCGCAGGAGCACGTGGCTGCAGGACGTCGAAGCAGGGAGCCCGGCCACCATGTGCCACCGTGGAAGGAGCATGGGCATGCCCCGAGCTGGGGGTGCACAGGAGGATCCCGCCGCAGAGAGTTGAGTACGGGGGTGCAGCGGGAACGGGGGCTGGAGGGTGGGACGGGGGCACACGGGGTGCACTGCATCACCCTGCTCTCCCTCTCCTCACCCCGCAGGGCTCAGCCCCCCACTTAACGCCGTGGTCCGTCTGCCGTGCCCCCGCCGTTCTGCCCTGGCCAACTACAGCTGGCAGCAGCCGGGGGGCCGGGGGGACCGGGGGGACCGGAGGGACGTGGAGCTGCTGCCTGACCACACACTGGTGGTCATCATGCAACGGGGGACTGCGGGCACCTACAAATGCCAGGCCACCGAGAACGGCTACACCTGGACTGTGGCTCATTACCATCTACGGGACCCCACCGGGGCGTCCCCGCAGCCAGACGGGTTGGCTGAGGAGGGGTTGGCCTGGGGGTCCTCCGACCCCAGCCCCCCGCGGTCTTACTGGCCCCAGTTTGTCACTGTCACCGTGCTGCTGGCCGTGACGCTGGCCGCTGCTGCCTGCCTGGCCCTCCTCGCCTACCACGACCAGCTCAAAGCCAGGAGCAAGGTGCGGGGGTGCAGCGCGCCCCACAGCCCCCCATCCCAGCATCGGGAGAAGGTACCCCTCAACGGGGAGACCGCAGAGCCCCCCACACCCGGAGGCCCCACTGAGGAGGAGGAGGAGGAGGAATGCTCCCGCTCTTGCTGCCTCCAGCTTGATGGGGATATCGATGTTGATAACAACAGGCTCCGCGTCCCGGCGGGGGACACGGTGTGACACCACCGGCTTCGGGGAGACCGTGAGGAAGCAGTGGGGTGTGGGGATGATGTGAATGTGAATTTTTTTTTTTTTTTTTTTTTTTAATTTAATACATGTGTTTTAACATAAGGTAACATTTTGGGATAGTGGCGAGGGGTAGCAGAGTGGGATGGGCCCCCCGGGAGCCGTGAGGGAGGCAGTGAGGGGGTGGGATGGGGGGAGACTGGGGGACGAGATGATGGGGAAAGGATGTGGGCGCAGAGGAGAGACGTGGCCGTGGGTCTGAGGGGCAGGACATGGCCATGGGGCAAGGACGTGGGGTGGGGACAGGCAGAGTTGGTAGTGGCTGACAGTGGTGTCACCCCCGGGAAAACTCCTGGGATCCATAAAACCTCCAAAATGGGGAAAGCTGAGCCCAGAGATGGGCTCCATGGGCCGACCCCAAGGGCACCCACCCTGTGCTGCCAGAGCTCCCCACCCCGCTCCCCACCACCCTGGGTGCCCAGATAGCCGCGGCGGGGGAGCCCCCCCACTTCTCACCAGCTGGCCCCCCACACCCCAGGGTTGGCCCCCGCTGCTTTTTTGATGACGTTGAGCCTTCTTTTTTTAAGACAAACCAGCTGTAAATTTCCCTGCTCTTTGTACATTCGATTTTTTTTTTTTTTTTTTATTAAAAAGGAAAAGCTACGGCGTCGTGTTGCTGGGTGCAAGGAGCAGCCCCAGGAGGGCAGCGCCAGGCCCTGTGGCCTCTGGCTTTCAGGCGTGTGCGTGTGCATGTGAGTGTGCATGTGCGTGTGTGTGTGCGTGTCCGTGTGTGCATGTCTGTGCAATGCAGGGGGTGGAACAGGCAGTACACGTGTGAGGTATGGGCTCTCTTACACCATCACTCCCTTCATTTCGGTGCACCGATGCTGTTTCCCCCCCACCCCGCCGTGCCCTGTGCCCTTCCACCAGCCAGCACGGGAATTCTTCCCCGTCGTGAAAAGGCCGCTGGCCCTTTAAGAGCTGTAATTCGGCGCTGTCCCTTTAAGGGGAGGGCACATTCCGCTTTGCGCATGCGCACCCCCTCCACCGCCCGTCTTCCCCCTCCCCGGGCACGGCGGACAGCCGCCCTCTTTACTGCGGCCGGAAGTGCGCGGCGCCTCTTCCGGAGCGGCGTCAGCCCTTCCCCAAGATGGCGCCGGCGCTCGGACGCTGATTGCTCGGGCGTCGCGCGAGGCCCCGCCGTCGCCGCCGCCGCCGCCGTTCACTTCCGGCCGGCGGCGGCCGATGGGGGAGCGGCCATGGGGCGGCGGGAGCGGCCGGCGGCGGGGCGGGGCGGGGCGGGGGCCTCCCGCCAGCCGGCCTGAGGTGAGGGGGCGGCGGGGGCCCGGCCTGGGCCGCGGGAGGCCTGGCTTGGCGGGGGGGGAAACCGGGGTGCGGAGAGGGGTTTGGGGGGGGGGGGGGGGGCCGCGGCCTGGGGAGACCCCCGCCTGGCTGAGGCGGCGGGCGCTACGTTATTGAGCAGCCCGAGGGAAGGGGCTGGTGGTCCCCGGGGCTGCGGGACGCGGCGGGGGGGGGGGGGGGGGGGGGTGGGCGTGAAACCACGGCGCTGGGAAAAACTCCACGGCTGCACCCCCCCCCCCCGCTGCTCCGCTCGGTGACCTTGAGCGGGTACCGTGCCAAACTTTGCCCGCGTTTTCCGCCTTTAGAAAAGCACATCGGATTTATTTTTCTTTTTGTGTGTGTGTGACTGGCCAAACGTAAGCGCTGGTGGCTTTAGCGATAAGGTGGGAGGGTGGGCGGTTGCACCAGCTGCCCGGCCCCTGCGCACGGGAGGTGGGGGGAAGGCAGCACGGGGTTGGGAAGCGCTGCCCTTAGAGTGTCTCTGCCTCATCGTTTACAGGCAGACAGCTGCTGGCAGAGGGACTGCAGTTCTTCAGCGAGGCTGTTTTGATATCCGCTTCAATCTTGGGGTAAATTTAAGGAGAGCAACAGTAAAGACTGAAAACGGAGCTGCCTGCTTAGGCCGGGTTCGGCGTAGTGTGGCACAGATAAAAGGCTTCAAATCTGAGAGACTTGTAGTGGATTTGTTTGATCTCGTGCCTTCCCACTTGAGAGGATCTCCACAGGAAACCGTGTGTGGCAGTTGGAGCTCGGGAAGGCAGCCTCACCGCCTGCTTCTGGATGGTTCCCAGGCCCTAGTGCGAAGGCATTAGTATGCTGAGCAGGAGACATCCTTGGGCAGGGGTACACAAAGGCCCTGTCTTTATTTGCCAAAGAATTGTGTTTAGAAACAGCTGCAGCAAAAATGGTTTGGAGAAACAGATTGATGAGGCCGTATGAAAGAGGATGTAAACTGTGGGGGGGTTCATACTAAGTTGCAGTCTGTGTTTAGAAGACTGAAGCTGTATCCTGTAGGTCATGCCACAAACCAGCGAGAAAGCAAAAGCAGATACAGTCTGCTTGGTAATCCTCTGCTTTAATTTCTAGGCAGAACTTTGAGAAATGCTTTTCTATTCATAGTGAGAAGTCACCACGTGTATAAATCTATTGAAGTTGTAGTTTTGGCATGGAAACTGTTCAAGTGTTGAAGTACTGAATGGCTCCGTGACCTGAGAAGGGGAAGCTGGTGTACTTGTATTTCGTTTTAGAGGGCAGGTCAGTTCTTTTGAGATTTAGCAATTACTTTTATATCAGTCTCCCCCAAATTACTTGAAAGATCATCAGAGAGTTACTGAAACTGAATGCAACACTGCTCTGAGCAAGGCTTTAGATTTAATTTGTGGAGGAATAAATGCTCTGAGCAAAACTCTCACCTTGGCAGAGCAAGAACTGTGATCATGGTGGTCAAATCGAAGGCCGGGATGCCTTCCCTCTTCAACTCCCCTGAACGACAACAGTTATTAGTAAAAGCCCAAAGAAAGTACAGTTGCTTCCCCAAGGAGATTATGGTTAAATTCTAAAAGCAAAGCACTACAGTACGTGAAACTAAATAAAAATCAGGGATACTTTATTATTATTATTATTTATTTCCCTTATTACAGCAATGAGGACCTTTCTTAGCACGTACACCTTACCTTTCACATGAGGAGCTCTGTTACATTCCAGGTTTTGGGTGACAGAGGAATTTGGAGTATGGACTAAACTCTCAGGCTTCACCAGGAAATTGCATTGCCTAGACCTTTTTTTCCTTTGGTTGTTTGTTTGTTTTTGTTTTTTTTTTTTTAATAATAAAATATTAAGCTAGCAGGACTCCTAACAAGAACAAAATGATGTTTTCACAGGTGCTGTGTGCAGGTAATTCCTGTGTAGGGAAGTTTATGCTGTCTAATTACGCCTGTATTAGTGAACCAGCAATACTGTAATTATAATTAAAGCAATGCACCTTCTATTTAGACAAGCCATGGTATTTGTTATGTGTTATCTGTCAAGTCATTTGACTGTAACAATGAAGTGTAGTTTTCTTTGTATCAGGTAAAATAGGATTTCCCCCACCCTCCCTGTTGGACCTGGATGCCCGTGGGTATTGTTAACTTCACTGCCTGTCAGCACGAGCCTTGGCAGCCTTTACACCATTTGCTGATGTTAAACAAATATTTTGTTGGCAGATAGGCAATGAAATGGTCTGTTAATAGCACCCCCCTACTATAATTTCATAATCATAATTTCTTCTCTGTGCCAGAGGTAAATAATTGCTGTTGTTTTGTTACTGCGTTTCTAACCAAATGGCTCTTGGCTGTTTGAGCTCTTTTCGTGAAGCCTGAAATTTATGCTGTGGTCTTCCTGCATTACACTGATAATGTAAAATGACCCCCAGATTGGTGTATGGCGTTGACTGCGTCTTGAGTTCTCATTCGGTCTACGTTCAGAGTAAATCTGTTTTCAGTTCTCTGGTTTTGGCACACTTGTTCCAGTTTCTACACATGCAAGTGGAGCTACTCGGTGTTGCTCTGCTCTCCAACAGTTCAGCTTGTGCCTGTGCAATGACTTCAATCAAATACCTGTTTGCCAGAGCCTGAACTATAAGCTGTGATGCAGCTGCAGTCAAGCCCTTTCTAAAAATGTAGCAGCCTGTTACTCCTGAAGACCCGTAGACTTTTTTTGATACGGAAAGAAAGTTCTTGTGGTTGTTGAAGTAATTGGTTTCGTGTTGAGTTGATTCTTCGAGATGCTTTTCGCTTTTTGCTTGTATATGCCTGGCCTTGCGAGGAGGTTAGCTTATTTTCAAGCTTGGTTAATCATACACCAAGTTAGAGCAAATTACAGCTAAAAGGGGGGCGGATGGAACTACCGAGAGTCTTGTGCTGGGGAAGCAGTTGGTGAGTGCCAGGACGTGGCTGCTTGCGGGATGAGGCGCAGCGGTGGTGCGGCAGGGGCCGGAGCCAGGCTGAGGGTCGGCAGTGGGGGAGGCTGAACCAGGAACCTTCCCCCCTGGTTCCTCCGTTCCTGGGACTGTCAGCCTGCCAAAACCAGAAGGGTGACAGGTTTGTGAGAGTTATCAGACCAGAAGCGGTGATGCGGTATTGGGAGCGAGGATGAACTTTGCTCACCTTAGCTAAAAAGCGCAGTTAGGCACTGCTCAACTGAGATCCCTGGGTGGGGACTTTTAACCCTTTCTTTCCAGGGTTTTGGTCATCAATGTGGAGAACTCTACGTGGCTGTTTGCATTTCTCTTTTTCTCCCATTGTTGCTTCTCTTTTTCACATCCTCTCTTCCCCCTTCCCTGGCTTGCATCACCCTCTAGCTTTAGGAAGGTTGAAATGGAAACAGCCAGAAAAACATCTAATTTGTGCAGGGAATCTGGGAACACAAATGGAGACTTGTCATTTCCTTCTCTGTGCAGAGCCTGGGACTGAAAAGTGACATCCTGACTTCTAGAAGCATCACAAACCCAGGATGACTGGGGAGAAGCTGCTTTGGTTGACAGTCCAGATTCCTGCGTGTTCGTTAAAAGGTAGTGCTCGCGGTTGGGGCAGTGCTCTTCCTCTGTGGATCTGAAACTGCTTTGCAAAGTCTGGCGAGCTTTGATTTGCACCAGAGTAGTCTAGACTGTAGTGAGAACCGCCGTGTGTGCAGACTGCTGTTAGAGTTTATCGAATAGCTACGGTGACATCAGAAGGTGCCGCCATCAGCCACGTGGTACGGCCCTGCTTCCTGAGGTTACAGTCCCACCACTCTGCCAGCAGAACAGTTTCTGCGGGGGCTGTCTGTGTACTTCAGGAGAATCAGCAAAGTTGGGTGAAGTAGCCTGCTTTTAGCTGAGTTGGGTGCATCATCGTCTGCTGAAAGTGTCTCTCGTTTCAGATGCCAGCACTTCCAGTCTAGTCAATCAAGATAGGAGGGCTGAGCCTGGATCTGCTCTGTACTTTTGAGGTAGATCTGGGGCATACCACCTCTCTTCCCCCACTGCAAGGAGTCATGGAGGACAAACGCAACATCCCCATCATTGAGTGGGAGCACCTGGACAAAAGGAAATTCTATGTGTTTGGGATTTGCATGACTATGATGATCCGGGTGAGTGTTTACCCGTTCACACTCATCCGGACACGGTTGCAGGTTCAGAAGGGCAAGAGCCTCTACAACGGGACTTTTGATGCTTTTGTGAAAATCCTGCGGACAGAAGGGACAGCTGGGCTCTACCGTGGCTTTTTGGTCAACACTTTCACCCTGATCTCTGGACAGTGCTATGTGACAACGTATGAGCTCACTCGAAAGTATGTGTCACGGTACAACAACAACAATGCTGTGAAGTCTCTCGTGGCAGGTGGCTCAGCCTCCTTGGTGGCCCAGAGCATCACGGTGCCCATCGATGTGATCTCCCAGCATCTCATGATGCAGAGGAAGGGGGAAAGCATGGGCAGGTTTAAGGTGCAGAACCAAAATGGCAAGCGGATGTTGGTCTTTGGCCAAACCAAGGACATCATTATACAGATTTTCAAGGCCGATGGCTTTAGAGGCTTCTACAGGGGCTACGTGGCCTCGCTGCTCACCTATATCCCCAACAGTGCAGTCTGGTGGCCCTTCTACCACTTCTATGCCGGTAAGTGAAAAGAGATCTCGAATGTATCTTATCCCAGGAGACCTAAAGCCCCTCAGATCAACTCTGAAACTGTGGACCCAACGTGATTTGCTTTTGTTTATTGGATAGGAGCAGAACCTGTCTTGAAACAAATAGCTGTATCCAGTTTAAACGAATTCTGCAGACGTTGGGTGGAATTTTGAGAGCAGCATGGTTTTAAATGCAGATTTAAAGAATAGGGGTCTCGGTGCTAGAGGGCTTAAAACTAGATGGCCCCAGGCAAGAGGGACTTGATGCATCTACTTTAACTTTCTCTTTCGCTAATTCCAAATAATGCTTGCTTTCTGCATGGAAGTGAGGAAGGCTGTTGTGTGGCACTGGGCAGAGTTTTGAAGCCACCGTGTAAGTATAATTCGTCTTTCAGTTCACATGGACTCAAGAGTCTTGTGTATGGAAAGAAGACTCATAGAGCCACAAATCTCATAGCAAAACCAAACAACAGGCAGAGACAAATCAGTCTGGTTTGGGTTGGAAGCAACCTTAAAGATCATCCAGTCCCAACTCCCCTGACACAGGCAGGGCCCCCTTCCCCCAGCCCAGGGTGCTCCCAGCCCCGTCCAACCTGGCCTTGAACCCTTCCAGGGAGGGGGCAGCCACAGCTGCTCTGGGCACCCTGGGCCAGCGCCTCACCCCCTGCACAGGGAACAATTTCTGCCTTAGAGCTAATCTGAATCTCCCCTCTTTCAGTGTAAAACTGTTACCCCTCGTTCTACCCCCATACCCCCTCATAAGGAGTCCCTCCCCACCTTTCCTGTCCCCCCTTTAAGCCCTGGGAGGCCGCTTGAAGGTCTCCCCGGAGCCTTCTCTTCTCCAGGCTGAACCCCCCCAACTCTCTCAGCCCGGCCTCCCAGGGGAGCTGCTCCAGCCCCCCCAGCATCTCCGTGGCCTCCTCTGGCCCCGCTCGAGCAGCTCCGTGTCCTTGTGATGTTGGGGGCCCCCGAGCTGGCCCCAGCACTGCAGGGGGGTCTCCCCAGAGCGGAGCAGAGGGGAAGAATCCCCTCCGTGGCCCTGCTGCCCTCCCTGCTCTGGCTGCAGCCCAGGGCACGGTTGGTTTCTGGGCAGTGAGTGCACGGTGCTGGCTCACAGGCAGTTTTCCCCCCACCAACCCCCCAAGTCCCTCTCCTTGGAGCTGCTCTCCAGCCAATCCTCACCCAGCCTGGGTTTGTGCTGGGGATTGCCCCAACCCACAGGCAGGACCTTGCCCTTGTTGAATTCCATGAGGTTTGCCCGGGCCCCCCTCTTCAGTCTGGCCAGGTCCCTCTGGATGCCATCCCTGCCCTCCCGCGTGTCCCCGCACCACACAGCTCGGTGTCACTGGTGAACTTGCTGAGGATGTACTCAATCCCACTGTCCATGTCGCCAACAAAGATGTTAAAAATCGCTGGTCCCAACACCGACCCCTGAGGAACACCACTCATCACTGCTCTCCACATGGGCATCGAGCAGTTGACCACAACTCTTCCGTGGTTTTGTGTCTTAAGATCATGCTTCCATTTCCAGAGCTTTAGAACTGGCATCAAGCCTTGTGATAGAAAACTGCACTTAACAGTACGTTCTCTCTCCCTAGCTCAGCTCTGGTAATCCTCAGGGTGTTCCCAAATACTAAAGATAATGATCAGCTAAGATTTATTTTTTTCCCCCTGATAATCCTTTAGATTTTTGTCATGCAGCTTTGCATGTGGTTTTTAGACTAATGTTTACCTAATAGCAATCTGCCTAAAAGTGATGATAATGAGAGGCTTAGATTTCAACGTACTAGGCTTAAAGCACATCTTGGAAATCACCTGCTTTTAAAAATACAGGTGTCTCAAATGTCTAGTTTGCTTTTCAGAGTGGGCACATTCTGGTAACAATGGGGAGCACTGGCTATGCATCAGTGCTACATTTAGATGGCAACAGCAGCTTAGGTGGTTGGTCCAGTCTGAATTTGGTGGGAGTGCTCCCTCACTCCACGTCAAAAAATTTTAATACCAAAGTCTACTGTATTAATTGTAAGATTTTCATGCCAAAAAGGTTCGAAAGCGGATGTCTAAGAACAAGTTGATATGGACTGAACAGAGCTTGCCTCTTTCAGATGTTTGCTCTGTTTCCTAGTTTTCTGCAGTGGAAGTCAGGATGATGGTGAGCATAAGCCCCGGCTGTCAATGCATCTCTGCTTTGGCTGCCTTTTCTAGTCCTCCGTCCCTGGACACTGTGCTGGGCTGGGCTGGCAGCAGCCAGGGTCACTGGACCTTCCTCGGGGCTCAAAGTACACTGCTGGCAGCGATTCCGATCAGTGCTCTGGGTGGAGAACAGAGCAGCTTCATTCCCTCTTGCCAGATAGACACAACCACCGCATCATCCAAAGAAACTGGGACTTTTGGACTGTCTTCTGTACAACTTGAATCAACAAAAGTGTGGGAGATTCAAATCCCAGTTGCCAGGTAGCAGGAGCAGGATGAGGAAATCCCTGGGATGAGCAGTACGTAGTGGTTTTTTCCTCAGAGATCCCACAGCCAGGAGACCGTGGGGATATCTCTCGGACAGTGAAAGCTTTCTGGATCTGTGCGAATCTCTGCAGATAACTTCCAATAGCCTTGTCTAAAGGTTTCCCCTCTGCCATTTGAAGGAGGGTGAATGTTTCCATGCTCTGTTTTGGGGATGTACAAGCTTATTCTGCCCAGCAGGTCTAAGTGCCTGTGTTTGAGCTGATCAGAGTCTGTAGCATGAAGCACAGAGGCGCCGGGGTGTTTATGGGCTTGCTACTGGCACTTTGCTAACTTTCTGGTTGATGCAGAAAGAGCTGCTTAGACATGCTGTGGGAGGAGGTGACAGGTTGTAAATCAGGAATTCTGCCCACTGCAAATCAGCTTAAATTAGCTGATCGAGTTAAGGAACTGATAAGCGGCCACTCGCCTGAAACTTTACTTTCCCTCCTGTTCCCAGAACAGCTTTCGAGCTTGACTCCTAAAGACTGTCCCCATCTCCTCCTGCAAGCTATATCGGGGCCACTTGCAGCTGCAACAGCTTCCACGCTCACCAACCCCATGGATGTCATCAGGGCTCGGGTTCAGGTAAGTGCTCAGCCTGCTTGGCATGTCTGCCTGCAACAACAGCGCAACGCAGGGGTGGGGTTCGGTCTCAGCTCTTTGATCTCTGTGGCTTCAGGTAAACTGCTCCCCTTCTCTCTCTCTCTTCGTAGGTTGTTTTGTCCTAGATACTGTGCTGCTTAATTTGCACTCAGCATTAATAGGAGGCAGCTCAGGTAGCAAGTCTGGCTTTGCCTCCTTTGACTGCTCAAATGATGTTCCCCAGCAGATGTGGCATCCTTCAGAAAAGGAGAGGTGCTTCTAGCAGTGTCCGTTTTAGTGAGACTTGAGCTGTTGTGTTGATCCAGCCCCTTCTAGGTGGGGGCAGGTGAGAGGAAGCAGGAGACAGGTCTAGGAATCCTACTTACTGCTGCCTCTTTAGGACTTCTTGCTTCCCTCCCCCCTTCAGGGAGTTCTGGAGACTAGATCAAGGTTATTGGACGGGCTGATCTGTTGTGTCTAGAATCTTCAGTCGGAGCAGAGCCCCAGAGGAGCTCAGCATGAAGTCTGGCAGCTTTGTGAATATTTGTTCTGGCTTTGCAGGTGGAAGGCAAGAGCTCCATCATCCTCACCTTCAGACAGCTCATGGCAGAGGAAGGACCCTGGGGCCTGACTAAAGGCCTCTCTGCCCGCATCATCTCGGCGACTCCTTCCACCATCGTCATCGTGGTGGGGTATGAAACTCTGAAGAAGCTGAGCCTCCGCCCGGAGCTGGTGGATTCAAGACACTGGTAGAGCCAGCTGCTGGAAGAGAAACCGTCCTTTGAACCTGCTGAATTTGGACCGTCACGGTTGAAAGCTCAGGAGAGGCAGCTGCCATCTCCTTTGTCTCTAGCTGGTTTCACAGTACAAAGCAGAAGCAAGAGCAACTGCAATTCACCTCTTTAGATTTGATTGTAATACAATGCTCTGCTGCTGTTTCTGCTTAAAACCATCAAAATGTGACCTTTGGCAATGCTGTTTGCCTGTGACAGTTCATTCAAAAGCAGCCAGGTGTGTGAATGCATCCTGGCAAGTTCTTAATTCCCTTTTTTTTTTTTTTAAATTAAAGACTTACTGGCTGAAGCAAAAAGCCAGTTTATTCTTTAAATTATTTTCATCGTTGCCAGACTTCCGAGGAGGGGAGTCTAGCAGCCTGCAGCAGAGCCCTCTGGTGGGTTGGGTGCTGATTGCAGTTGTACTGTGGGAAGCTGGAAGAATAGAATAGACAAGTAAATTCCTCCAATCACCCACACTTATTTCTAGAAGATGTGAGATGAGAGTAACCTGGAACCACTTAAGACCTTATTTACTGCGTTTTGAATAGATCTGTACATACCTTTTTTGTATGTTCTTGGAAAATGTTTCCTATCTCTCATCCTTCAAACAGCAAGCTGGCTGATAGGCAAGCTAGGAGTTGAGCTGGCTGTTTGTAATTAGCTGATGGCAATTTTGACACCTAACCTGTGTTTTTAATCTGTTGTTATTTAATTTTTTTTATTTTAGGGAAGCTGCTTCTGATTTCTGGGGGACTGAGTGGTTGTTCTGTGGCCTTGTTCAATGTGAGTGTCAATACTGCATGTTCAGGGTGGCTGCTGCCACTTCCCACCTTTAGTTAGTTTAAGCACAAACAAATGCAGCGTTTGGAAGTGTCAGATTGCTGTGCTGCCAGCAGCCGAGAGGAGAACTGAATGTGATTAGAGCTACAACTGGATGTGAGGTGGGGAAGAAGAAAAAAGCTTGTACTGGCTTTTGATCCAGTTCAAACCTGATTGGCATGTTCATATTGAATAAGAAGTAAGGTTCACTAATACTTTGTAAGTTTAAATCCTGCTTATCCTGTTTGGGAAGGGCAAGGATAATTCTTTGCACACTCTTGCTGGATCAAAATCCTGAGCTACGGTCTGTGCGTTTTACCAGATGCAAACTTGCAATCGAGTGATGAAGCAAGAGGCTGCTCCGTGGGGAGGAGGAATGAAGGGATTGTTTAACTTCACTCTGCTGGTCTCAATATTTGAGATTTTCCTCTCGTGATGCCAGCGCACACATGGTGCTCGTCTCGGTTAGTTGTACGTCTGCGAGGTGGGAGATACACCTCCAAATAACAGATGTATCGCCACCTCTGTTCATCTCACTGCCGTAACAAGGAATTCTTGGTTGTTAGCATTGATGCTGCCAAACTCTGGCTGCTCCCAGGCGGGTTTTATTCACCTGGGACTTGCTAAGCGTGGTTCTTGCCTTCATCCCAATGGCTGCGGTTCAGCCCCGGCAGAGACTGGATGTGCCACAGTTTCTGCTGGAGGTGGAACAAGTACAGGCAGATGCTGCTGAAGCTGGAGAGGGACCTCTGTTTAAGGGCAGAACTTGGTTATAAGATCCAGTACTCTTTAATGGGGTTGCAAATGAGTCATCAAGGGCCTGTTAATCCGACCTTTGTTTTCCACAGCATTAAATAAGGTGATGTATGCCTGAGCCACTGACAGAGCTGTTCAAGCTCTGTCACGTTTTTATCATTCAAAAGACAGCTCCAGTTGGCTCTTTCTGTAATAGCAGATTCTGCTCTAAAAAGTAGAACAGCAGCATGATAAGATTGCAAGAAAGTATCCCGAGCTGGTAGCCCCCTTCTTGCACAAAGGCGGCAGCGATACCGATATTAAAAGAAACAATAACAACCAGCTTCTGCTGATTACCAGCAGGGTAAGTCCTGGTGTGTGTCACAGAAGAGGCAGACGGTGCAAATGTAGGGAGGTGCGCTCAAGCTTAATATTCCCCTCTTAACCAGCAAAGTTCTTGACAACTAATAAACTTCAGAGACCTTCAGTTTGACGCCTGGGTTTAAAAGCGCGTTGGTCACAGTGACTGAGGGAGTTCTGTCATTTCACAGCGAAGCGTTCTTGGTGTTAACGCTTTGCCTTCCGCGTAGCAGCAGGAGGGACCTGGCCAGCAGAGACTGCCTGAAGAGACGGTGACAGGCACTGCGAGCAAAGCTGAACAAGCTGGAAAAAAAAAGGGGCTTAAGCAGGTGTAGTCCCTGAAACCAGAGATTAGTTGTAAATCCGGATCCTTCTTTACAAACTGTGGTTGTTTCTGGTTACAAGCAGCATCTCAACAAGGGAAAAATGTATGAGGTCTGTTCCTTTTCCCCCTCTCTCTGTGCTGAACTTGGATTAATCTTCCCTTTTTGAATTCTTCAGGCTTGATCGTTTTATTTCATTAAATGATCGGGAATGTTGTCAGGCTGTGAGCAGAGTGGGGTGAGGGTTAACCCAGGGGTCTCAGCAGAGGGGTTATTATATATATATACACCTATATATATGTGTGTGTGTGTATATATATATACACACACGCAATCAGCTTATTGTATTTATCGCCCTGCTCCAGGGACTAGTCCGCTCTTGCCTTCCCTGATGCAGCAGATGAAGCATTTCGGCCCCTTGTGATTTTTATTACTTCGGGGGTTTTTAGCGCTTAAGCCATTTTGGGCGGGGGGGGCGGGGCTACGAGCGACCCCGCCCCTCCGCCTCGTGGCCACGCCCCGCCACCTCCAGACAGGCGCGGAGCGCACAGCTACCCCGCATGCGCAGCAAACAGGGGCGGGCCTTCCCCCCCGCCGCGCACCCACCAATGGCAGCGGTGCGGCGCGGCGGCGGCAGCCAATGGGCGGCGGCGGCGGGGTCGTTGGGCGGCTGGAAATGGCGGCGGCGGCGAGCGGCGCTGAGGGGGCGGCGGCGGGCGGCGAGAGCGGTCCGAGCGAAGCGGCAGCCCCGGGCCGCGCCCAGATGTTCGCCACCGTGGTGGACACCTTCCTCGAGAAGCTGGTGGCCGCCGGGAGGTGAGGCGGAAGGGGGGTCCCGCCGGGGGCTGTCGCGGGGAGGCCGCGGGCCCTGGCAGTGACACCCCCCCCCCCCCCGGTTTTGCAGCTACCAGAGGTTCGCGAACTGCTACCGCTGCTTCTACAAGCTGCAGCCCGAGATGACCAGGAGCATTTACGACCAGTTTATATCCCAGCTGCAGGCGTCCATCAAGGTGAAAGGGGGAACGGGGTCTTCGTGCCTTCGGGAGGCGCCGCCCTCCTTGGTGTTAAGGGTGGCAAATGCAGAAACAGAAAATTAAGACCGCTCCCCAAAGGTTCTTCCAGACCTGCCTTTCCTAGAAGGAGCTGTAGAACCACAGAACCATTTAGGTTGGAAAAGACCCTTAAGATCACCGAGTCCAACCGTAAACTTTGCACTGCCAAGTCCACCACCCAACCACGTCCCCAGGCGCCACGTCTACAAGTCTATTAAATACCTCCAGGGATGGCGACTCAATAGCCGGTGATTCCCAGGACGTAGCCTTCATCCAGGGAAAAGCGAGGGCTCCTGCGCGGAATGGTGCCTGTGTCAGTTGAGTCTGGGTCCTGCTGAATCCCTGTGGTGTCTTTCCTTCACAGGAGGAGATCCAGGAGGTGAAGAATGAGGGAAATCTGGAGACGGTCTTTAATTCACTGGATAAGATCGTGGAGGAGGCAAAGAACCGAGAGGAGCCTGCGTGGTACGGACAGTCTGGGGAGCGTGTGCGCGTTCCTTCAAGAGCAAAAGTCACTTCCCAGGGGATGTTTGGACCGTGTTGATGTGTTCTGTAGTCCTTGTGCTGCAAGGGAATTTTCTAAACCTCCTGTACCTTGACAGCAATGGCACTGTGTCTGAAGCATCAGAAAAAAAGTTTTATCTATGCTTCTCTAGGTCATGTATCTGGGCTTCCTCAGTGTAAGGAGGAGGTTAGTGCTGCTGAGACCAGGGGGAGGTAAACTCAATTCTGAATAATTCAAAAAGCTGATGGCATGTTTTAGGCACAGATAATGTTCTAATAGCAGAGCACTTCTTGTTGGGATGCCTTGCTCGGGGACTCAGCAGGCACTGGCAGTGTTACGCTCTGCCTTTCATTCGCCCCATAGGGGCAGGCTGGGTCTTGTAATCAAAAGTATCATCACACTTACTTGTTTCTGTGATCGGGGAAGCTAATTACACCCTGCCTGCCTCCAGGCCTCAACTAACAGAAGGGTTTTGGAAAGGTCTCCTCCCACTCCTCTGTGCCTGGCGCTGGGGGGGGCTGCATGGTGGGGTGCCCGTTAGACGCGCACGTTCTGGCTGCCCTCGAGCTTCCCCTGCCAGGGGTAAACTTACAGCAGCAGCTCGGCTCCGGGTTGAGGTGTGTGAGACTAATTGCTGTGCAAGACTGTTGCTCTCTGCTTGCTTCACATCCCAGTTTGTTCCCAGGCGTCCCAGCGGGATCCCGGAGGAGGACATTCGCAGCGCCATGGTGCCGTACCTCCTTAAGCACCGGTCGTACTTGCAGAAAATCCTGAAGGAGAAGGAGGAAGAAAACAGGAAGGTGGCAGAGTCGGTGCTTGCGGGGAGGGATAGGATTGCAGAGCTGCAGCAGCAGATACAAGCTCGCAAACATGCCTGGCAGGTAAAAATAGAAAATAAACAAATAAAACCCCCTTCTCTCCGCAGCATCAGCGTGCAAGAAACGCTGTTCTGCGGCTTGCCTGGCAAATGGCTGCACTATATTTAAGCCCTCCACTTGTCAAAGGCCTCACCAGGGGCCAGGTGCTGCTGGCATCAGCCTGGGCGTTTTCACTGGAGTTCCTGGATGTTTTTCCCTGTGCACTGGGTGGGATGTTTCTGTGGGTGAGATGAGTGGGTTGCGTTCCGTGACAGGCTGGCGACGGCAATGTATGCGACGCTCTGTTTTATATCAGCCTGCTTTGCGTCCTGAACGCCGGCGTCTGTGGAGGAAGGCACTTTGCTGAGTGCAGTGGTGATTGTTTTCCTTCTAGGCAATTAGTAAAGAGCAACGAGAACTCGTCATGACATTCAAGGAGCCCCAGTGAGGAGGCGGGGAGATCCTGCGCGTTTCGTGGGGGGAGTTTATCCTCGTCTCGGAAGCGCTGCCGACGCGGTGGGAAGCAGGACTCTCTGCGTGGCGTGTCCAAACCACTTGTGTTCATCCTGTCGGGCCAGAAAAAAAACTTGCGGTGGGACTGAAAAGCTGCCGGACTTGTACAATTTGATCAAAGTTTGCAAAGAAATAAATAAAAAAAAAAAGAACGCATCAGGATCTTTGGAAACAGATAACAATTGCCTGTTCCCCGCTCAGCTCGACAGGGAGGAGAATCCGACAGATCTGGTAGCCAGAGCGTGTCTGTGCACTCGCACGCTGCTTTAGCGCTGTGCTGGGCGTGATTCTGGCTTACTAAAGCCAGATTTGTGGCCTTGATGGTATTTCAGATGTGCATTAGAAAAAAATCGGTGCCGTATGCTGTGCCCAGGAACGAGGGGCTGGGGAGCTGTAGCACACGGAGCCCGCAGTCGGGTAAGTGCTGCCGTGGCGTTTTGTCCAGCTGGAGCATAAATGACCACACCGGCCTCTTCTGCCACGTTTTTCAGTGTTCATCGTCAGTACCCGTGTCTTTAAAGCATTGTCTGCCCGTGACCCATCAGCACAGACGTGTCAGCAGCTGCTTTATCACTCCGTGTTCCTCCTTACCAGTTAATCTTTTTTTTTATTTTCCCCTTAATTTTCCACCCTGCTCCCCTCCCGGCAGGTAGATGCGCGCTGAGGGCGCTTCCCCGAGGACCGCGGCGTGAGGCAGCCGGGGACGAGCAGAGCTCTGAACACCCTGCGGGCTCGTGGCAAAGGGGTTTAATGTTTTCCCATGAAACCTCCACCTCGACTCCTAGAACCAAACTGGGTTTGTTTTTTACCCAGCCGGAGTTGTTCTTTACTCGGTGGCTGTTAGGGAAGCCCTGCAAGTGAGCGTGTCTTTGAAATGAAGAAAAAGGGCGTTCCTCTGGGCTGGGCAGGTAATGAGGAGAGTCCTCCTGAGCCTGACAGGGGCTGGCTGCGGCACCAGCTCTGCCGAGGGCAGCGGGTTCTCTGTCACCTAGCGTGCGCCTCGCCGGTGCGTGCGTGCTGTCCCCGGGAGAGGCTGGGCCCAGGTTGGGGGGGGAAAAACAAATTCTGAGAACAGCGGTGGCCGTTTCCACCACGCACAAGCCGCTGGTTTCAATTAGAGGCATCCAGAGCCTGCAACTGACTGACTTAGGCATATTTTCCCTCTGTCGTAAACAAGCCTTCCCTCGCTGCATTATAATCTAAATAAATTGGAGCTGTTGTTCCCCCGGTCTTGGCTCCCGCTGTGTGCGCTTGGCCCGCGTACTCTATAGTTTATGGGTTTGTTTGACAAAGGCTCTGCCTTCAGCATTTCTCTCCTCCTCCGCCCCAAAAGCCTCCGGTTCCGCTTTTCATAGACATGGCAGGGATTTAGAGGATCTGAAAGTCGGGAAAGCGGTCAGGATCCCGAAGAGGAATGTCACCCCGGGCGGCCCTGGGAGCTCCCACTGCTCGGAGCCCTCCTGGAGTTAAATGGGAGCAAACTGGTGTGGGGGGAACACTGCTGGGTCTTGTGGAGAGTAGGAAGTAAAAGGATGGATGGACAAGAGATTCTGCCCCTCCAGCTGCTCCACTCCCTGCTCCGCTGCTCGCTGCCTGAACAGCAGCACAGGTTTTCTTGAAAATCCCTGGTTTGGGGTTTTAAGAGGTGCTGGGTCTCTTCCTGAGGGACCGTTTTTGGGAACAGGCTCTTGTCAGGGGCCCCAGCCCTGGCCCACACCGTGGGATGGGAGATGGGAAGGACCAGGAGAGCTGCGTGGAGACCAAGGCCAAGGGCACCGGCTCGCCCTCTCCTCCCAGCCGTGGCAGTCTGGAGCGGCTGGAGCACGCGCTGGTCCCCGGGGCAACAACTGGCCACCAAGTCCCCGTGCGGAGAGGAAAACCCCGTGGGTTTTGGCAGGAAACTCTCCTAGAGCAGCAACAACCCCGCTGGGACCCAGCAGTGGGAACTGGGGCAGCCCAGTCCAGCGCCTGGGGAGCGCGGCGAGGCGTCCCAGCAGTGCCCCAGCTCCCGCCCCAGTGAAGGGCTGGGGGACTTGGGTGCTGCCAAGCCGGCAGGGCTGGGCCCACCAGCAAACGGCCACTGGCCCGGGGCCGCTTTTCCCTCCCTGTGGGCTCCGGCCGGTCCCGGGGCAACCGAGTTCACCCCAAAACCACAATTGCCGCCTGTGCTGGCGGCTCCCGGCCCCGGCGGATGTTCTGGAAATAGCCCTGGCGGGGCCCCTCCTCGATGCCGGGGCGCAGCACCCTATAAAGCCGCCCGGGGAGCAGGGGCTGAGCCCAGCACAGCGCCGAGCAGCACCATGAAGCCCCTCGTCCTGCTGAGCCTCCTGGCCCTCCTCACCCTCGGCCTCTGCCGCAGAGGTACGGGGTGTCCGGGGTGGGGTGGGGGGACGATGGGGACCGGGGGGTGGAGGGGGGGCTGCGCCTCAGGAAGGGCTCTGGAGGGAGCAAAGGGAGATTTGCTGAGCCTTGGCGGGGAGGGTGCAGGGGAATGGAGCAGAGGGATGGAGCTCGGGGCTCCTTTTCCCAGGTTTGGGGGGGCTGGGGAGGGAGGGGGTGTTGTAGGTGATGAGAAACAACACACCCACACCCACACCCCCAAAAAATGAGGAGAGGGGTGAGGGCAGAGCCCACCGGCTGCCCTGACCTCTCGGCGCCGTCCCGCAGCTGCCGAGCGCTCGGCCAGCGCAGACGACTCGCCCAGCTCCGAAGGTGAGTTGGCAGCGGCCACCCCGGGCCCTGCTGCTGCGGGGACAGGGACACACCCCCCCCACACACACCACACCCCCCCTCCCCGGACCCCCAACCCCCCCCCTTTCACACACACCCCCCCACCACCACCCTGTCCCCGCAGCCTTCGTCTCCAAACGCGCCAGCGCCGAGATGGTGCGGAGACACAAGAGGAATTACATCTATGACAGGTAACGCTTGAGCCCGTTGTGCAGGGGAACGGTGTGTCCCCCCCCCGGCCCCGGGTGACACCGAGGAGGGGCTGGGGGGGGGGGGGGGGGGCGCCCATTCCCCAGCCGGCACATACAGTGAAGTCTTGTTTTGGGGAGGGGACCCTCCACCACCCTCTGCCTCCCGCATCTCTCCCCAGCAGCGTCTACGGGGCCGTGCGGGACCCGCTGGAGGCCAAGCGCGAGGTGTGCGAGTTCAACCCCGACTGCGACGAGCTGGCCGACCACATCGGCTTCCAGGAGGCATACCGGCGCTTCTACGGCCCCGTTTAACATCCCCGACCCCCCCCGACCCCCCCCCCCCCCCCAGCCATGCTGGGGCTGAGCTCAGAGCACCAACCCGCCCCCCCCAACCCCGAGCAGCCCCCACCCCCCACCCCCCTTTTACACCCCTTTCCGTTAATCGTGGAAAGAAATAAATGCACAGACGGTGTAGCCAGCTCCTTCCTAGCCTGAGGGTGCGGGATGGGAGGGAGACCCCAGCGGCTGTACCCCCACATCATCCCCCCCCCAGCCCCCAAGGCCAAGGAGCTCCAGCCTCTTCCTCCCTCTCTCAGCCCCCACAGGCTCCGGAGCAGAGCGGGTGCCCAGCAATGCGACGATGAGCCCAGGGCTTGCCCCACCATTATTCCAGTTTAATTTAAAGATGCTTGTCCCAAGCAGGGGGTTATTGGGGGGCAGCAGGGCTGCCCCACGGGTCCCAGAGCCCTGCGCCTTTCCCAGGGGCTGGGTTTCCGCAGCAAACCACCACTTCATTTAAGGCCGGGGTGGGAAACTTGGGGAAATTGGGCCCCTCACCCCATGCATGGCGCTGGGCTTGGCCATGGCATTCCCCCCCCCCACCCCCTTCTTGCACACCCAGTGTGCACACGTGTGTGTGCCTTGTGCTGGGGGCTGCCGGGCTCTGCCTCTCCTCTCGCCCCGAACCACCTGCGACGTTGCTGCACCCTCCCAGGGTGATAGATCCTGCCCCAAATTCATCTCCCGGGGTCCCACGGCACAGGAGCCCTGGCTCAGCCAGAGCCCTGACCCCTGCTCCCACCCTGCAGAGCCTTCGCCAGCCCTCCTCACCCTCACCTCGAGCCCAAAACCTTTGCTCTGCCTCCAGCCCCGGTCCCCTCCGCCACCCCCGGGGTCTGACACTGAGCAGTGGCCGTGGGGCCGTGCCCGCTGCCGTGGGGCCACCAGTGCTGCATCTCAGCCCCACTGGGCTGTGGCAATCCTGGACACACACACACACACACACACACGTGGGTCTCCAGGGTTTCTGAGCTGAACCTGGTGGGAAACGGGCCCCTGCAGTGGTCGTGGCTTTGGGGGTCCTGGGGTTAAAGGAGAGGGGGGGGGGGACGCTGCTACGTGGGTTAGATGCAGCATAAATGCACTACAGTGCCCTCCCTGCAGTGATGAGTAGGCTTCGCTGTATTTTAAAAGTGGGGAAAAAGTGGGGAAACTGAGGCATAGACAGCAGGGGTGCAGCTTTGCACGGGGTGGGGGGGCACCTAATTTTGTGGCACCCCAAGACACCCAACAGCAGGGCTCAGGCATCTGAGCCCCTCACTCTCTTCTCCCCCGGCTTGGAGGTGGAGGGAAGAGCTCTAGGGGTGCTGAGACATCCGGGCCCCCCCCCCCAGCCACTCACCCCACAGTGTCGCGGGTCCCTGCAGCGTCCAGCCTCGGTGGGGACACTTGGGGGGCTGCCGGAGCTGCCAGGCGCCGGGGGCAAGGCAGCGGTGAAGGCGCCGATGATGGCAGCGTTGCCCAAAAGGGCCAGTGCGGCAGTGCCAAAGGTGCCGGGGAGCCCGGGGGGGGGCAGGCGACCCTGGAGCCAGGCCCGGCGCGAGCACACGTCCCAGAGCACGGCTTCCAGCTGGAAATGGGTCCCCAGCACGGCGCAGATGTGGAAGAGCTGGTGGCTGTGTCCTGCCCCGGGGCGAGAGGCCAGCGTCACCCTTGGGTGCTGGGGCTCCTTGGCCAGCTCCCGCTGCAAGAAGGGGGGGGGGGGGGGGTTGTGTTTTGGGGGGGCTGGAGCTGCGGCACTGGGGGCTGCTGCTCACCGATGTAGTCGAAGCGGCCGGGCGCGAGGCGCTCGGGGAGGTGGGATGCGAAGAGGAAGGCGGTGAGAAGCGCGAAGAGGAGGTGGTAGCAGTACCCGGCCACAGCCTCATTCCAGGCGCAGTTACCCCAGAAGCAGAAGAGGAGCTGTGGGGAGGCGGGTGAGCAAGGGACGGGGACACACACACACACACCCCCCACCCCTGGGACCCCCACGGTGGTGGCATCTGACCCCTGTCCTGGGACACTCACCCGGTAGAAGAGGGGGATGTTGTCGTAGAGGAAGGGGTACACGAAAGCCGCCGTCCGCAGCACCTTGCTCAGCCGAGGATGCTCCAGCTCAGGGAAGCTGTGAAGGGGGAGCAGAGCAGGCGGGGGGCACGGACCCCTGTCAGCCCCCACAGCGAGGACCCCGCAAGCACCTTGGTTTTGGGTGCGACCCACTGCCTGGAGAAGGGGAGAACCTCCCCCCCCCTGAAACACTCTGCAGGACCCCAAAGCTGAGGAGGAGGAAACATCCAGCCCCGTTTTCCAGCCAGCTGCAGCACTGGCGCTTTTCCCCCAAACCTACCGGGAGTAGCAGGAGAGGCCGGTGCAGACAAAGGAGTTAAAAGCAGCCGTGGGGACAAAGTAACGGTGCAAAACGCCGCTGACCCAGTGGTCCGGCATTGCGTAGGCACCGTAGGCAAACGCACAGCCTGCAAGAGAAACACGGCTTCGTGGGGCCGGTGGCTCCCTGTCCCCGTCCACCTCCGTGTCCCCGTCCCCCTCCGTGTCCCCGTCCCCCTCCGTCTTCCCGTCCCCCTCCGTGTCCCCGTCCCCCTCCGTCTCCCCGTCCCCCTCCGTCTCCCCGTCCCCCTCCGTCTTCCCGTCCCCCTCCGTCTTCCCGTCCCCCTCCGTCTCCCCGTCCCCCTCCGTCTTCCCGTCCCCCTCCGTCTTCCCGTCCCCCTCCGTGTCCCCGTCCCCCTCCGTCTTCCCGTCCCCCTCCGTCTTCCCGTCCCCCTCCGTGTCCCCGTCCCCCTCCGTGTCCCCATCCCCCTCCGTCTCCCCATCCCCCTCCGTGTCCCCGTCCCCCTCCGTGTCCCCGTCCACCTCCGTCTCCCCGTCCCCCTCCGTGTCCCCGTCCCCCTCCGTGTCCCCGTCCCCCTCCGTGTCCCCGTCCACCTCCGTCTCCCCGTCCCCCTCCGTGTCCCCGTCCACCTCCGTGTCCCCGTCCCCCTCCGTCTCCCCATCCACCTCCGTGTCCCCGTCCCCCTCCGTGTCCCCGTCCCCCTCTGTCTCCTCGTCCCCCTCCGTCTCCCCATCCACCTCCGTGTCCCCGTCCCCCTCCGTCTCTCCGTCCCCCTCCGTGTCCCCTTCCCCCTCCGTGTCCCCATCCCCCTCTGTCTCCTCGTCCCCCTCCGTGTCCCCGTCCCCCTCCGCAGCGGCTCACCCAGGCTGTAGAGGCTGAGGGCTCCGTAGTCGCAGAAGTAGCAGATGTGGCGGGCGCGCGCCGACATGGAGCTGAAGGTGTGGGCGCAGCTGGAGGCGAAGGGGTAGAGGCAGACGAGCAGCAGGTAGATGAGCAGGGGCCAGTGGTAGGGCTCCCGGCAGAGCTCCAGGGAGGACGAGAGCACCAGGAAGCGCCACACGAAATACCTGCGGGCACAGGGGTGTCGGGGCGAGCCCCGTCCCTTCTTCGTCCCCATCCCCATCTCCCTCCTTTTGCCATTCCCATCCTCGTCCCCGTCTCCATCCCTGGCGCTCTCCCATATCCCCACCCCCGTCACCGCTCCTGCTCATGACCCTGTCCCCATCCCCACCAGGTCGGTAGGAAGTGTGTCCAGATGTTGACTGTCTCATTAGTCATCTGGAAGGAGCTGAGGACGCAGTCAAGGGCTGAGCTCTTGGGGTGCCGGTACCCTGACATGATCCCATCCTCCCAGAAGATCTGTGGGGACAGTGGGGGGCTGGTCAGGACCCACACCGAGGGGGGGTGTGGAGTGGGGGCAGCCCTAGAGAGCTGCTGTGGCCTCGTGACGGGTGGGGAAACTGAGGCAGGGTGGGCTGGGGAGCATCTCAGCAGCTGGAGCAAGGTCGGGGTGGGGAGCCCAGGTGATTCTTCACCTTGGGCGAGGGGGTTGGGGGGAATGGGGACAGAGCCGCCCCCCCCCCCCCCCCCCCCATCACCCACCCACACGTACCCGAGGCACCTGATGGACCCTGAAGATCTGCGGCAGCTTTATGGTCAGCATGGCGGGGCCGCGGCGCTCAGGGCTGGGGGTGTCGGGGTGCTGGGCCACAGCCCATGTCCTGCGGAGACGGGCAAAGTCCGCTCCCCGTTTCACCCTTCTAGAGAGCCAGAGCAGTTGCTGGGGGGGGGTCTAAGCAGGATCAGGCCCCCCCCAGGCCCAGGAGAGGGTGGATGTGACGGAGCCGTGGGTGGGGGCTGCAGCAAAGAGCCAAATCCTGCCCTCGTCCCCTGCCCCACTGCATCCCCCCTCCCCGTGGGGGCTCCTGACCCCGTTTACCTGCTCCGGGGATGTCTTTGGTAGGCACAGGCTCAGGACCAGGCCCCCACGGAGGGGGGAAAAGCCGCCCCGCAGCCCCCCCAGCCAGAGAGGTTTCGTTCTGCGAGGGCCAGGGTGAAGCGGGACACTGACCTCGGCGCCCGGGGAAGGTTTTCCCCTGTGGGGAAACTGAGGCACAGCACAAGGGAAACAGCACAGCAGCGTGAGGGGAGTCCCGAGTGCCCACCCCCCAGCCCAAAACTCCCCCAGGGGTTTAGAAGGGAGGAGAAGGAAAAAAAAAAAAAAACAAAAAACCCACAACTGAAAAGCATCCGGAGACACCTCCCACCAGCCTGCGTGGAGTGGGGCACTGGTGGGACGGTGGGTGACGCCGTGCTGGGTGTCCCCCCGCCCCTCGCCACCGTGGGTCGGGGGTCTCGGCCCCACGGCTGCCGCTCGCCGCCCGTGTCCTCGGCCGCAGGGTCCCTCCCCAGCTCCTGCTCGTTGGCGAAGGGGCATCGGGGCCTCAAAGGGAGCTTTGTGCTGGACACGCCGCCCGCCCTGCCACGGCCCGGCTGCCTGCTTTGGCTGAAATCCCCCCCCAAACCCCCCCCCCCCCCCCCGGATGCAAGACCCCGCACCTCCATCAGTGGAGGGACCATTGGAAAGTGGCTCCGGGCATCGGATTTTAAATGCCAACAAGCTGCAGCGATGGAGTGCCGGGTCCACGCGGGGACCCACAGCAAAACCCCCACCCGGTGACACCCCGGGGTCCCACGAGCGCTGCGGAGACCTGGGAGGCGGGAAAAGGTGAAGGAAGCAAAAACAGGTTTGGGGAAACCTTCCCCACTGACCTGGCAGCGTCCCGCTGGCGCGACGAGGGCTCGCCCGAGGCAGCAAAGGCGTCCCCGCCGCGGGTGGGTGCGGCCACCCTTCAGGAGCCGGAGGGCTGAACCGGGAGCGACGTTTTCCAAGCTCCCATCTTTGGGGGTGTATTTACCCCCGGAAGGGTCATGTTCCCGGCTCCGCCGTGGGTGCTGAGCACAGCACGGGGAGCCGCAGCACCCCGGGACGTGCAGCTCCAATCCTCCCCACCGGGCAGCGGCAGCCCCGGACGAGGGGAAGCTGAGTTTCTCCTCCCGGCGTTGCCAGAAGGTCGGTGGTGGGGTTTGGGGGTTCGTTGCCCGCCTGCAAAGGGACCTCCAGGCAGGGGTGGAGGTCCTGCTGTTGAAAAACCCCTGCGTGAAGCACTGCAAACCCCGCGGGGGGGGGGGGGGATTTATTCAGGGCAGGGAAATCACCTCTGCGCGCGGGGAGAAGCGGAGGCGCGGGGAACGGCCGGCGAGCGGGAGGCTGCGGGGGGCTTTCCAAGGATTCGGCCCCGCAACGAGCAGGAGCGGGAGCCCCAGCTCTCGCTCGGCCTCCTGAGGTTTTATCCTGCCCCAGTTTTGCAGGAGCAAACCCCTGGGATCGTGCCCCCTGGCCCCGACGGGGCGGCTCGGGCGGCCACACGCCGCCAAGAAAACGGGAGGCGCAGAGGGGGAGGCAGCGGCGCAGGGCCCCCGCTAAGGCCATCGGAGCCGGGCAGCCCCTCGGCACAGCCACCACCACCACCACCACCACCCCCTCCCCAAGCTGGAAGAGGCGTTTCCAGCCCCTCTGGAGGGGACAGGTCCCTTTTGTGCCACGGCAGGCAGCGGCGTTGGGACGCAGGGCACGTCTCGCCCCGCGGGAAGAAGTCACCCACGGTTTTTCCTCCCACCAGGAACTGAAAGGCGGATTCGCTTTTTCACAACCTCCCTCCTCCCACCTTCCCACTGCTGGCAGCCTCCAAAGAATTGGAGGGGGAGAATAAATTATATTGCTTTCCACTAGCAGAGGGAATAAAGGAGCTTTGGTGTGAATGAATATAGGGAATGGAAGACTTTTTCCCACCCCAGCTTCCCTCATCACCAGCGCCCGCCCCGGCCCCTCACAGAGCCAATTCCAAGCGTGCTGCCCAGCTCTGCCCCTGACGCCAAACTTCTGAAAGACATCTCGAATTAACACTTAAAAGTTACACATTTTTTAAAAATGTACACATTCCAACCCCCCTGAGAAGGTACCCAATAAAGCCCAGTGGTTATTTTTGCTGATCACAGTGTTGCTGGGGTTGGGGATGTTCCTGCGGGCAGCAACGTGCAGAGCCCCAGTGAAAGGATGGACTCGTCCCGAACCACAAAGGCAATGAGCAAAGGAACAAAGGGAATACTGTTCACATTATAGGGATAAGGCACCCACCTACATTTCATCCTAACAAATCAAAAGCAAACCCAGGGTATGCCTTCCTTCACCGAGTCAATTAACAATCGAAGGGGCTTGGAATGGCAAAGCCTTTTTTTTTTTTCTGAAAAAGCAGAAAGTTCGGCCAGCAAAGTGCACGCAGGATTCCCAGACCAGAATGTACCCGCCTCCGGGGCTGCGTAGGAGAAACACGGCCTGAGCTGGGAATCACCACAAAACAAGAGGTACAAATATCTTGTATTTTATTAAGCTAGTCGATGTGTTCAGATCACAGTCAAGACACATGCCGTGAGAGCCCCCAAGCTCCTCCTCGTCCCAGCTGGGCTCCAAGAGCCGTCCCATCGGTCCCCCAGTGAGAGCTATCTAAGCACAAATCCACAGGCTGGGCTTTTTTTTTTTTTTTTTTTTTTTGTGCTACAAAAGGAGGACTGAGGGAGAGATGATTGTCCCTCGCCTCAAACCAAGCAACAGTCCCCTCCCTGCCAGCAGACAGCGGCAGGACCAGCAACACAGAGATCCTGTGCCAACCCTCCTGCCTTTCTCCGTTCCCGCAGCCACCCCGTTTTCCCCACCCTATTTTCTGCCCCAGCCAGACTGGCTAGCTCTGCTGGATGTTAAGGAGGAAAAAAAAAAAGAAAGGAAAAAAAGAAAAAAAATCAAATCTAAGATGCAAACAAAAATCCAAGGCATTGCAGGTGGCATTGAGCTGAGCAAGGATTGGAGCAGAAGAGTCGCTTGGCACAGCCTGTGAAACCACTGAGAAGTCGAGCGGGCAGCAGGGTGACCGTGCCCACCCCCCAGGGCATGGGGACAGCCCCTGGCCACCCCCCCACCAGGGAAACCCAGCCAGCCTCAGCCACCACCAACCTGGGGACACCCCAGCAACTTCCGAGTGCTCAACGTGGTGGTAACGAAAAGACTCAAACCCAAGAAACACACACACAAAAAAAAACAAAAAACCAAAAAAACAAAAAAAAAAAAAAACCACAAAACCCCACACACATTAAAAGCAATGCTTTCGGCCCCTAAGATGGGAGCAAGCTTTGAGCTGGTACAGAAATAGCAGCACAGGGGTGAGCACTGGACGGGAGCTAGCGTTCACAAGGCTCGGGCGCTGCACGACACGAGCGTGGCGAGGCGGTTTGCGGCTCTCGGGCTGGCACGGGCACGCTGTGGTGAGCCCTGGGGATAAGCCCCGGCGCAGCGCCCCGGAGCCGGGGGCAGAGCAGTGAGCCAGGATCCAGGGAGCCTCCCCACTGACCTTCCAAGTTTTCTTTAGCCCTGGAGAACAGCTTAAGCGTCGGCAACCAACCAACAGGCCAGGGAAACGGGCCTCCTGCTTTTGGCTTCTCGGTTGGGATTTGGAAGGGACGCACCCCGTGCGGGGCAAAGCAGCACAGGCCCTCGGACACAGCAGATCTGTATCAACTAATCCCCAAGGACAAGACTCCCAACTCTTCGTGAGTGCTGGGACTGGGGCTAAGAACTGTTTTCCTTCACCCCAATCTTAAAGACGTCAAGTTGAGCCTCCGTTAGAAGGCAACACTTGCCAGAGGACACAGCTTGCCATCTTCCCTGAGGCCGCTTTGCAGCTGCGCCGTTCCAGAGTTTTGAAGTCCCCCATTTTTTCAGCTTCATGTATCTCTGACTGGGGATATGAATCCAAAAAAAAAAAAAAAAAAAAATTTCATCAGGTCCTAGTTGCATGTTCTGGAGAACATCCCAGCCATAGTTGCATGTTCTGGAGAAGCAAGGTGGCATCATAAGGATGTTTCAGGTGCCTTTTTTAAAAGGTGACTATCCCTCAGCCCAGAGGTATGATGTACTGAAAAATGCCACCGGGCAGTTAACATTCCCCGTTGAAGGGCTAGGGCCTTCTCCTCCTCTCCAGGTGTGCAAAACCTCAAGGTAATATTAAAACAACCCCTCAGGAGACCAGGGCATGTACTAAGGGATGGTTATGAGGAAAGTAAGGCAACAACCTTGCTGCCTTCTAGAAAAAAGCCCTCTGATTTCACCACGCAGCCCCAAAGTGGGCTCACTGCAGCTCAGCAACGTCTTGTTACAGAAATGTCAAGTTTATTTACTTTTGTTCTTCAGCTGCCTTCTGTATCCAGCCCAAAAAAGCCATCAGTCCAATTCAGGACGTGGATGGAATGTGTTAGCCTTCCTTCTGCACTGGACTGTGGCCCCTTGCTCCCAGCCTGTTCAGTGACAGCACCAGCCTCGTCTGCTGCCCCGACCCCACAGCACGTGGCTCCCAGCTCTCATCCTGCACCGCCGGCAGCCCCGGGGAGCTACACCAACCGAGATGCTCGTGACTGGCATGACAGGCATTCCCTTTTGGCTGCTGCTCTGTTTGCATTGCTCTTTTCTCCCCTCAAGATCCAGCTGTGGCCAAGGGAATACCTGGCCCTGAGCAAAGCCCAGGCATGCCTCCAGCTCCTCGCTATTTTGATTTCAGCCCAGGAATGCTCTTTTCTTTACCAACCCCAAGCGCATACCTTGCACTACGCAGCCAGAGGGGAATGACAATTAGGCCTCTCAGGACTGCAAACACAGCCGGGCTTTAGCTGGAGCAGAAGGGAGCTGTAGACTGCAGACCCTTCTGATGTGCTCTGCAGCAAGGCAGTGGATGATTTTCTTAAGCAGCAGGAGGAGGGAAAAAAAAAAAAAAACAAACAAAACCAACACATCACAGTCCACCAGCTATCCACCCCACCAAACAAAGAGTGCACTTCACCATAACGGAGCAGCGCTCTCCAAGTGAACTGAGGGGCAGGAGGGAAGGGGACTCTGCTCTCCACTTCACCACACTGCTCCACCTCACACACTGAAGGACAAATCCCACAAGGTGATTATTTTCTTTTCCCACCCCATCAAACAAAAATAATGAACCAAGCAGATGGCTTCAAATAAAAACACCGGTAGCACTGGAGAAAAGAGTGACTGACAAGCTTCAGAGAGCCCATCTTAGATCTCTAAGAACACCCAAGATGAGCCAGAGTCTTTGACCTGCCGTTCTGCTTATGTTGTTTCCTTGGCTTAGCCTAGAAAAGCACCACGAGTTTCAGGAGAAGCTGCAAAAGGAAAAACCTGTAGGGACACCCTGCCACTCCACCCCTGCCACCTGCCTTTCTGGCCACAAGGTACGGATCTTGTAGGGCCAGCTCTAAGTTAAAGCTCAGCACTTCTCTCTGCTGTGCTACAAGGCTGCATGCTGAAAAGGAACTGAAATATATAATAAATGAATCCTCTGTGACTTGTGCTGTTTAGGTTGTTTTTTGTTTTTGTTTTGTTCTTTTTTTTTTTTTTTTTTTTTTTTTTAGTTAGTTTTTACCTGAAAACAAGGAACATCCTGCCACTCCAGTACAATGCATCATGCTAGAAGTCTGCACAGATTGGAGTATGTTACTTGTCTTTCCATATTATGCCCCTTTTGTAGCAGCTTCTGGCTGGCCCACGTGAAAACACACGCAAACGTAGAAGACTAGTGGTTTTTACTTGCATAGCTGCTGTTAGTTCATGTGGATGGAGACATCTGTTTCTTGAGTACACTGACACAGATGAACTACAAAGAGGCCGTTCCCACCACTCTGCTGTCCTGGGAGCAACCCGTTTCTTCATTTCCAAGCATCAGCGTGTGACAGGACGTCAGACACAGGTTGCTTGAGATGCTGTCAGGATGGAGGTCTGAAAGGTCCCTCTCAGGGAATTAGCTCTTCCAGCATCTGTCCAGGTAGCATCATCCCTTCTTTTTGGGATGCTAAAAAAGCACTGAACAGTTTGTGAGCTCAGTCCTCCTGGGCAGTGGCGGTCACCGCGCTGCCTCTGCCTGCCCTGGAGGGATGTGAGGAGGGGGGATACAAACACTCAAGTTCTGCCACCCTCACTAGCATGGCATAGCAGCAGCGGTGTGTTGGAACAACCAGCAGAAGAGATAATGGCTTCAGGATCCTCCTCCTCCACATCTCGTTGCAAGATTTAGAAAAGAAATAAAATAAAAAAAAAAAAAAAAAAGAGGGGAGAAAAAAAAAAAAAAAAAAAAAAGAAGAGGCATTGGGTCCTTCGGAGATGACCGCTCCATCCCAGGGTCACAGCATTCAAGCCAAGTGGTTGAGCCTTATCGGTGTTTAAATCCCACGTGGCTCTTCTCGCTCTTCCAGCAGCTCTGCTGGATTCCACTCCTTTTCTCCAAGGTCTAACGCTGGAAGCAAAGAAGTGGGAGGGACTGGGGAAGGAGGAGCAGAGTCCTTTTCACCTCTCTCAAGCAGCCCGGCCAACCTCTCGTTGCTCATGAAGCATGCAGCTTGTAAGGAGAGCAAGCACGTGCACCAAGCCCACCGGGGCACTTCAGACTACTCTCTCCTTGCAGGCCAACATCCCTTTGCACTGAGCCCGTTCCATGGGGGACAGGGAAAGGAAATAAATATGCTTGTTCAAAGAAAAAAAAAAAATTATATTAAGAGCTTTCCCCCCCTTTTAAATAGCATAATTGTTTCCTTTTCTCTCTGACATTGTAAGAGTATCCAGAACCCCAAAGGAACTCTACTTTTTTTTTTTTTTAATATTTATATATATAAAAACTAAGAATTAAAAGGAAAAAAAAAACCCTTGAAAAATAATTAATTCAAAGGAGGGGGAAAAAGTAAGAAATAAAAATCTGCTTTCCTGTCACCAGATTGCCAAACAAGAGCTAAACACTCTTTGGATCTTCTTTCCCAAGCTAGGAGGGCTCCATTTCTGCTGCGCTGGTTTGGTTTCACTTAAGTCAAGTCCACGCTTTAGAAGCTGCCTGCCCATTTCAGATGACCAAGCAAGCTTTGGGGAGGAAGGAGGGGGGAATGAATGACTGCCCGTCTCTCGCCCATCTCTGCCGACTGGGAGAAGGGCAGAGCTCTGCCTCGGCCGTGCCGAGGTGCCTCTCTCTTCTCAGAGCAGTTGGCGCCGTCGGAGATGTACAGCCGTCTGGTCGGGATACAGGTAGAGGGTGTCTGTGTGCGTGCCCAAATTGGATATTTTTTTTTTTTTATTTTTTTTTTTTTGGTAGATAGTTTTTGTTATTGTTGCTGCTGCTGCTTCTTCATTTCTAAGTAACGCCCGGATTTTTGTTTCCTTTGTTCAGACGCTGCACGTTCCGAGAGGGGGAGAGAAAGGTACACCAACCCGATGCCTTTCCGAACATCAGCCCATCTCTTTCCACTGCTTGTAGAACTCCAGAACATTTTTTATTTCTACACTGGCATTGGCGGCTGCCTGGATGGCAGACTGCAAGTAAACAGAGACAAAACAAGTTATTTTTTTTTTCTTGCCCCGTCAAGACGACTGCCCCTCAACTTGGAGATCCTCAGGCAGTTTGTCAAGGCTAAAAGGCCCAATTTTCCTTCATGCTAAAGTTGCTCTGGTGTGAGAGGCGTGCACCGACATGCAAATTACTTCTGCCACCTCCTCCAGGACACACTGCACCACAAAAGCATGAGAAATCAAGAGGCCTTCAAGGAAACAGGAATCACAAAATCTGGGAAATCCAGGGCAGTTATTACCCAAGGCAGAAAACATTTAAAAAAAAAAAAAAAAAAAAAAAAGTCTCTTGCCAATCAACCAGATTTTGACCATGCTAGGAAGCAGAAAGGTTCAGCTCAAAGAGCTACTGACCTGCATGGGCGCCGAGAACGTGGTCGGGTCCTCCAGCTGAAAGCCCGTGATGATGGTGACCATTCCTGTGGTGTCGTCCTCTCCGCTTCCTTGGGACACTGTCAGTTGTTTGCAGCTGTCCAGTATTTTATAGAGATTCCTGCCAGACAGATGTATAAAAAAAAAAAAAAAAAAAAAAAAAAAAAGCAAACACAGGGGAATGTCAGAGGGCAGACCACTTGTTTGTGCAAACAGTTTCACATATGCTCGGGAGGACGTGGGGAAAGCAGGACTGTTTCTCTGTTGCCCGTTGAGAACTTTTCTGAGACCCTTCTTAGCATCAAACCCTTGGTGCTACGTGAGACGCACAGATGGATGCCCTAACACTCTCTCCAGGGAATTTTATAATTACTAGAGCACCAAATAAAGGAAGTTGCATGATGGGTCCCACTGCTAACACCTCTCCCCAAAGCCTCCTGCCTGCTAGGAATCAGGCTCAGACATCTCCAGATCCTGTGATCTTACCAGGCATCTAAGTCTTGTCTCTTCAATTTATGCCTCTCGAAGCTCTTCCCAACATCTTTCTGGCAACGAATGTACCTAAGGAAAGATCAGAGTCACTGAGCTCACGCAGAGAACGTCGCACAGACCGAAGTCAATGCTCTGCAGCGGGTCCACCAGGTGCCGCAGCGCCCTTTTGCAGTGCTGGCTTTTACCAACCAAAACACCACCCAAAGGTCTGCCCAGGGAATCAATCCCCTGTGAAATCTCCTAGATCACCTCCCCCCTCATCACCATCGCCGTGCGCAGCTCATAACGTGACAGCTGTTTCAAAGCCCACCAGCCCTGAAGATGCAGCTGGTCTTCAAAGAGCCACGGCTGTTTGTCCTTCTGTAGCTAACCTGGGCAGTAACGCAGCACAGCTCTTCCAGCACGCCCAGGGCATCAGTAAAAGACACTGCTCAGTTTTATACACTGATAAAGAGATGCAACTCCCTCCACTCCTCAGAAGCAGCTACATTTCATGGCTGAGCAGCAACTACAAACACATCTGGAGAACCAGCTGCCAAATCTGTTACTTCACCACCTTCCCTCTTGCCAAGTGCATTCCTGAGGCCTGGCTTTGCCTTGGCCCACTCCTCACTCTGCTCCAAGGGATGCACCATTAACGTTTTCTTCCACCCCAAAATACACCCATACCAAGAGCAAATCGCATCGCTCTCCCACTCTCACCTGTTTCCCTTTTTAAATTCTGCCTCCAGATACCGGATGCTGTCCCGAGCACCTGCGTTCTCCTTTTTCAGGAAGTCCAAGCCATCAATCACTAGCAGAAAAAAAAAAAAAAAAAAAGAAAAAAGAAAAAAAAAAAAAAAGAAGCAAAACCATCTGGCTTACAGCTATACTTCTGCAAACTCATCCAGATGTGTCAAGAATTCCTCATCACGCTAAACTGTCTCTGATGCACGGAAGCAGTGGCTGCCACAGGAGGCAGACGAAGCGGAGGGTGAAGAGGGCCTCTCTCTTTCCAGCTGTTCTCTGATACACTACGTTAGATTCCAAGCATGGGCCAGGCATAAAACGGGCCGCAAAAGTGACATATGGCAACGGCGTTTCAGCTGCTCCAGCCGAAGTAAAGGACAACAGCAGCAGGAAAGAAAGCCACCACCTTGGCCCACGGGGCTTGCTTCCTAGCAAGGAGGGAATGAGGGGAAGGCAGGCTTGGTTATTTGATGTGGAGTCCCCATACCTGTTCGAGGGATGATGATTATGAACCTCCCGCTGGTGGCCAACTGCTTGACAACAGCCAGGTGCTGGCAGAGGGCCTGAGTGTCCGGGACAAGATAAGGAGACATGGCTGACTGTGCTTTGGGCTGCTGGAGACTTCCCTCCAGCTGAGAAACCTCCAGCTGAAAAAACACACACACGGAGACACCCATTTCACATCTATACCGAAACAAACGATCAAACAGGGCAAGGCTCAACTCGCAAAGCTCCATCAGGACCTTCCAGCCTCCCAGCACGTGGAGCAGAGCTGGATGCAGCCAGGGGGTCAGAGGAAGGCGACTGTCCCGCTCTGCACTGCACTGCTACGGTCCAACCTCGAGTGCTGCGTGGGGTTTTGGGCACCTCAATCTAGGGAGGACGTCAAACTATTAAAAGCATCTCCAGGAGGGTGACCAACATGGTGAAAGGCCTAGAGGGCAAGACTTATGAGGAGTGGCTGAGGTCACGCAGCTTGTTCAGCTTGCAGAAGAGAAGGCTGAGGGGTGACCTCATTGCTGAGGAGTGACCTCATCACAGTCTACAGCTTCCTCGAGGCGGGCAGCGGAGAGGGAGGTGCTGATCTCCTCTCTCTGGTGACCAGCAACAGGACATAAGGAAATTAACTGAAGCTGCTTCAGGGGAAGTTCAGATTGGACATTAGGAAAAGTTTTTTCACCAAGAGGGTGGTCAGTCACCGGAACAGGCTCCCCAGGAAAGTGGTCATGGCACCAAACCTGTCAGAATTCAAAGAGCATCTGGATGATGCTTTTAGTCATATGGTTTGTTTTAGGTAGCTCTATGGGGAGCAGGCAGTTGGACTCGATGATCCTTATGGGTCTCTTCCAACTCAAGATATTCCACAACTCTGTCTTTGCAGAACAGACTTACTGCCTCTGGGCGGGGGGGAGGGGGGAGCAGAGAGCTCCCCCTTCCCAGACTCAGCTGGACAGGGTGCTGGGCCAGCTTGTTTAGACCGTGCTGTGCCAGAAAGGTTGGACCAGATGATCCTTGAGGACCTTCCCAACCTGGTATTCTAGGATTTCTAGTTTCAGAGATTTTGGCCACTACCCTGCCAGTCTTGTGGCCGGAACCAGCATCTCCTACCTGCAGTCGAAGCTGAGCCATATCTCTCATTAGCCTGTTCCGACGAGCTTCCTCTGCAGCCTAGTTACAAAAACAAACTTCCATATCAGTTAGCACGAAACACCAGCTGACACTAGCACATGCTTCCAGAAACAGGGTGAAAAGGGGACACCTGAATAGCTCTAAGGAGCAAAATTTTCACCTCCCACTAAAGATCTGTGATTACAGTTACAATCTAACAGTAATCTACAGAAAATCTTGCCAAGTACAGAGAATTAGCCCACCTCTGCCTACTCACCATGTGAAACTGGGCTTGGGCTTGGTGCAGCAAGTTGTCTTGCTCCGACTGTGCTATGCTGATGAAGATCCCAAGCTCTGAGTTGAACTGCAGGATGCTGCCTTGCAAGTGGGTAATGAAGTGGCCAAAGCTCCGAATGCAGCAAATCCGAACAACAGACTGCAAAGAAGCAGACAGGCAATCACCAGCCATGTCTCCCCACAGGGGCTGCAGCCTGAGCCAGCTCCAATCCTACAGCTCACACTTTTGGAAAAGGCAGAAACTGCTATTAAAAAAAGAAAATCCAAAGGAAACATTTCTGATGGAAATGTGCTTCTGAAGACAGAGACTGCAGGAGAGCCCACAGTTGGCCAGAAAACTCAGAAGTGCTTGCAGTCCGGGCTACCCTGACTTGAGATAACCTTAGAAAACATCAACAGGCTCTCCCCCATAAACCTCTGCTCAAGCCCTCAGTGCTGGGAAAAGGAATCAAATAAAACAACAATCTATATCTGATTTTGAGGCAGGCACTATTCTTCGCTGGGCTGCCGAGCAAAGGCAGCTAAAGGTGAGTTCACGTAGGATATGAGGTTGCTGCACTTTGCTGCAGCTGCCCTGGCAGGTTGAGGTGACATTCAGGACCTCAGCAGGCTGGACTGTGATTTAACAAACATGGACCCCACGTCACACATCAGAGCAGTGCCCTCAAATTGAGGCAGGTGATATTCATGTATTCCCCGCTCCAAAGGGAGTGGATTGGTCTAGCAAGGCAAGACAGGAAAAGAACAATTGCCATTTTCTGCACACCTCCACTACCCAGAAATAATCATCTTGGCCTTTTGTGCTTTGGAAAACAGACAGAAGTGTGCTACAAGGGCACAGAGTGCCACATGAAGTGAGATTTCACCAACTTTTGCATTTGCTAGAGAAGGATCACAGGAAGTATCCTGCAGCTTCAACCAAATTCCCTTCATTCAAGGCAGGGCAGAGATAACAACCCTTCTGCCCAGACGGGGAGATTGGGAGCAAAGTTGTCAGCATGAGACTCTGCTTCCTTTCATGATGACGCTGACAAGGAAGGGAAGGCATTTTTCTGAATGTTGATTTTTGGATTGACAAATGAATGCAGCAACCACCAATAACATGAATCCATCCCAGACTCAGTTTGGGGTCTTTTTTGGCAAGAAGGAACTAGATCTTCATCTGCACAGCTAAAACAGGCTGTAACTCCAGAAAGGGAAATAAAGCTTGTGCCCTGATTCAGGATTTGCCCTGACTCACCTCCTCAACTGCCGAGAAAATGGGCCGGTCCTGCTCAAAGTTAAACCTCTTGTGTGCATTTTTCAGAGGGGGAAGATTTCGCAGGGCCACATCTTCTGGGAGCAGCAAGTTGGCTTTCAGGTCTGGGAGCTCAGCACCACTCAGAATGTCCTTGACTTCATTACACAGGGCCAGCCCTGGAGAGGACGGAGAGGAAGCACAGCAATAAATGGTGACTTAAACAACCGATGTGGGGACAAAGAGGAAAACTGCTTTAAGACACACAATCTGTAATGATCAAGGGCAGAGGTTTTAAATTACATATGTACTGTGAGCATGTGTTGAAGGAAGAACAAAAAGGCCACCCACAATATAGGGTAACTGTCCCAAACAACCTGCTGAGGCACACGACTTCAGAAAAACTATAGTTTGGAGGGATAGCTTTCTCATTTCTTCCAACAAACAAGCATTCTTGTTTAAACTGCACTTCTCATGAACCACAGGGATCTTTAGGCTGAGGTATAGGGTACATCATGAGCATTTGGAGCTTCAAAACTAGTTTCCACAACTGCCGTGACAAAAATCATACCCTTAACTTATGGTCTCGGCAGTTCATTCCAATCATGTTGGCCACACAAAGACTTCATGCACACAGGTGCGAATGTTTCACAATACTGTCACCGTATAGAATGCATTAATAGAGCTAAAGTCTACGGGACAGTATTTAACTGTTTAAACACAAAAACAGCACATGCGTGATGCTGCTTCCCGTTGTGCTTAAAAATAAACTGCTACTGGCAAATCTCTCACCCCGGGATCTATCACACACCATGGAAATCACTGATGACTAGGCTTGCTGAAACATTACACTGCCACTTCCTCCTCCAGTACCTGATTCCTGCAGGTCTGCAGCAGAAGGCAAAAGGTTCAGGAGCACAGACAGCCTGTTCCACAGGCTCTGAGAGCTCTGCAGGAACAAAGCACAAAAGGCCACAGAAAACGTCAGGACAGATGTATGCAATAACTAGGCCACTTGGGCTTTCCAGCATCTTTCACAGACATCAGAATGCTTTATGAAGAGCAAACTTCACTAAGCTTCTCAGGTCAAGATTACCTTAATTCAGCAGTGGGGGTATTTACAATCACCATCTGTCCAAGACTGAGACAGTTCAATATGCCCACTGCATCTCAGCCCAGGGGAACTGAACAAACACAGCCTTAGACTGAGCACGGAGCAGTTCCCACCTGAGCACACATGATGATGAGGTCCGTGTTTGTCCTCAGCCAGTCCAGGAACACCTTGACAGTGAGCAGCAGTCCTTCGTTGGTCACGATCTCTAGCTTCTCCTGAAGGGATCGCTCATTCCTGCAGGATTTGTTACTTGAAATGCTTTCCTCAGAGTCAGACACATCATCTGGAAAACGAAGGGTGAAGCAGGATTGCAGGCATTAAACCCCTTGAGAAGCCAAGCCCCACTGGTATGAGAACAATGCTGGGTTGGTAAGAGTTGAACTTCTGGGTGCCTGTCCCCTATACTGTTGATAAGTGTATCACTGTTGCATTTTCTGCTTCACTGGGAGAAGATTGATAAAATCAACTTCTGAAAGTTTGTCAAATGCCTTAACCCCTGCAGCAGCCTCCGAGACGCTCGCTAACAGAGCAGGGGGAAGCAGCACGTGCTGGCACAAGGACCAGGTCAGCTACTGCAGAGAACAGAGCCAGTGATCACTGTTTAGGTCAATGTGCACCAATCTCTGGGCTATGCAAGAAGACAACTGTAGGGCTATTTTATGACCCAAGGTCCAGGTGATTTTAAATACTGGATATGCTTTTAAGTCTTGTAATTCCACAGACCTGAGGATCTCAAAGCCACTGCCAACGAAACTGCATGCCAGCTACGTGAGTGACCCGAGGTCGAGGGAGCAGCAATGTGGGAATCAACAATGCATTTTGCTACAGTCCCTTATTTTAATTGCACAGTCATTTCTGCCTATTAGCACAGCAATTATCATTCAATAAACCCTCAGAATCAAAAGGGAGGAAGTAATTTATACCAAAACCATCCCTGATAGATTGTTAAGACCATTAAATATCTTGAGTTTTGAAACAGCACAGCTGAGGCAAGGAGAGCTCAAAGCTAAAAAGCACATGAGTTAATTCATTCGACCTGGCCCATTCAACCTCCCATTTTCTACATCTATAAAGGTACCATGGCCACACTATTCAAATATGTTCGTGGAGCTGCAACATCTGTGTAACCCATTGAAGGAAAATGTTAAACAGACCAAAAATTATTTGTTTCTTCCTTTACCCCCAATCTCTTTCAAGTGGCTAGGAAGCAGTGCCGGGAGCCAGTAAACATTAACATGATCTAATACTCCCCCTTCAAATCCTGGCCCAGGCAAAGCCTGAATCTTGCCAGTGCTGCAGGCCCATTGAATTTGGCAGCACGATGCAAAAATGTTTCCTTGCTCCAGGGAAGCTGGGAGGAATGACAAACAAGACCAAACAGGCCCATGTGGTTTTATCTGAAATACAAACAACTCCCTGTAGTGCATCAGATCTCCCTTTCAAGCTGTTTTTTCCCAGAACGTTACTCAGTTGTGTAAGTTGCATGGTAATAGAGACGTTGCAGCTCCACCTGCTGTGCATCTGCAGTTTGGTTCAGTCCTGAGCACTCAGCAAAGCAGCGTTCAGAGGGACACAGAGAGGCCCTCAGTTCCTCTCGCATGCACCTAGGTCACATCTTACAGACAAGTTCCTGTGAGAGCTCTGCAGAGTTGATAATCTAACATCTCATGGAGAACTTCTTGGACTGCATCTGCACTGTCCAACACCAAAAGCACTACTAAGTGTCTGACAACAGACGTTTCACGTGGGAAAAAGGAAGCTAATCTGAATTTTTAATACCTCCTGGAATTATCCTCTGGATCTGCTCAGTGTTTAGCCTGTTGACCAGAACAACAGATAACCCTGGCAGGCTGCAGGAGTTTCCTTTGCTCAGTGCATGTATTCCTGGACATCAGGCAGTAAGAGCAAACGTCCTCCCCTTCAGGAAACACCCAACCCAAGACCTGCCCAGTACTTGGGCAATTCGCTCCTCCAAACCCAGCCGAAGGAGAACTTGCACCATGAGAAGGGGTGAATTTTTGCAGGCTGTAGCAGCCTGTTTGCTGTTTTCTACACAGAACTGCAACAACACATATTCTGAACGAGGTCGCTGATCCTTACCTTGCTCTGCCAAGCTGGGCTTCTCCAGATCTCCATTGACACACGGCTTGCTTTCTATTCCATCCTTCAACGTGGGTGATTCACTGTTCGGTTTCAGAAGGATGTTGCTGAAAGTGGGAGCCAAGCGAAAGCAGCGTTTGGTCTGAAACAGCTGGGTGGACATGGCCTGGAGATTACTGGCTATGCTTGCATCATTAGTGCTCAGGGAAGCTGGCCCATTCACTGCTGGATCCGGAGCCTCAATTTTAGAGATGCTTGGGCTCTTGGAGTCCCCCAGCCCACTGCCATCCACACAGTTTTTTAAGGCCTCTTTGGGCCCACTTTTGCCTCGGCCACTTCCCTCCTCACCTGGCTCATCCTCCATGTCCTCCAAGTCAGACCGAGATTCTTGGCTGTTCATGTCAGAGTCTGTCTCCACATCAAAAGCAGCTTCTGCTTCCTCATCACTCTTCTCTGAGCCACTTTCTGAGCCATCGCTGCCCTTTATGGAGCCCTGGCTGGAGTCCGAGTCAAAGCCCTCACTCAGGTCACTCTCATCCACCTTCTGGGGGTGGCGGCGGCGACGCAAACAGGAGAGGCGGGAGTATTTCTTGCTTTTCTTGCAGTCATTCTTCCGTTGTTCCTCGCTGGGCTGATGATTGGTCAAGTCAGCTTCAGCTTCCTTCTCAATCGAGTTCAGTGGCTCCCGTGGCTCCTGGTCATCTGCAGGCATTTGAAATGAGATCACAAGTTAAGAAAGTCCTGATGTGTCACACAAGCTGCTTGCCAGCCCTGAGCCTGCAGAATCAGCAATGTAAATTTCAGCCATGACTTCTATTAGCGCCTTTAACCAGAGAACAAGTAACAGGAACCCTAGAAGAACGATTCACTTTCTAAAAGGTGCCCAGAAAGACTTGAGAAGCCTGGGTTCCTACCGTCCAAGCTGTGCTGCTCCGTTATCAGGTCGCCTCAGTGCTGACTGCTGCTAGACCCACATAAAATACACAAGCGTAGCTTAAATCTTTTCCCCATCTTTCTACTGTCTGAGAGCCAAGTGACCCACCAAGCAGGGCAAGGGCACGTGCCAGTCAGCTTGATCAAACCCACTCCAGCCTGTAACTAGACTGAGTTGACCTAATGCCTTCCTTAACTAACATGCTCATAGACCTTCCAGCAGCCCTAACAGCTTCAAAACCCATGCAGGAGAGTAGTCATTCATTGTTGCTTTTGACCAGGAAAACTCTAGTCTTGCATTCAGTGAAATATAACAGATGGACTGCTTGCAGGGGAAATATTCAGCAGTTTTATTCTCTACTCAAGTGGATCCCCTGGAAACTAAAGATCTGTTTTCATCTGAGCAGAGTTGAGGTATGCTGAGCAGCGCTTGCCTTCCTTAGACGCTGCTCTGCCCAGGTGTTTCACCTGAGATCATCTCCTCAGTGGAGAAGAATCCAGTAAATAACAGCAGAGACAGAAAATAAGGAGCACAGACTGGGGTAAACAGATGATGAATGAGCTGCCAACAGATACAGAAAGATAACTCCTTACAACAAGGAAAGCAACATTTTCATCCTGTGATGACTCTGATACTCACAGGGAGCATCTAAGTGGAGACTGCCTCCCCCATCTTTGGGGATTTCAGCCCAGCAGATCAAGGTGTCCCTAACACCACTCAGGGACTGCACTACAAAACCCACGCCCAGGAGATTTAGGCAAGAAAAGTAAAAGCTGGCCCAATAGGCAGGCAACTGGGGAGACCCAGCATATACTGTGTCTGTTCTCTTACCTGTGCCATCACTCTGAAAGGCTGGGACTGGATTTTCCCCTTCTTCTAGCTCTGCCTGCAGGCGAATATTGACGTGATTTATCAGGTGAGAGAAGAGGGCCAGTGTGAAAGCTATGGCTGCACTGTACTGCTTCGAACCTGCAACAAGATAGCGTAATGAGGTGGAGGAGACTGACCACTAGTCCAAAACATGAATGCCAATTACGACAACATCTTCAGCCTAACTGGACTGCTGAATGTTAATCATTACATTTCTGAATGGCTGAATAAAGCACTGGTTACCTGCCCTCTTGAGGCTGTGAACACTCATAAGGCAGATGATCACCATGCGAAAGATCAGGAGATCAGGAAGGAAGGAGTAGCCACTCTCATACTCTTCTTCATCTTCACTAGTTGAGCTCAGATTAGGGGGAGATGGCAGGTAGAACAAGCACAGGTTGAAATCTTCCAGAACAGACTGGCAGAGAGATGTCAGCTCAGAATCCAGAGAACTTAACAAGAGGGGAAAACAAACAAGAATTATTATTCAAGACTCAAGCTCCTGACAATGTCTGCATGGAAACTGAACCAAAACTGGCAGCTAGGCTATCCTTTAGCACTAGACAGGGTGAAGCACCAGTGAATATACTGCAGGCAACAACAGCTAGGGGAAGCAAGTGAGATTAATCAGATTATGTTTTCCTCTCCAAAGCTGCTAAACTAACAACAAATGATAACCAGAGCACCTCCCTGGAAAAAGATGGGTCACCAAAATATACATTACTTTTTCCCTGGGAGCTCAGGCAGTAGCCATTAAGATACACAGGGCACTCCAACGCTAAAGGTAGCAAAAGTTTCAGATCCACTGCTCAGTTAGGAGGTGACGTGGCAGTGCACAACCTGGGGACTCAACTTTTTCTCCTTCCATGGATCTAACTTGCAGCCTTGTAAGAATATTCCAAAATCCTCTGTAGCTATTAGCTACTTCAAAGGAAGTACCAACAGTATTCAGTATAATAAGCTATGGGAGGTCTCCTAGTCACATCATAAACCTGCTTGCAAAACATCTAGCAAATCCTTTTCAGGGGGCAACATGCTTGGGAAATTGAAGTACTTTCCAAATTTCTTATGTGCTAAATGTGTGTTAGGCAGAGCCTTGAAGTTTCACTCTAGTATAAGTCAATATTTGAAAGCTAATCACATATTGGACTGCATTAGCAAGGGCATAGCCAGCAGGTTGAAGAAAATTATTCTCCCTCTCTATTTGGCACTCACAAGAGGGCATCTTGAGTACTTCATCCAGTCTTGGGGTCCTCGATACAAAAAAAAAAAAAAAAAAAACCCAAAACAAAAAAACAAAAACACAAACAAAAAACCAAAAAGACACTGACAAACTGGACTTAGTCCAGCAGAGGACTGTCAATGGGAATAGAAAACATGATTTACGAGAAGAGGCAAAGAAAACAGAGTTTGTTCAGCCTGAAAGAGAGAAGGCTCAGGGGGATATAATCTTCTGCTTTCAGATGCCAAATAGGTGGTTACAGAGGACCTGAGTAAAACTTAATGGTGAACAGCAAAAGGAAGGGAAGCGATGGGTACAAGTTGCAGAAAAGGAAAATGAGACTAGGTACACTAGAAGGGGGACCAGAGAGGTGTGGAGTCTCTGTCCTTAGATCCATTCAAAACACAGCTGGATGAGGCTCTGAGCAACCTCATCTGACTTCACATTTGAAGCCACCCTCATAGTCAACCCTACTTTGGGGCAGGAGTGAACCCTCAGAAGGTCTCTTCCAACCTAAACTATTTCATGATGAGTTTAGCTGTAGCCTGTGATTAAGCCCTTTAAAACAGCTGCTCTATTTCAAGCAGTAAGAGGTTAATTTACAGTCACCTGAAAACCTCCCAGAGAGACAGAGAAGTCACAGCTGTACAAAGCTTTCCATTTATTCTAACATGAACAGGTTATGCTGTTTGTTTCTTTGAACAAGGTATTTGGTTACAGATTTCCAAATGCAATGAACAGCCCTGCACACGTACAGACAGTGACTCTTTGCTGTCCTGTCAGTCTAAATCCAGCGCTTGCCAGGAAAAAGCATTTGATGACTGAACAAGACAAGAAAACACCGAAGGCAGTTGCAGAGCACAGAGATGAGCTGTGAGGCTCAAGTTCAACAATCACTCAGCTACTGGCCTGATTCAGCCAGACTCACAAAGTCTTTAACCCTTCGGTATTTCAGCCTCCCTTGGGAGACAATCTTCTTCACTCTCCCTGCAAGGTTAGAGGATTAAAGTTGTGGACCTTTTGGCAGAAACCCTCAGCACAGGCACTGTTATCCTACAGAGAACAGTCTCTTCCAATTCTGAATGCCTGCTACTGTGAGTTATCAACAGAAGATATAATCTGCCCCAACCTTACCTGCTCTTTGGCTGCAAAAGACTCTGCAGGTACATAAAGCTCACCAGCAACCTCTTAATGTCTTTGCCTCTAAAAAGATAGAGAAGAAAACACTGTAAAGCAGGTGCCCCGTCACAGAGATGGACTAGATTAACAGAGCTCTATTAATAGGTAAATCTCAACCCAGAGGATGACACTGGTGGCACTGTAAAGCCTCAGCCTGTGCCTCTCTCCTTTTCTTTTCCCTCTTACCGTTTCTTGCTTGGAGACAGCTTCCTGGTTTCACATTTCTTCAACTGATGATACATTTTGGCTGCTTTGTCATACAGCCGCTTCAGGTTCCCATAGGCACCTTCAAAGGACACTTCAGACTGGATACTGTAATACCAAAACAGAGCACATCAAAAGTTACTTTGCCACAAGGTTGCTCGCGTTTTATGGCTTTAATTCACTAGAAAGTTATTCAGGCATCTAAGCATGAAGACAGGTACCTAGTGCTTTTGTTTGAACATGCTGGGCTACTTAACTCCCACTGATGTCTGCAAACCCCACTTCAAGCTGCACCACAGCTCCACCTGCAAGGTTTATGCACGTTTTCAAATCTGCGCCTTAAGGCCATGTTCAGATAACTGAATTCCACCCACCTCACTACGAGAGGTGCCTCACTCAGCACCTCCCCCCCAAACCTAGCTCTCTAGCATAGGCAGAGGGTCTCAGATGAAAAGCTGCCTTCCAAGTGCAGCCCTGCACATGTATTTTAGTGACCAGCATGACAGTTTGGTTTCACTAAGGCTCCTTCTTATTACCAGCCCTGCTCAGAGGTGAAGTAAGTCCATCTCTCTTCCCCCTCGCCTGAAACTCATCCGCTGAAAACAGTCACAAGTCCAAAGTAAAGGAGAAAAGAATCTGGCAGCAGCAACCACAGTCCACTGATTCTCTGTCCAAGAAGACAAGATCCTCACAGACACTCACCAACGTAAGTAGCAATAGGTAGCTTCCACATTGTAGTATTTGCTCCCTGCCAAAGTCCCCAGCTGGTTAAAGGGCATGCCTGTCATGAAAGAGAGGGGCAATGGAATTCATTTACAATTCTCCAACAGCCCTGCTAAAAAGCAGATCCTTTCCCTCTCACTGCATTTCCACACAGGAGGGAAGCCAGGAGACACAAACAGTAGTAAAGCTGCAGTACAAAGGTCTGGACTACTTGATCCTTTCACTACCCAGGGGTTTTTTTCTGTTTTATAGTGCTTTTAGATCCTCCCCACCTTCCTGCCAGTTATCTACATAAGAAAGCAGAACAAACAAAATGCCGCCGCCGCCTCCTCCTCTGTATTAATAATGCCATGGCCTTGACTCTGTATTTCTCTTGACAAAGACATCACCTTATCAGCATTTAAGAGTTCTGTTCCAACTCACTTCAGTGAAGAAATTTGTCACTTATTGGTAACAAATACCTCAGTGAGACCTCAAAGACAGCACAGAGAGAACATTTTTCTGGAATTGCATGCTTTTTAAGATAAGACAGGCTCTCAACTCTTGCCACAATCTGTTCTCTTAAGGTAGTCACTTCTGAAAGAAAGCAGCATGTGAGATTTTTTTTGCAGGGCTAAAAAGAAGGAGATGACCAATAATGCTTTGCTTCTGGCAACAGACAGCTGGATCTTCCCTTCACCAGACAAGCACAATTTTACCACATTCATAGAAGTCAGAGCTTCTCAGAGGTTATCAGATGAGTAAATTGAGGACACTGGCAAAGAGGTCTTTTTTTTGACTCCTCTCTTTGGCTTGCCAGCAAGAGACATTCTTAAAAAAAGGAACTAATTTTAACCAGAGCATAAAACCATTCCTCTGTCAGCAGCAGGATGTAAATCTGACCAGCAGAGTATCACAGAGTATTGTTTTTAGGTTGCGGCAACGTGTTTTTAACAACTAAAAATTAATGGTAACTCACTCACCAATTTGCGGTGCAACAGAAAGGGCTTGATAGTAAAACCGCTCAGCCAGCAACTCTGTGTCCACGCCTGCCAGTTCATTCTGATAGCGAGCTGAAACAAAACCATACACAGCACATCAGAAACCAAAAGGCAGTGTCTTCTCTTCCCTTCTGCAGAGAAGCAGAGCTCCCCTACAGATTAAAAATACCACAAAACTAGAAATACTGGCCAAGTCAACGACTCCATCAAAGAAGAACTGCTCTTGGCAAAACACAGAAACGTGCAGAGTTTGCCAGGCCTGTTTGAAGCACTTTTAACTGCACTGTTCTGCACATCACAACCCCTGCCACTTCAAGCAAAGGGGATATCCCTCAACACTTGTGGCAGCATGTAAGCAAAAGGAAGAAATTCTTCTGCTCCATGTGTTAAGTGCTGATTCATTTATCCTTGAAATAACTCAGAGTTGTGCTCCATTTTCCAGTGCCCCAGACTACATTCTACTACAGCAGAGGGTGAAATCTAAAGCAAGCCAGCTGATCTAATAAAATACCTGGCTGTGGCTAGACTGGATTTTTTTTTTTTTTTTTTTTTTTTTTGGTAAGAGTCGGCATTTTAGAAACACCTTAGGTAAAAGCATCATGAAAATGTGAGCACATCTCTCCCACCAGTCAGGTAAGTCATTCTTACTACCCCCATAAGACATTTATTTGCAATGCCATTTTTAGACCAATTCACGCACAGGGATGATGCCAAACAGCTTTCAAGAGCTTGAAGGCTGCTGCATGTCAAGCACATTTACCCGCTCTACACTTCGAATAGCTGTTTTTCCACACAATTTTGTGTTTTCTCATTGCCTTCACTCCCACATTTTCACAATCAAGCAAGAAGCTGACACACTTACCACACACTTCAGCAGGTCGTGACTGTGGGATAGACACGTCTGCTTTAAAAGGGGTGATATGCAGCCAGACATAACGACAAAGAACCTGGGGCTTTTCAGTGGCCTACACTCTGGACTGATTCACAATATTGCTTAATAAATCTGATTTTCAGTCACACTTGTGCTGGTGACAGCGGTTCCGTCAACCTTAAAGCAAGTCTGAACTGAGAAGTCAGCCCACTTTGAGTCTCCTTCACACTGTCCAAACAACATAAATAAAAACAAAGGCTTCCATTCTTACACAGACACAGATAGAGCTGTTTATCAAGAGCAAACCCCTCATCTATTTGCCCAAAAACAAAGCTTCTGCAATTTGTAGCAGTTCAGTTATCCACAAGAATTTCAGCTTATACCAGTCATTGACAAATGTGCCCGAGGGAAACCGGTGTCTGCAAGTAACTACGGCTGGTGACTAACAATGATGGACTCGGCACGGTACAGGCACCATCTTTTTAACATTGTAAAGGTCTCCCCTCAAAGACAATACTGTTCTTACCCAGATCTCCCAGATAAACCAGACATCTGTGACATGCCATCTGTGCCCACTCCATCTCCTTCTCCGATGCAGACACAGGTTTCTTGCAACCTACATGAGAAATATGAAATCACATACACCGTTGGGTAAAGGCTGCTGGAGAGACACGTGAGCAACCTACACCTCAGCCTGAGACAGTCAACGTTTCACCACATGAAAACAAAGACCACATAGTCAGACCTCACTGTTGGTTTCCATCTGTGGCACCTTACAGACCAGCACTGGTTCATTCTTGTTGTCAAAATGTGGAAAATAAATGTAGAAAATACATGTAGACACTAATGCTCACCCACTCTCCCTTCAATTCCCTGCTGAGTAAGGGCAGTGCATGTCACTGCATCCCTAACAGTCACTGAAATGACTGTCACTCAGACTTTGTCTACAAGGTATGCCACAGAGAGCTGGCTCCATTTGCACTTAGATGAGAGGACAAAGGCCAATTCCTGTCTACAAGCCATGTGATTATGTTAACATAGCACTGAGCACAAGCTAATAAGGCCTGTCGAGAGGCTGATTTTGTTAGCATGGCTAATGAGACCTTTGGATAGGAGCCGGCGCAAATCCTCAGAAGCCAGAACAAAGTCTAAGTACACTTGCACCTGGTAATAGCATACAATGTGGACATACCCTCCCCAAGACTGGAGACAGAAACAAACTCATTATCCCAAGACTGAGCTCTTGATTTAGGACTGGCCAACCGAAAAGGGAGGACGAGAAGTAAAACAAGGAAAAAACAGGACAGCAAATCTGTGTTGTAGACAGGGCAGCTGCAGTCAGACAGGAAGAACTGCCTCTGGACAAAACTGCCTTTGTGTCCAGAGGAGGGCAACACAGCTGGTAAAGGGCTGGCAGGCCCGTCCTCCGAGGAGCCGCTGAGCGCTCTGGGTTTGCCTCGTTTGGAGAAGAGGAGGCTGAGGGGTGACCTCCTTGCTGTCTGCAGCTTCCTGAGGAGGGGCCGTGGAGAGGGAGGTGCTGAGCTCATCTCCCTGGGCTCCAGAGACAGGACCCCTGGGAATGCTTCAAAGCTGTGTCAAGGGAGATTTAGACTGGACATCAGGAAGCATTTCTTTACCAAGAGGGTGGTCAAACACTGGAACAGGCTTCCTAGAGAGGTGGTTGATGCCCCAAGCCTGTCGGTGTTTAAGAAATATTTAGACAATGCCCTTAACACACTTTAAGTTTTGGTAAGCCCTTAATGGGTCAGGCAGTTGGACTAGATAACCACTGTAGGTCCCTTCCAACTGAAATAGTCTATTCTAGTCTATACTGAACGTACAAAAAAGAAAAAAAAAAAAAGGGGGGGGGCAGTTCAGGCAGTGGGAAGTGTCAAAAGCAACAGGGAAAGGCTGCAGCCAGCTGATCTGAACTAACTTAAGGCATTAAACATGACTCAGTTCCTGGGAGGGGCTGCTACTGGCCAGACAGTGCTTCCCATCTCCCCATCAGCACCTTCTCCCCAGCCAGCCAGTTCAGCCAGATCGGGAAGCAAAGGCCATCGCGCGCTCACGCTTCCTCTCCGGAGAGCATTTACTGCCACCAGGCAGACCAGTGTCATGGATTCAGTCTACGTTCAGTCTTGCTGTTGCCAAGGTCTTCCACCTTCTGGAGAAAATTCCCTCAAGCAGGAATCCCAAAGGAAGATTTCTAAGACCAGTCTAGCCTGCAGTCTGAGTTGCTTCCCTCTTGGCTTAGTTCAAGAGAGTGGATGTGAAATCTGGATGCTTAAGAGACCAGTGAGGAATGGTTGGGTCCCACTTACTAACAGGCATTGCAGAAGTTGCATTATACAAACACATGGCCTTCAAATCTGTGTCCACGTATGCTATTGGACATATCTCCCTTTCTTTTTTGCTTTGAATCTTCTTGCTCCCATTTATAACCATCAAGTTGTGCCCAGCCTAATCTGTAGTTCATATGGGACTCTTACACATCCATCTTTTCTGGATATGCAAGGTTATGTCTCTATTATCCAGTTACACACTTGTCTGCTGCATTCTTTTAATTAAAGAGTCTAAACACCTTCAGAAACCTGAATAAGGGGAGCCTTTCAAATGCAATCACGCACCACAGGGTACAAACCCATCTGGAATGCGCATTTTGAGAATTTATTAATTCTGCAGTACCGAGACACATTTCTAAAAGCAACAGTTGCCAGGGACATCTGCCTTTTAAATCGACACTTCAAAGCCAATCATGATACAACCATCTCCCAGAACCAAGAATAGGATACCAGCAAATAAAATGTTCTATTGCTAAAGACATACTAACTTCTCTTATGACAGTCTCTGCCATCCTCCCTGCTGCCAGCTTTAAGAATGTCAATTAAACCCTTGCTAATACAGTTCACAAAACATACAGAGGCTCCATTTCTCACCTGGACCCACCTGAACATGTGCCTTCAGGCCACTGAGCACAACACAGGAGCAAATGTGAACAAACTATTACAAGGTAACAAAGGATGTGAATGCATATGCAGCCTTGAGCTGTTTCAAGACTATGAACATTCTTATTCTTCCTCCCCTAATAGGTAAGATACCTCAAATTACCCTGCATCTAAGGGCACGCACAGAGGCGGTTACCTGAGACCAAGAGCATACCTTACTGTGTTACAGGAGCTTCCTCATGTTCTCAGTCCAAGATGCAATAGCAGTTTCAAAGCCACACACAGTACAACTAGGAAGTACGTGAAGGGAGCACAGATAGAAGGGGCACCAAGAGGAGGAACAGTATCTTACATCTAGTGAATAGCATGTCCTGACAAAAATCTGTTGATTTCAAGAACTTACTCCCCACAATGGTCCATTTGTCTGCTTTAAGCTTCTAAAAACATTCTGTACAGCCAGAACTGCTCTTCAATTTTCCATAAAAATCTGCCATCACCAAACAGTTACTAACGAATATTTTAACAGCATTTTCTTCCAGTTTAGAAGCCCTTCTTTCTTCTCTATTTTAGTATTAAAAACAACAACAAAACAGTGTCATGGAAAAGAGCGGGACAGACACTGTGTTCTAAACAGATAATTGGCTAATCAGAAAAAAAGCAAAGATAATCCCCTGAATGCCAAAACAAAGATGGACTAGTGCAAGGGGAAGCCACCTGCTTGAGATTCAGGCCTTACCCACGAAGCACTAACCTATGAGAGGGTCTGTTACATGCGTCCAGTCAATGCAGCACTGCAGCTCCAGCTGATAGTGAGACTGGATGTAGAGGAGAAGGTGCTGGTAAAATCCTATGCCAGCAACTAAGTGAGTCCGGTACGCACACTCCAGAGTGCTACGGCTGTGAATGTGCTGGAGGGAAGAAAAAATGAGAAGATGTTAATGCAGTCCAGATAACATTTTAGGCTGGCCACACAAGTTATACCGAGTATGAAGCAAGATAGTGGGTAGCTCAGCTGTAACTGGCATTGCATGGTTCTGTACCTCCTCTTGCTCAACAATGTTTTATCTAGTGGTATTTACTAAGGGTCAGCATCAGGAAGGAGAAATACTTGCTGCAACAAGAAATAAATAAAATCAAGGTGTCTGGTTAGAGCACCTTAAATACACCTCGATAACCAGATCACCAGGAGAGAGTCCACAGCACTAGAAAATACAAGTGTGAATACTGTGAGTATTTTCCAGTGATCAACTCTAGTAAAAACAATCAACACTGACAAAGCCTCTTAAGTCCATCGTTCAACATAGAGATAAGTCTTTTGAAGATGGGAACACAAAAATTAAGCCAATTATGTTGAAATATTCTCTGCAGTGGCAGCTCTCTCGGCAGATCATTAAAGCTTACACTTTTTGTCTAGCTGCGGGCAGGTATGTCAGCTCCATGATTAAAATTCAGGAGTGCCTGGCTTCCTGATTTGTGTTCAGACCACAACTTCTCCAAGCAAATGAAGATTTTAACTTGGTCTCACCCATTGCACAGCCAGAGACTCTCTCATGCCAGAGAACCATAGATACATGCCTTTTTATTTGTTTTAATGAGCTGGATAACTTCATAGTAAACTTTTCTCCAGAGCAGTTCTTCTGCTTTTCTTCCATAATCCACTGGATGCAAGAACATCAGCTTCACACACAGCTCCCGCAGCCTGAGACAGACAGCAGAGAATTCACATTTAGCTACAGCAGCTTCAAATACAGCTGCCACTACATAAGCATGGAAAAGGAAAATCTGAATTCATTAAGATGGATGAGCTAGGCCATCTGGTGATGGTACAGCTTGTATCACACCCACACAAGTGTATCTGGAAAAGCCATACATACACCTCACCAGGTACCTTGGCTCAGCTGGCTATCAGTAACTTCCTAAATGGCAGTAATGTTAAGAATTGTCCTGACAGCTTAAAAAAAAGTAAGTAAAATCATCCCTGCTAGGCACCCTCTGAACCTGATAAAAGATTTCACACGCATATAAGAAATTTCTTCCCCAAGAGTTTTTGAAAGATAATTACAAGGAAGGCATTGGCCAACACGAAGATGACTTATTTGTTTTACAACTACATCCAAGAAAGCCTCCAGCCACGAACTGTATGGTGAGGTGCTGTTCAAATACAGAACTGAAATCTAGCCTCTGCTTCAAAAACCTGGAGGGATCCCAGGTCAACAGGAACACTACAAATCGAATATACAATGAAACTGCAGATTTGAAACCTCCACATGGATTTTCCCCATCCAAATATAGAAAGCAAGTGCCCTGCCCAACTTACTTGTTCCTCAAGCTGATGTTCTCAGGCTTGAACACTTCTTGATACGCTGCCTTATTGCCAAGGATGAGATCCAATCGATGAACAGCCTCTACCACTGCTCTGCAAGGTAACACAGAAAGAAGAGTTTCAGAACAGCAAGTTATCTGGGATTATTTCATGAGATCTGGAATGTCTACACAGGCCCATACTAGCCTAGTTAATTCCACTAGTAGCAAGCCGCATTATACTATCACACTATATTAACTGATTTCCTTTCTGCAGTTTATTTAAAAAAAAAAAAAATTGAAAGAACTAAAAAGCAGAGTTACATATACTGTAATGATTTTGCTTCAAATCAGCTGTTTAATCACCAGTTATCACTGCCTGTCTGGTCGAAAATGTCAATTATTTCCACAGTAGCAAAGTCAGAAAGGTCTTTGGACACGTTAGCAACTTTTAACCTCTGCAATTAAATCATTCTATACTTACACTCTGATTAATTCCAATGTCTTAAACTCTATGAATAAAGTTGACTGATTTCCAACAATGACTGTTTTGATAGGGTAAGAGTCAAACCTCCACCAATTCCTATTTCCTTACCAACTTGTCTATAAAAAAAAGGCAACTCACATCATTCTCATTTGTCAAAAATTCCTGATCTTCATTACAGCGGCTCATCGATTAAAGCCCTTAAAGATCTCTCAGTGATAGGTAAAAGATATTCAAAACCAGCCTAAAATATGATATTTGTTATGAGATTTTTCCCCTGAAAGCCAGTTAAAGGACAGACCAAGCAACCTCCAAACCTCTAAGTCTTGTAAAAAAATACTTCTGTGAATCGCTGCCCAAGACTCTCCTCCTGGAGGAGGAATACCACACCATGTGTAAAATCTGAAGCACTCAAAAGTTTGTAGCTGTGAACAAATCAGACTACAATTCAACAACGTTGCAGTGGAATAAAACTGGGGACTTACAGAAGCATCAGTGCTGACAGAAAGTAACCTCATTGATATCTCATGGACAGTTCAATAAAGCAAAATCGACCAGCCATGTTAAACCCTTCCTACCAAGAGAGATCATCTCTAAACCCATGCTTTTGTTAAGTCTGTATTTGAGGTCAACTGATTGACTCCTGTCATTAACTTTTCCCAGCTCTCTCTACATGGTCCTCTAAGAACTATGTCCTCCAAGCCACCCCAGCCACCAGCTATCAAACTCCACAGGTACTTGTTCTCCCCCTCAACTCCACATCTATCTGCCTGTCACCCCTCTTTTGCTCTAACACCTTCACTGCTCCTACTGCTGAGCCTGCCACACACAGAGAGCTGTTCGAACAAGAAGCTGAAGACAAGCAAGCTGCATTGTAAATACGGAATGAGACAGACCTGATCAGAGCAAATTTCTGCAAAGCAGAACAGTTTGATATTGATACCAGCCTGCTCTCCCATCCCGAAATCTCCATCATCTGCAGAATGCAAACTCCCTCACCACACTCACAGCACAACGCAACGACTGAACCTTCTTTTTGTGCACATGCACAAATGGTTGCCAGATTGAATACAGGGCACTTGCACGGCATTTGCAAGCAAAAGCATGCAAAGCCATACGCTAAGGAGGTGGCTGAAACCATCACCACTTTCTTGAAAACTACAGATACTACAGTAAAGTTACTGACTGTTTTATATACCAGTCCCTTACTAGCAAGGCAAATCTCCTTTCACAAGCCCACCACACCAGAAGAAACCTTCCTGAAAAAAGCCCCGAACATTCAGGAGCTCAAAGTGTCCCATCTCATGCTGTCACAGGAAACCTTCCATCCAAGGATAACTGAACGTCTCATTTGTTTTCAGTAAACCACAAGACAGGAAAAGCAAAGTGTAGGGACTGTCTTACACAATGGCTTGGGAGATCAAAACACCACAGAGTTGAACCAACTTCTTCCTAAATAATCATGATGAAAACCAATAAGAGTAATAGAGAAGAATCACATACAAAAGTCTGCTACTAACCTTGATATCCACAGCCACTTCTCCCAACAAGTATCTTTCTCATATGGCCTGTAGGTCCCCTGAAAACTCTTAACAACGTAATACCCTGAACAGCAAGTAAGGCAAGCAAGTAAAATGCTTTTTGCTTTACAGGTAGAAGGCAATAAGTATGAAGCACTCATCCAAGCCCACAGCATGTTGGGGGGCAGGAGGGGAAACAAGTCCACCCCCACATTTAGTTTCCCCAAAATAGATCTCCACAAAGCAGCAGGCAATAACCATATCCTTACCGCAACCTGCGATTAATGTTCTGTCACTGTATCTCTCAAAGACCCTCTGCAGTGAGCACTGCAGCAGGAAACAGTGTGGCTCACAGAGAACTGATTTGTTTCCTATGCAGAAGGGTGACCAGAAGAAAGGGGAACTGCTGACTCATTTGATTCCCAGAGAGAAGTATAGGAAAACTATGATCCTCTACTCCCAAAATAGGCAGTCTCTACATCTTCAAAATAGCTGCAAAAATGTGTTTGCTGTGCACAGAATCGGCAGCTGCTGTATGTCTGATACAAGCTCACATGTCACTGACACCTCAAGGTGGGAAATGATTTCACGGGGACTACAAGCACTCAACACCTGCATCCAAGGATACGGCCGGCCCTTAGGTGGGATGTCACACACGCAGGTGTGAACCCTGTGTGTCCAAATCCTCACGTGCAAGTTAACTGTATTCAAAGGCTCAACACTGACTCCTTCTCCTGCCACTTAATCAATTCAGATTCCTTTATGGGCACATGGTCCAGGTTCTCTCACTGCTCAGTAGCCCACATGCCGAACAAGCCTCTGCTGGTCTTTTTTATATCTGAAAAAAAAAGGATCAAGAAACCTCATCTAAGAATCCTCCTGAGTTAAGCAGTGACAGGAATGCATCTTGATACTGTGCAGCATGACACGCATGAAATTACAGGAATAACTCAAAAAGCAGTTGCCAGAAACCCCTTTCCAAGTTACAAGCAATCGGACAGCTAAAATGTCTTCTTATCAGCATGAGCTCCTGGTGCTGCTGGAGGAGGCGGAGGCAGGAGTAAAGAAGAATCTGTGACAGCCAGTGATGACCTGCAAGGATCTTGTGTCCGCAGTGGTGAGGAAAGGAGACACGGTAAGGACAAAAACATACAGAAGGCAGCCTCACTTCAAAAATGTTAGGAAACATCAACACTGACGCTAGACGATGCACTGATTAAAACGCAATGTAGCATTTGTGCCTTGGGCGGCTTGAGACCATGGGCTGAATTTTACTTAGCAGTTAAGCGGCCAGATTTTGTCCCAGTACCCATTTTTATACCTGCTGGGTTTAAACGCTGCTTTCAGACAGCACATCAGAACCACAGAGGAGGCAAATCAGATGCCAGTCTATTAAAAGAACCGAGTACAGCACATCATGCCAAGCGGGGTGGAAATGGTCCAGCGCGAAGTCCTCTTCAGCCACGCAGACACCGATCTACCACTTTCCTTCTGTGCCATTAACATTCTGGGATGGGGCAAAACGGCAGGGAGAATTACTTGTCCTCTCTGTATTTATTTAATACATCACTAAAGAGCCACAGTCTCTGAGTAAGATATTTCTCAGTGAAAAGAACTGCAGCCATTCATTTGTATTCTGGCATGTGTCAGTACACAAATAATACTGCCCAGAACAACATTGGCAGACAAGAATAGTAACGCAAAGGCAATGAGCTAATGGTTACCCAGAATCCGGAAAAGAAATCTGTAAAATAAACCCAGTCATCCTATGCTAAAACATACACGGTAGAACAGCACCCAGGATAATCCAGTTGCCACATTCTGAAGTGAAATTTGGGGATTATCAATCCAGGAAGATTTAAATAGAAAAGATCAAAGACTGACCATCCTATGAACAGTGATGGGCAACCTCATCTCCAATGGCCAGCTTGCCAAGGACCGTGGAGACCAGAGCTCAACTCTCCCTGCTCTCACAAGCAGACACAAAGCTGATCCCATGTGAGCACAGTTTATAGCTGCGACTGTGACATTCAAACACCTGCGACTCAAAGGCACTGTTTAATCCGACGGCCAAAAGTTTCCAGAGACAGTCAGCCATCACACAAAGTACCACACGCTTCTTAGAGGACATGAAGTTACAACTTCATCTAACTGAACTTCAGGCTGAAATAGAGAAGAATTGACAAGAGACTGTTAAGGTAGAAAGCTTGCTAAAAGAGCCATCAGCTACATAGCAAGAAAATTTGTGGCCACTGCAGATATTATAAATCCTGCACTAAAATCACAATACTTCCAGATAAAAGAAAAGCCATCTCTAGAGGAGTCTGAGTTTCCTTTCCTGAAAATGCTATAAAGCAACCAAACACCTTATTCTGCCATAAAAATTTAAACAGAAAACAATCACTTCCTTGCCCTGATGATCAAGCCCGTGTCTGGTCAAGGGATCTTCGCTTGTGAGCTCCAGAGGCATAGTGAGGTGCCACTTGTCAGGTGAGCTAAGCAGCACACACATTCCTGGTCCACAGTGACCACAAAGTAAAACACATCTTAAAACCATGACGAAGGTGGTTTAAACAAAATGCATTCTATTTTGCAAGCACAAGCACGTACATCCTTCTCCAATCCTGTCCACCACACCTCAGGTGGCAGCAGGCAAGGCGTTATGCTGCACTAGCTTAACTACGCGCAGACATCTGAAATCACCCCTAAAATCAAATGGGGTAACTCAGTGGGGCAGCAGATATAGAGCTCCACAGCCCTGGAGGCACTTCCAGCGTGACAACGCAGCCCACACCTCGGGTAATCCAAGCCATTGTGTTTTACCGCTGACCTTGCAATAAGAAAAAGAAATGTACCTAATGTAACTTCAGAGTGCAGGGAACATGCTTGTACAAAGCGCATCGCAGAAACAAACAAATTCTAGTAACTACCACTCAAACTTCCTATTACTGCTTTAGACTTTGGGGCAAGGATCTTGCCAGATTCCTCAGAGGGAAGCAAGCCTTGCCCTGTTTTAGAGGAGGGAGGAGGGCAGTGAGATTCCACAAGATAAAAGGACATGCCCAATGTCATCAAACAAGTCAGCAAGACATAAAGAAAATGGACCCTGACATAAAATCTATCTCTTGCCTTCATCATTTTGTTCATCTTTGAAACCACACTGTTGCTGATGAAACTCCACTGTGAATTTGCTTTACCGATGGAGAAACTGAGACAGGAGGAGACAATTTCTGGGCCACACTCACAAAATAAATCATCAGCAGAGCAGAAGACAGGCACCCCAGTGCTGGCAGCACGGCATCTCATCCCTCCTGGGTTGAGCTGACCAGGGCCATCATTATTTCCTGAATCTTGTCTTCTGACACCATTTCCAATGCACAGTGCAGAGGTGTTAGTGAGAGTGGAGTCCCAGAGAGTGTTTTATTGGGAAGGTCTACAGCTAGAGCAGTCTTGCCTTCCATACAGCAAAAAAGTGCCCTGGCTCAAGTTCCTGCTCATCACACTCTCTTCTCCAGCACCTTCCACGTAATCCCTGTCTACTGCCAATGCCACAGACCCCCCCCTCCAGCCACCCTCGTCTTGCTCTTATCCCACTGCAACCCCAGACCTCTTTCCCCACCTCTCTGAATCCCACATAACTCCTTCCACCACCAGCCATGTCCTGACCAACCTCCCTGGGTGCCCCATGACCCCCTTTTCCCTGATGCCCTCCTTACCCTCCCACCTGCCTTCTTCCCCCCATCTCTCCCTTGTCCTCCCACCTTGCCTCCGTTGTCACCCCCCCCCACACCGTTGTCACCCCCCCACACACCGTGTATTGCTCATCTCTTCTGGATCCTACACAACCCCCCTCCCCCTGTTCCCTTCCCCAAATTTCCCCCTTTTCCTTTCCCTTAGTACTGCCTACTCTCCCTGAACTTCCCTCAATTTTCTTGACACCAATCTTCCCTAAATTCCACCACCCTCTTCCCCTGTATGCCCCAATCTTCCTTAAATCCTACCATCTCCTTCCCCCATCTTTCCTAAATATCCCTCCAATCCCCCTTCCCCTGGTTCCCCCAATCTCCCCTGGATCCCGCCCCCATCACCTCCCTCCTGTTAACCCCCAGTCTTTCCTCGGTTCTGCCTTCCCCAACCCCGCTAAATCTTCCCTGATTACTTCCCCCATCTCCTTCCCTTCCATCTTCCCTAAACCCCCGCATTCCCTTTCGCTTTGGTCCTCCCCAATCTCCTTTGGGTCCCCAGCCCCCGCTCCTCGCTCCAATCCCCATCCCCCCTTGTCATCCCCAAATCTCCTCCGGATCCTTTCTTCCCTCTCGGCCTACCCAAACTCCCCCGGTTCCCCATCCCCTTCCTCCGGGCCCCCACAGTCTCCCCTGCATCGCCCCAGCCCTCCCCAACCTCCTCCGAACCCCGCCCCACCTCCTTTCTTCCCTCTGGCCCCCCGAGTTTCCCCAGACCCCCTCACCTCCTTTCCCCGGCCCCCTCATCTCCCCTGACCCCCTTCATTCCGCCCTCCCGCCCCCGCCGCCCCTCTCCTCACCGGTACAGCCGCTTGGTGTGCAGCACCTTGGCCTCCGGCTCGCCGCTCTCGCCGGTGGCCCCGCCGCCCTGGCTCATGGTGCCCGGCGAGGGGGAGGCCCGGCCGGGCCGGGCGCGACCCGCCGCCCCCTCAGCACCGGCCGCGCCGCCGTCGCCGCCGCCCCCGGCCCCGCTCGGCCGCCATGGCTGCCCCCTGCCCCGCGCCGCTCTCGCGAGACTTGCCCGCGGGACCGGCGGGCGGCGGGTAAACATGGCGGCGGCGGGGCCGGGTCTCATCTCGCGAGAGTTGGCCCGCACCAGCACTTCCTGCTGGCAACATGGCGGCAGCGCGGCGTCATCTCGCGAGAGTTCCCTTCCCTCCCCCCCCCCCCAACCACACGACGGCGGCGCCAGCACTTAGTGCTGGCAAACATGGCGGCCGTGACGGCGTCAGTCGGTGAACTCCACGGCTCGCCCTGCGCGCCGGGGGAGGGCGGCAGCGCTGGCAGCCAGGCCTGAGGGCTTGCTCCCCACTGTGGGGCTGGTGGCCCTTCCCTGTGGCTGCCCCACGCCATGGGCCTGGCAGAGCTGTGGGGCGGGTGTCCCTCTGCCTTGGCACCTCAGGGTTCAAAGAGGGGCTGCCCTCCATTGTTGTGGGGGGCCACGAGCGGCCCAGCTGGGCGGAAGGGTGGGAGGAATGCCTCCCCACTCATCAGAAACCCTCCGTGCCGCCACGTAGCACGAAAGCCGGGTGCCGCTGGTTGGGGTGGGGACTCCCCAGAGCCCCCCCCCGTCCCTTTGGCGCTTCACCCCCATGGCACGGCCGCGGCTCTCACAGGAACAGCCCAGAGACCTCGGCCGGCCCAGTCTCCACCATGGCAGCCAAGCACTGGGGCTTCTCCCCCATCAGGCCCCAGCCCTCCCAGTATTGAAACCCCCCCCTGGAAGGGCGACGCTGCCCCCACGCTTGCCCCTTTCATGGTGGCTGTCCCCTCCGCGGCGTGGGAAGGGCTTGGAGCCGGGCTCTGTGCTGTGCGTCGAGCGAGGCTGCTGCTGCGCCTGCCCCTTCCAGCCCAGCCCCACCTCAGCTGGTTAAACTGGTTTGAAGTCCAGACGGCGGCGGAGAGACGGTGGAAGCATTTTGCAGGCTCCCAGCAGAGCTGCCGCCGCTGCGGGGCCCCCAGCCCCATGGCCCCCCACCTCTCTCCAGGTAAGTCTCGCAGCGAGGGGAGCCCGGTGTTCCCTCCCGTGTCCCACGGGGCGACGAGTGAGCGGGGCTGGGAGTGGGGAGACGGAGGTTTGCATGACGCAGGAACCTGCTTTAGCCATACCCCTTTGTGCGGACCTCAGAGGAAGCCCCGTGCCACCCCCGTGCCTCAGTTTCCCCATGCCTGTGGCCAGGCCAGGGATCTTGCTGGAGGTGCGGGGATGACTGTGCCCAGAAGGGAGAGAGATTTTCGTTGCAGGAGGCTGCCATGCCCACATCCAGCAACACCTAGAATGGGCTAAAAGACAGGGATCACCTGCTAAGAGGGGAAAAATGTGAGATTTCTGCCTGGATCTCCTGCTCCCTCATAGAAAGTGGCGCCCAGCAGCCTCCTGTGCCGACCCCAGATCGGGCTCAGGCACAAGAGGCAGCAAATGTGGCTCATCCTGGCTTAGGCCACAGTTCCTACAAGTATCAGGTTTTGGCTGATGCTGGCACGAGATGGAGCTGTGGGTGGAACCAGCTGCATCGGCAAGGCAGTGTTCAGCTCCCCCCAGTCACAACGCTCATGCCCAGCCGGAAAGCCTGGGATCTTTGGCCGGGTGGGAAAGCAATTCCCAGGCTGCCCCCATTTTCCAGCCAGACCTGCACACCCAGGGCTCGCCAGGCACCCAGCTCAGGGCAATGGTGCCCACACACACGGTACCACATGCCCTGATCCTGCTGCCGTGGGCTGGGCGCCCTGGCAGGGTGTGAGAGTGTGGGGACGTTGGGCTCTGCTTTCTCCTAACAGCGGGAGGGCAGGCAGGCAACGGGGGCTCCAGGGCTGGCGGCTGCCAATCTGCACCCCATGTTGTAACCGGGGCTGTGTGCATGACCCCAAACCTCTCATTTCTGCTGGTCTGTCTCCTTTGTCCTGGCACAGGGTGAAGCAGAAGGGACAGGAAGCTAGTCCACTCTCAACACCCCAAAACACAGGAGAGTTTCTTGCCATCCCCCAGCGGTACTGAGCCAGCCACTCTCATGGCTGCTGCTGACCCCATCCTGCCCCCTGAGGAGGTGGCTTTGCTGGAGCTGGGGAAGGTGGCCCTGGCTGCCCCCCTCGACAAGGTGCCATCAGCCCTGGATGAACACCCGGGGGACCCTGATGCCACCCTGCCATGGGACCGGTGCCAGCGCAGCGCCCAGGGCCAGCCGGAGCCGGCAGAGACAAGGAGACGCTCAAGTCCTGAAGGAGGCCGTGAAGACCCTGGGGAGGCTGCTCTCCCCTGCCCCCCAGCTGAGGCCGAAGACGAGGAAGCCCCCGGGCTGCCCGTGATGGCGGCCCACGTCTTTGTGCCCATCGACCCTCAGTGCATCGAGCGGACACCCGGCAAGCAGAAGAAGCAACCTGTCCCGTGGCCCCGGGAGGAGGGCAAGGGGGGCTACGTCCCCCACAGCGACAGACCCGACACCCTCCGCCAGAAGCAGGTCTGCCTTCCCGTCGGCCCCTCGCGCTACCGGGACCCACTGGGCTTTGAGGGGCGAGTGGCCAAGCCACCGACCGAGCGGCCGCGGTGCCCATGCGCCAGGGACTGCGGCACCGACAACCTCAAGGCTGTGGCCTCGGTGGTGGGGGCCCTGCTCCTCTGCCCCTGCTTCGTCTACGGGGCCTACGTCTTCCTGCCTTTCGACGCCCCGCTGCTGCCCACCATCAGCGCCCGCCTGGTCTACACACTCCGCTGTGCTGCCTTCGCCACGTTCCCCATTGTTCTGGGTGAGCCATGGGGTTGCCGTACGAAGCCCTTCGCCCCCATCACTGGGCCCAGGGGAGCAGGAGCTGTGGGGCTGGTGTGTAGAGCCAGGGCTGAGCTCTTTGCAGCTCCATTGCTCCCACCAGGAGCAGCAGACTGAGTATTCCTACCCTCTTCCCACCCCACTGCATCTCTCCCAGCCCCGCGGGGCCCAGGGCAGTTTCACCAGGAGCCTGCTCAGCCCCTCTCTCTGCCCCCCCAGGGATGATCGTCAGCGGCATCTCCCGCCTCTGCTCCTCCGCACTGGAGCCCTTCGGGGAGCTGCAGCAGGAGGTGGAGATCCACCGCACCTACGTCTCCCAGTCTGTCCACCTCTTCATCCTCTACTTCTTCAACATGGCTGTGCTGGCTACCTACCTCCCCCAGGAGGTCCTCAAGCTCATCCCCCTGCTCACGGGGCTTTTTGCCATCTCCCGGTAAGTGGCTCCTTCACCCTACCTGGGCTGCAGCAGCACCCAGGGTGCAAGTGGGGTCTGTCAGTGCTGGCAAACACCATGTCTTGGTGTAAACTCCCGCTCTGGCAGTGCCTCACCCGGCCAACGACAGCCGGGAAAGCTGGCACAGGGGAAGGGCTGCTCCATCCCTCATCCCACTTCCCGCAGCGGCCATGCCTGGCAAAGCCTTGCTGGGGTCAGAACCCCGTGAGCAACGCTGGGTGCCAGCCCCACGGCATCACCCTCGCTGAACCTGCACCTCTCTGCCCTCTCCAGGTTGATTTACTGGCTGTCGTATGCCATCGGGCGCTCGTTCCGCGCCTTCGGCTTCAGCATGACCTTCCTGCCCCTCCTGGCCATGCTACTCTGGAACCTTTACAGCATGCTTGTTCTGGAGCCCGAAAACCTCCTTGCTATTGCAGCGCCAAAGCCCGAGGACCGCTCCAAGGACAGCGGAGCCAAACTCCGGTACTGGGGGTGAGTGAGGCCCTGGGGAAATGGGGTGCCTGGACCCTGAGGTGCAGAGGGGTTGAGCCCTCCTCACCGCCCTGCCTTGTAAGCCCTGAAGGTGAAGGGGTGCAGGCAGATCTGGCTGGGCCCCTGCTCCCTGCCCGGACCTGGCAAGGTTCTGCTGGGTGCCTGGAGTTGACAGAGCTAAACTGCAAACCCCTCTGCACTGGGAGCTTCCTGCAGGAGGGTGAACAGGGCCCGGAGCAAGACCCAGCGAGCCCCATCCCAAGCGGATGGGTTGGAGTGGGATTTGCCTAACCTGTTGCAGCTGACTCTCCCCAATAAAGTCCTTCACCAAGTGGCTCTGTGGCTGGTTTGGGGAGGGTGGGTTAAATTCCCCTAGGAATCGCCGCTGCCAGGATTGATAGCTTCACCCATGGTATGCCATCATCCAGCCCCAAAATGACTTTTCCAAGAAGGGTAAAAACAACATTCATCTCCCAGCGCTGCAACAGCATGCCAACCCTGCTCCTGGGTCCCTGCACGGTGGTGTGGCCAATCCCACCCAGCCTCTTCCTCCTGGTGCAGGTTTAGCACCCAGTTCACAAACCAGTTGGCCCGGTAGGAGGGAGGGAGCCCTGCCCCAAGGAGGGATGCGGGGAGAAGCCGGGATGGGTGAGACAGCACCAGGCTTGCTGCTGCCTAGGGCAGGGGATGGCCTGCACCCCTCAGGGCACCGGGCCCCACCTCGGAGTCCTCTGCAGACACGAAGGGAGCCCTGGGAGTCCAGCTCCACACACATCCGATTGTTCTCCGATTCTCAGGCATAACCTAAGACAGTTAAAAATCCACCAAATAAAGGGAAAGCCCCTCCATTCCTAGATCTGCCAAGTGTTTGGCTTGTCCCGCCTCCCATATCCGAGTGCTGTATCATGGCAGCAGTTGACCCACGGCAGCCCAGCCAAGTCAGAGAATGGGAACAGTTCAACTCTTTCAAATCACAGCAGGGATACGGCCCATGGCCCGGGCTCACAGGCAAAACCACCCCAGAGCACCACACGCTGCTGCGGGGCATGAGCCGATACAGGGACAGGGAGCCTCCCTCCTCTCCGAGGTGTTTTCATACCTCGGCTCCTGCTGAGCTTCAGCGCCCCTGAACTCCTGTGAGACCCCAGAGCTGCTCTCCTCGCGCTCACCCACAGTGCAGCGTTTCCACGAGAAGCTGCTCTTAGAAATCCACTTTAATTTGGTCAAAGACAAGACAGCGATGGAGAACGTAAAAACCCAGCACGCCCCCAAGTGATGCGGTGCCTCTTCAAACACCGAGCAGCCGCAGACCACGCTTGCCCCATGGCTTCAAGCACCTGGATAGCACCTCCGAGCCAGCCCGGCAGAGCCAACGGCTGCAGTTAACTGAGAGCAAGGCTGGACCAGCCCTTCGCGGGCTGACAGGACATACCTGAGCTCAAGCAGCACTGGGTTTTTCCCTCTTGCACCAGCAGCCCTCACCGAGGCCAGCCCAGCAGAAAGTGCCTGTTGGGGACTGAGGAGTCTGTGAGCCCCAGCTGGCTTGAGGGGGGCTGTTCTGGGGTGCCCCCAGCACAGCGAAGAAGCAGCAAAAGGCACTGGGCACACCGGCAGGAGCAGCCCCAGGCCTGTCCTCCAGCCCCACTCCTGGGTTGGAGCCACCCAAGCAACCCCGGAGTGCCTGCAGACATGGCAACAGTGGTTTTATCCCTTGGAAGAAGGAGGATCCTCCCGCGGCTCAAGACAACGCTGACCAACTCCCCCATGTCACTTCCCTTGACTGGATGGATCAGGAGAAAACAGAGGAAGAAGTGTAATCAGATGCAGTAAGAGGGAGCAGGACAAGAGCGATATGCGACGTGGGCAACCGCTGCAAATGTTGCCCTGGCCCCCTCCAAGCCTGGACTGCAGGGACGGAGGGGAGGACAGAGAGGAGATCGCAGGCACTGGAGCCCCTGCAGCAGCCACAGTTGTTTCCTGGCGACAAGAAGGATCCTGGGGGTCTCTCCAGAGACCGTCCCACTCAGTTGATGGGCTCGTACTCAGAGTAGCGTTTCCTCTGGGCAAAGAGAACCACACAGCTGCCTACCAGAAGCATCACTGTGGGGGTGCCCAGTGCCACAGCCATGATGGAGATGACGAGGGGGGAGAAGGTGTCCTTAGGGGGCTGCCCGAAGCCCAGGAGCGCCGACCTGCAGGAGGGGATGAGACAAATCAGCCACGGAGGTGGGGATCAGCTGTGTCCCGCGGGTGGAATATCGGAGGCTCTCCCCCCGCAATGGGGTGAGATCAAGACTTCTTGGCAGGATCTCACATGGGGCAGGAGAGGGTCTCCCAGACTGGGGGAGGGGTGAGGGAGGGCATCAATAAACTGCAAAATTCCTTGCTACGGGATCACAGAAAAACACAGCCTTTTTAAAGGAGATAATTATTAAACAAAGAAACCCTCTAACCTATCATTTCCCCAAACTGCACGTTATTAGTGGCTGGGAGAGCAGCATTTCACGCACAACGGACCCCACTCACCAGCTAAGGTAGCGCTTCTCCTGGTAAACCTTCCCATCCTCTCCCCCAAAAGAGATATTGATGGCGCTGACGGTGTAGGTGCTGCCTACACCCTCCCCAAAGTAGGCACGGACAACGCTGGAGGCGGGCAGGGTCCAGTTGGCTGCTTGCAGGCCGTGAGACCGGCACTGGATGTTGTCCTCGCGCCTGGGGCTCCGGGAGCCGTAGGCTGTCGCCTTCCACTGCAGGAAGCTGAGCGTGGAGCTGTCGTTTTGGGACTGGGCTACCAGGGAGAGCATCTGGTGGAAGGGGAACGACGGCGGTGACGTGAGGGCAGGAGATGGTCTTCACGACCATAGCGGGGAGTCCCAGATCTGGCCCCCCAGCCTCCTTCCTGCACCGGTGGGGAGGGGGGACGTCCTCAAGCCCAGCGCTCACCCCACACTCACCTCGAAGATGGTGGGAGTGTACTCATCGTCGATGGAGCGTGTCGAGCGCAGCTTCTGCGCCACCCCTGCCTCCTCCACCGTGGCCACCTCCAGCATAAATCGGGAGCTGTTGCCCCGCGGAGCCACCCCAGCCAGTACAAACTCCACTTTAGAGCTGTTTGCTGTGTGCAGGAGGCTGGGCAGGGGCCCGTCACGGCCACTCGCCTCATAAGCTGTCACCTAGAGGGGACACAGGTCAGAGGGACAGCAAGGAGCAAGCGTTCCCTCCCCAGAAGGCGCTTTGGATGTGATAATCATTGTGTTCTCCCTGCAGCACCCCAGCACAGTACACACCCCCTCTCTGCCCCTGGGGACTCACCCGAAACGCCAGGCTGGCGTTGGCGAAGCTGCCGCTGGGGTCGGCGGCCGGGACGCCGGTGAACTCGGCCCTCAGGGCCGTGTGGTTCAGGGTGTGGTTGACGCTGTCCCAGGAAAAATCAGACAGGTCGTACGTGGGGTAGAAGAGCTCTTCCGGCATTTGGGCCTCGCTGTACTCAAACACCTAGGGAGAAGGAAGGGGAAGAGGGGCTGTGGACACCACTTTGTGCTACAGGCGAGGACCAGGGAGAGGAAGGAAACCGAAAAAAGGAGCCAAATGTCTCGCAGCACCATCGCAGCTCGAGCCAGAGACAAGCAGGGGGGGGAAGACCCGAGGGGTCACTTCGCTGCAGTTGAGACCGACCTGCTCGTCCCCCAGCAACGCCCCGCGCCCCCTCCGCAGCGGTACCTTGGTGAAGACAACAGCAGCGGAGTAGATAACGCTGCTGGGAGGGTCGATCCAAAGGGCGCCCGCCGGAGCCGGCGAGAGCAGCCGGGTCCAGTTGACTCGCAGGGAGCTGCTCCCGCTCCCAGTAGCCACCAGCAGCACGGCGGGGGCCCCAATGCTGCTCCAGATGTAGTGCAGGGTGTCGGCGGCCCCCACCGCCCGCACGTGGAGCAGGTTGACGGAGGAGTTGTTCCAGCCGGGGTTGTACTGCATCGACACCTGCGGGGGGAAAAAGGGAAGAGAGGTTTCAGGGGTCCCGCAGGGCGCAGGATAATCCCAAACGCAGCCTCCCCCCCCCTTCTCCCCCCCCCGCCGTGAGTTTTGGGGGTGACAAGTCCTGCGGCAGAATGAGCTGAGTCAGCCGCGCCGGGACACAGCGAGAGGGGGGGGGCGCTGGGGTGCGTGGCAGCAGGACAGGGTCCCCAGTCACGCGTGGCCCACCCACGCTGCCCTGCGTGTCAGGACGGGGAAGATGCAGGTTCCCTCCGGCTCCGGCCTGAACGCGGGGGGTGGGATTTGTTGGCGGGGGGGCTGGTGGCCCCGTTGGCCGTGTGTCCCCCGTCCCCCCCACTCCACGCTCACCTGCCGGCCGCCCCCCGCCGCGCCCCCCCCCGCCAGCAGCGCAGCCAGCAGCACCAGGCTCGCTGCCATCTTGAGGTTCCCCCCCCCGCTCACGTGACCGCTCGGAAAACTCCCCCCCCCCCCCCCCCCCCGCCTCTTAAAGGAGCCGCCGCCCTTCAGGACCATTTTGCGTGGGAGGCGAGATTGGGTTAGGGACCGCGGCGGGGGGGAAGCCCCCCACGGGGCAGACCCAGTCCCGCACTATTACCCTGCCCAGAAGCTGGAAGGATTTTCACTTCACCCCGCCCCGCCCCCCCCCGACCTGCGGTAAACGCACAACCAGACTGAAATGACGTGGTTTATTTTTGAGGCAAACAGTAAGGAGAAGTTACAGTCCAGAGACTTAAATTAAGCATCACTATCTCCACCCAGAGCAGGGGCACGTACATGACACATCAGCCCTTTCCCCACCATCACGGGGTTTTGAGTTTGGTTTTTTTTTTTTTTTTTTATTTTCTTCTTTCCCCCATCCCTCCCACAGACTTTAGGACAAACTTTTCCCCAGCTCAGCCTCAGGCTCGGGTCGCTTGATCGAGCTCTTCTTCTGCTTCTTCTCAGCGGTGACTCGACCCCTCTTATTCCTGGGCTGCCTCCGGCGCGGCGGGCTGCTTGCTTTGATCATCGCCCTTCTTTTTGTGCCCCGAAACAATGTCATCAATGCGGAGGAGGAGAACTGCAGTCTGGGGAGAAACCCCACACCCAGGTCTAGTCAGGAGCTCACACCAAAGAAAAACATCCGATCTACTCGGCTTTCACACTAAAGAACTGTCTGCCTTTGATTAAGTGATTCTCTCAGCACAGCACGTGGAAAGGACACGGTGCCCCTCGCAGGCAGGGAGGCCCCATGGAAAAGGGGACACGGATTATTTCTAAGAAAGGGACAGAGCAACCACGTTTGATCTAACACCAGCAAGCGAACGCTCAAAATGGGATCATTTACCAAGGGGAGGGCAGCTTACGCAAGGCTGCTTGGACAACCCAAAGGGCAGAAGCTCCCAGGACCACTAATTAGATTCCAGCACATCGTGGGCACTGAATCAGTCACGGCTCGGGCTGTCACTTGTCAGCCCACCTTTGTGAGACTAACTAGCCTGCACGGTTTGCAGAAAAGGGTGGGATGGAACACAACATATTTTAGCCACATGATCAAAAATGAACCCCCTGAAAGCCTGAGTACGGGCTCCCACGGGTGCTGCAGCCCTTGTCATCACAGCTCCTGCGTCAGTACGGCACGCACCACGCTCGGTTGGTGGTGCTACGTGGCTCTCACGTTTTCCCAACGCTCTCCTTACCTCTACTGCCGTTTTGTAGGTCTGCAACTTGACTGCTAGAGGCTCCCAGATGCCCAGGTCCTTCATATCAACTAAGGCTCCGGTCTCACCATTCACTCCCCACGTCTGGCTGCCTTCTTGAGTGTGTTTTGCCTGTAAGCAGAACGACAGGTCACCACTGAAGGAGTAAGACGGCAAAGTCACTTTCTGGAAACTCAAACTGACCAATGGCTCAGGAAAATAGTAAAGGTCATTAGGATTTTCTCCGTTTTGGAGTTTATACAAGAGCATGTTACTGAGCACCACTTGAAACCATAATATCAGAAGACTTGGAGATATTCTCTCTCACACCATCCGATCTAATCTCAATGGAAGATCAAAATCAAAATTTTCTTCACCCTCAGGATTTTGTTATTTTGATTTTAAACTCTGGTAACCTCAAACAAATTATTTAATTCCATTTTCCTGCTTTCAAAACTTCAGTAAAAAACATCTGCAGCCCACCTAATGCAAAAAAAGCAACAGGCTTTCAACCACCTTCAACAGAACGGTTACTTCAACACAGGTTTCCCTTTATGTAAAAGCCCACTGCAACTACTAAAAAGCTGCTGCCCCCCCACAGGCACTGCTGTGGAAGAGCAACTGATCCGAGGGGGTAGGACAGAGCAGGAAGGGGCTGGATCTCTTCCGATGACCCCACGCTGCGTGTCTTACCCTGAGCGAGGTCAGCACGCGGATGGTGCTGGCGCCACAGTTCTGGATCAGCGTTCGGGGAATGACTTCCAGAGCCTGGGCTACCGCACGGTAGGGCCACTGCTCCACCCCCGTCATGCCTTTGGACTTCTCTGTCAGCGCGTGGGAAACGGCCATTTCGGTCGCTCCCCCTCCCGGCACCAGCTGCGGGTCGATGAGGACGTTGCGACACACCTGCATGGCATCCTGAAGGTTGCGCTCTACCTCCTGCAACGGGCACAGAAGCGTGTGTGATTTTAAGGATAGAAAGATTTATTGGTTGCAAGGGGACTGTGGCACAGTGCCAGCTGAGGGTACAGCCTCAGGCCGGCTCCTCCGCAGCACACAAGCTCTGACTCCACTGTACGGTACAGCCCACGAGATGGGAATTCTTTGTCTCTCCAGAACCCCAGAGGAAACCTGTGCTGGCTCCATTCGCACACAAAAGCTGCTCAAAAGGAAGCGATGACTTACTGACACCAAGAAAGCTGCCAGGACAGAAGGGGAAGCAGAACATGTAATAACTTACTGCTAGGATTTCCTTGCTGGCGCCACGCAGAACGATAGTGCAAGCCTTGGGGTCTTTGCAATCAGTGATGAAAGCAAAATACTCATCTCCTATTTTTTTCACTTCAAAGAGCCTGGCTCCAGTTCCCACATCCTCCTCCCGCAGCTCATCTGTGCGACTCACAATGCGAGCTCCGCAGGCCCTAGCACACAAACAACAGCCAGGTTAGACACTCAAAGTTAAGAACTAGGGAGAAAGTGCCAGGTAAGGATGAAAACTCCGTGTCACAGACAGCAAGGATGGGCTCCAGTCGGAGACAGCGTTTACCTGGCGATCCTGTTGTTGTCTGTCTTTCTCACCCTGCGGATCGCGGTGATGTTAGCTCTCATCAGGTAGTGCTGGGCCAAGTCTGAAATCAGGTTTGTGCAATTTTACTGATGACTCGGTGACAAACTTTACATGTCTTTAAAGTAAAAAGAGTTATGGAAACAAAAATCTAAACGCAGCTTCTTAAACCAAGCTGCAGGGCAAAATTACAGTGCAGCTTTCCAGACTCATCCTCATTTATATTTTGATATTGCTTCCAAATGCTGGAAAAGCAAAATATTATTTTAAGTGTCCATGTTCACCAGGAAATCTCAAGAACCAACTTCAATGCCTGCAACGTAGAACTATCTGCTTGAAAGCTGAACCCACCCCCCCAAAAAAAAAGCAAAACACCAAAACACAAAACCAGGATCATATTCAAAATCAGGTTTGTGGGGTTTTTTTTGTGTGGCTGGTTTTGTTGGTGGTGTTTGGGGTTCTTTTGTTTGTTTGTTGTTTTTTTTAAAGAAGTTACTAAACAGTACATTTAACACAGCACGAACCTTAAGATGAATTCAACACAAAGAAGGATCACGTGTTATTACCAGAAATTCCTTTTTCTGTGATGACCAGGTCTGGCTTGACTCTCATCAAATCCTCACAAATCTGCTGAATGTACTCTTCCTCCATCTGCAGGATGCGGGCAAAGTCTTCCTCCCGCGTTATTTCAATATCAGTCTGCACAGAAAAGAGGTGTAGTGACCTCACTGTATTCCTCCCAGCCCTTCTCCAAGTTAAGACACAGACCCCCTGACTTGAGAGATCTTAACTCCACCAATATTGCCTGGTGAAGATGTTAAGGAGAACTAGACAGTGAAAAATACTGATCAAAAACTGTGACACTGTCAGTTTAACATCAAGTGTTAATTAAAGCACAGAAATATTTCTGACTATTGACCATCACTTAGATACACCAATCACTGCAGCTGCTCCAGCGAGTGAACACCCTGTAGCCTCAGTTCTATTTTTCTACCTTTTTCCCCAGGGTCCTGACCCCACAGCAGAATTAGCCTGTACATGCAAAAGGTCTCTGAAAGGCAGAACGCAAAGAGAGCCTTTCACTATTTCTGCTTTTTCCCAGCTATCTGGATTTTTTCACTTTACTAGTCTTAAATCTGAAGTTGTGGATATCTCTAAGAGGACTTGCTTTACCTGGCTCTCTCCTTTCTTGTACTCTAGTGAACAATCCAGAAGGACAATGCGTGGATTCTTAATAAGGCGACGCATCCTGGGATGAGTTACATCTTTATTCACCATGATTCCACGCAAAACGCACGAGTCTTCACTAAAACCACCTGGAATCTGACAGACACAAGAAAGGGGGAAAATGAGACAAGTCAGTCTCCTCTACAAAAACCTTTGTATCTGTGCTCCTGAAACTATCCATCCCATGCCCTGAAAAAGGAAAACTCTTCCAGGTAACCATGATGCATCCAGGTCACAAGCCGAGTTAATTTTAAGAGGACGCTGATTTCCATGAAGTGAAAAGCCATGGAAGAACCTAAAAAACTGCTCACATCCTATTGCCTGGCAATGTGTGCTTGGAAGATGGAAACCAAAACAACTCAAATGATCTTTTTGACAAATACTCTAAACGAGTTGAAATAACTGCCCCTGTTTTCACTGTAAACCGTCAAGGCTGAGAGGACTAAAATATCTTCAAGGGTTCTGTCTGTGGACTGCAGATCAGCAGCAAAAAAATATTCCCCCTGTAACAACTAGCTCAGAATGAGAAGGGGCACACAGATAAGAAATGGTTTGGGACATACTCACCTTTTCTACTTTTGCATATTTTTTAATATCAATTTCCTTTCTGCCATTTTCTTCAAACTCCACAGTCTTAACAGCATCAAGAGCAATGCTGCAGGCCAAGTCAGACCAGCGGTTTATTGCCTTAGTATTTATAGCACTCTTTATTATTTTAAGCATCATCTCTTTGTTGTTCACGTCCACTGGAGTGCTGACACAAAGGAAAAAACAAACAGTAAACTGAGTATTACTATAGCCACAATTTATTCATAATCCCATTAAATCCCTCTCCAATTATATTAAGTTATATTTTACTAACATGATTCTCTGAAGAATCATCTTTAAACAGTACAGAAACCCCACATCCC